ACTTTTGCTGAAAAATAAGAACACACTCCAATTCATTTCAATTAGGCTAGCGTTATCAATGTAATTTAGGCAGCCAGGCGATCTCACGCCTGTAATCCCAGACATTTTGGGAGGGTGAAGCAGGCAGACCATGAGCTCAGGAGATCGAGAGCATCCTGTCTAACATGTTGAAACCCTGCTCTACTAAAAGTACAAAGAATTAGCCAGGTGTGGGTATCATGTGCCTGCAGTCCCAGCTACTCAGAGGCTGAGGCTGGAAATTGCTTAAACCTGGCAGGCAGAGGTTGCAGTGAGCCAAGAGCATGCCACTGCACTTCAACCTAGGTGACGGAGCAGGCTCTGTCTCAAAAGTACAATATATCTGTGGCATCTTTTTTAAAATTTAAATTTTTAAAATTTAATTTAGCAATACATGCAAATTGTAAGATGTCATAATCAAGTGGGGTTTGTATCAGGAATGCAAAATGTAATAATCAAAAATACATCTATTTACAGACTAAAAAAGAAGCCATATGATTCTTTCACTAGTTGCAGAAAAGTATATGATAGAATTACTGATTTTTTTAAAAACCTCATCAAATTGGAAAGAAGTAAACTTTTTCAACCTGGTGAGAACTATGAAAAAAACCATAGCTAACAGCTAAGATGAGACAGGGCAGGATGTCTGCTGTCACCACTTTTAGTCCACATTTTACTGGCGTCCTAGCAGTGTAAGGGAAAGGAATACCAGGCAATGATATACCAGACATGCAGATTGGAAAGGAAGAGATACAGATGTTACAGACAACATTGATTGCAGAAAATCTTAAGGAATCTATATTGAAAAGCTATCAGAATTAATAATTGGGTTTAGCTAGGTTATAGGCTACTGGACAATAATACAAAAATCAGTTTTATTTGTACATACTCATAAACAATTGGAAAATGGGAAAAATGCCATATATAACAGCATCAAAAAACAGGACTACTTCAGGCAATTTACACACAGTATGTATAAGACCTAGACACTTAAAGTTCACAACATTGCTAAGATAAATAAGATCCAGTTATTTGGGACACAGTTCTCCAGCTGCACCACCACTCTTACACATTAGTGGGACTTGTCACACCCTGGGCTTTTCTTGAAGCACTGTGTGGTCACTGCCCTTTGGATTTATTTGCGTTTGATGGCAGCTTATATTTAGCCCATTGGAAACTCAGGGTTTCTATTCTCCTTCTGGGCTTTTCGTCTTTTCCCTCCTGGCTGCTGAAGCGATCGTGCCGAACAGGTGAAAAGTCCACCTTCACAGGCAGTAAGATATATAGATAAGTGACACCATCACCCTGTTTCAGATGTTACCATGTCTAGGTGTGTTAGGGGTGATTTGAGACCACACAACCTTGTGCCACAAAGTGGAATTCCTGGGCCGGGGGAGGCATTTGATTGCCACGTTATGATCTTCTCATGAGTGTAAAGGCAGTCTCGTTTCATTTTGGATTCTTCTGGTGATATCTTATAAGGGGACTTTGAATTTCCAAGCATATAATAATTTTTGGTTAGCTTTTAATCATTGACTTCTAACACAATTCTGTGACCAGAAACCTGCTGTGTGATTGGATTTTCTGAAATATATTGAGATTTGCTTGATAAACTAAGTCGGGTTAATTTTTGTAAATGTACCTCACATGCTTAAAACTAGCGTAGCTCCAACATCTTCCTGAGATACAGGATGATGGACGATGGCTGCATGGATGTGATGGAGGTGCTTTACCATTGGGACCTTCCGAATCCTTCTGATGTTTTGTTGCTTAGAATATGAATGGCTGAGAGGGGCTGTAGAGCCTCCCAATCTGCTTGTGTGTGAAGGTTCTTCCTGCCATCCTGCCATCATTTGTTTCTTATATTTTGCAGCCAAGACTGACCATGAGAAACCCTGGAAGCTCAGGAAGGAAGGAGCCACCCAGGAGCAGGGACAGGGAGCTGGCGGGGAAGACCAGAAATCAGGTCTGTGAAGGTTCCAGAGAGGACCTGTCCTTGGGAGTCATGTTTGGGGCTGAGATGGGGGGGGGCATTGGAGGACACAGGTGCTCGTGGAATGTCCACTGTGAGGTAGCATGTTCCGGGGCCAGGATTGGTGGAGAGGGAGTATAAAGCATGAGGGTTGCTTAGGCAGCGCCCAAACAGGAGAAGTTTTGGTGGAAACCAGAGCCCTGGTCTCCGTCTAATTGCTCCTGAGCCTCCGGCTTTCTTACCTGATAGACTTTCTCCCTGACTTGTAGTTGAACCTCCCACTCGCACTTGAAGACTTAGTTTCAACCCGATCCTTTCCTAGACTCCTTTCTCCTCCCCCTCCTCCAGGTGCCCAACATCCCCCATTCCCCTCCCTCCCCTTTCTTTCCCATCCCCCTCCCCAAGTCAGATCCTGCCCCATCCCCATCCCCTTCCCTCCCCCTCCTAATCCAACCCCTAACCCCCACCTCTGTCCTGGCCGCCTCAGGCGCCCTGAGAGGACCAGGACATGCGGGTGCCGTGGCTGCTCTTTTGGCTCCTCCTGCTGGGGTTTCCCAGCCACCAATCCACCCCTGTGAGTAGACGCTGGGCCCTCGGGGTTTCTTCCTTGTTATTGGGCTGTGTCACATGGCATATTACACAGTGCAGGCCTGTAATTAGCGCTTTGAGGGGTTAAGGTGGGCAGATCACCTGAGTCCAGGAGTTCAAGCCTGGGCATCATAGCCAAACCCTTCTCTACAAAAGATTCCAAAACTGACTAGTCGGATGCCTACTGCACTCTGGTCTCAAACAAAACCAAAACAAAGTGAAATGTCATTGAGTTTCGTGTCATCTGGTTTGATGACTTTTAGGAACTTCTGTGTCATCCGTGTTTTCTGCTCTTGGGGGCTGCCTCTAGGGAGTCTGTGTCCAGTCAGTGTGATGGGAGCTGAGAAGCCATCAAATGGAGAGGAAAGGGCTGCACTGCTGGGAGGTTTGCAATGCGGGAGTCACTGGGAGTGATGTGACCAGGATGTGAGTGAGGACTGTCCTTGGTTTTGTGCAATGTGTTTGGTGCAGATCATTGATTGACCCAAAGGAGAAAGGCTCTTAAAGTCCTTATGTTATTTAAATATAAAGAAATGACAGGCCTGGTGTGGTGGGTCACACCTGTAACTGGGAGGCTGAGGCTGGCGGATCAGTTGAGGTCAGGAGTTTCAGACCAGCCTGACCAACATGGTGAAATGCTGTCTCTACTAAAAATATAAGAATCAGTCAGGTGTGGTGGCAGGTGCCTATAATACCAGCTACTCAGGAGGCTGAGGCAGGAGAATGGTTTGAACCAGGTGACGGAGGTTGCAGTGAGCCGAGATTGCACCACTGCACTCTAGCCTGGGCGACTGAGTGGGACACTGTCTAAAAAAAAAAATTTTTTTTTTTTTTTTTGGAATTTTTTGTTTTTTTTTTTTTTTTTTTTGGAGACAATGTCTCCCTCTCGTCTCCCAGGCTGGAGTGCAATAGTGCAATATTGGCTCACTGCAACCTCTGCCTCCCTGGTTTCAGTGATTCTTCTGCCTCAGCCTCCTGAGTAGCTGGGATTCCAGGCACCCACCACCATACCTGACTAATTTTGTATGTTTGGTAGAGATGAGGTTTCACCATTTTGGCCATGCTGGTCTGGAACTCCTGACCTCAGGTGATCCCCTCGCCTCACTCTCTGAGAGTGCTGGGATTACAGGCATGAGCCACTGCGCCTGCCTTTTTGTGATATTTTTTAGACCATCAGCTATTGTTAGGGTTAGTGTATTTTATGTGTGGCCTAAGACAAGTTTCCTCCTTTTAATATTGCCCAGGAAGCAAAAATTTGGATATCCCTGCTTTACGTCAAGAAAAACAAAGACACTGTATCTTTAGAATGCCTAAACACACTACCAGCCATGCAAATAACATGAGACAGGTAACTTTCAATGTTTTTTGAAGCAGTGGAATCCCTGGTGATATCTGAGGGGTGTGGTTACCTCTTGGAGGAGGTTGATGGTTTCTAAAGATTATTGTTTTTTTGCTGAAATATTGTGCATGTCACTGACCTTTTCATGATTTCAACTGTTATTATTGCAGGCCATCAGTTTCCCACCTGATTATCTGTATCCTTGGCATGGCTTTCTTGGCGTTCTGTGGATGCTTTTAACTATTGTGTTTCTGGGAGTTTCTACCGTTGGCCTTTTCCTCCGAAAAATTACCTTCTGTGTGAGTATACTAACTTCCTGTAGAGATATACTTGTAATCACACATAAGAAGAAATTATTTAAAACAATTCATGGTTCTGGACTTCATTATGAATATTGGGTTTTACCAAAAACATCAGGGAAATGATTTATTAGCATAAGAATTATAAAAATATCTGCCATTTACATGATGAAAATTAAATAGATTGATGTTTGTTGAATAGAATGTCAACAGAGCTTTGGGTCAAAACTAAGTTTTCCTTTTTTTAACCTTTGTGATCTTTATCAGAAATGGAGTATGAAGTTTTGGCACTTTAAATAGGAAATTCTGTCTAAACTTTTCGCTTCATAATTCTATCATATGGCTGGAAGGAAAGCTTTCACTCTCCTCTCTAAAGATTCACTGCAGAAACTGACAACAGACAGCTTAACAGGAGAAGCTGTTTATACAACAGGCAGAAACATGGGAGCCAGCCGAGAAATGAGACTGCAGGAAGGGTCAGATGGTTGGTGCTTAAAGGGCACCCTCTTTTCAGGGGAGATGGAGATGGGGCAGTTTAGAGGGGGAGTAAGTGATTTTTAGGGGAAATGAAAGAGCCCAAAGAACAAAGTTGGCCTGAGACAAAGTTCCTCTGAGATCATGGAGAAGAGGCGACAAACGGCAGGACGGCGAAGGGCAGAGCTGCCTCTCATGATGCAGAGAAAGCCCCAGAGAGTCTGTTGGAACTGCCCTTCAGAGAATCAATGAAGAGTGTGTCTGGGCAGTGTCATTTCAAATGACATCATCAAAGTGCATGTTCCCAGTTGCAGGTGGAGAGGGATCAGTATGTCCAAAGTCTGTACTTGGTAGGAATTTGGCTGCTAAGTTGTGTCATCGTTTGAGCCTTTTTGTCCATTGGGTAGAGTGAGCGCTTTATTTTCTCTGCCTTTCATGACAGTAAAAACGTGGTTGTCTGGGGGCTGACCCTCCTCCTGAACAATGATCCAAGAAAAAAGCACTAATCCCACAATGCTTTTTATATTCGAGGGAGGAGGAAGTATGTTTTATTTTTACAACCTAGATAATTACCTGCCATTCGGGACTGCCTTTTTCCTTTTTTTTTTGAAATGGAGTCTCACTCTCTGGCCCAGATTCGAGTGCAGTGGCACAATCTCAGCTCACTGTAGCCTCTGCTTCCTAGGTTCCAGTGAGTCTCCTGCCCCAGCCTCCCAAGTAGCTGGAACTACAGGATGTACCACCATGCCTGGCTAATTTTTGTATTTTTCGTAGAGACAGGATTTCCCCATTTTTGCCAGGCTGGTCTTGAGCTCTAAACTCAGGTGATCCACCAGCCTCAGCCTCCCAAAGTGCTGGGATTACAGTTGCGAGTGACCACGCCCTGCTGCATCTAACAGTCTCTACCCCACTTAGTCCTGAACAGAGAATTGTCAATGTAAGTTGGGGGAAGTTTTCTCTTTTTTTTTTTTTTTTTTGACAATCTGGCTCTGTCACCCAGCCTGGAGTATAATGGTGTGATCTTGGCTCACTGCAACCTCTACCTCATGGGTTTAAGTGATTCTCCTGCCTCAGCCCCCAACGAGTGGCTGGAATGACTGGTGGTCACCACCACATGCAGCTAATTTTTGTATTGTTAGTAGGAATGGGGTTTTACCATGTTTGCCAGGCTGGTCTCAAACTCCCAATCTCAAGTGATCCACCGACCTCAGCCTCTCAAAGTGCTGGGATTACAAGCGTGAGCCACCACGCCTGGGAGGGGGTATTTTTCAATGTACACTTCTAATTTTAACTAAATTACCTGTGAGTTAAAATCAGAAAAATCAACTTCTACAAAGAACTTGAAAGATGTTCTTTCAGGCTGGGCGTGGTGGCTTTTTCAGGTCACCTCTTCTGCAAGAAATGCTCTTGACAACCGGGTACGTTTTCTTTGTTTGTTTCCCGTGCTTTGGGGCATAGTCTGCCAGATGAGGACGTGGATGTATTTTCTCCCCACAGCGCTGTGCTCAAGCCTTGGAGAGGGAGACGGCAGAGAGCAAGGCTGCCTACAAGCGGCACAGGTAGGTCATTGTGATGGATTTTTTTTCTTTTTGAGACTGAGTCTCTGTTGCTCAGGCTGGAGTGCAGTGGCAAAATCTCAGCTCACTGCAACCTCTACCTCCCGGGTTCAAGCAATTCTCTGCGTTAGGCTCCCGAGTAGATGGAATTAAAAGCACGTGCCACTCCGCCTGACTTTTTTGTATTTTTAGTAGAGACAGTTTCTCCATGTTGGTCAGGCTGGTCTCAAACTCCCGACCTCAGGTGATCTGCCCACCTCAGCCTCCCAAAGTGCTGGGATTGCAGGCATGAGCCACCACACTCAGTTGTTATGGTCATTTTTAAGGATTTTTTTTTTTTTTTTCAAGACGAAGCTTTGACTGAGGTGGGTGGATTACCTGAGGTCAGCAGTTCAAGACCAGCCTGGCCAACATGGTGAAACCCCGTCTCAACAACAACAAAAAAAGATGAAGCTTTGAATGTCTAGTAAAGAACGTGGTGTTTTAATTCTTCTTAAGTCAGTTCTTTCTCTGTCTTCTAGATGGAGAATCAGGAAAAGAAAAGAGTGCCAGGGAGACACATGAGTGAGGAGCCAGCCCAGAAACGCCTGTGCCTGAAGAACGCTTTCTGGCGAGGTGGGAGCTCCCGTGAAGGCAGCCGCTCAGTTTCCGCTGCAGGACCCACACGCCCTGCTTCTCCTTTTGGGGTGAGGGCTCAGGTGGGGTCATTGTCATGTTTCCTGGAAACACTTCCAAGCACTTGTGAAGAGAACAGTTGTCCCGCTGGGGGGCACGACCCCATTTTTCTCAGGTACCCTAGCTGAATGGCTCTTGGCTGGACCCGTGTGAATGGTGGAGCTCAGGCCCCTCCACTGACTGTGGACTTTGCCCCCCACTGACGTCTTGGTTGCTTTTAACTGTGAAGATGAGCCTACAAGGCAAATGGGCCAGCTCCCCCTCCCACCTTGAGTCAGTGTGAAGGCTTTGTTTTTCTTTCCTTAGAGAAAAGTAACAACAATAGCATTTTAGAATGGGAGCTGTAAGTGCTGAGGAGAGCAGAGATTTTCGTGCAATGTCTTCATGGCTCAATAAAGCAGTACCTGAGATCTGCTTTAAGAAAAGAAGCCTTTATTTGCACTTTTTGGAACTTCCTTCGTTCTTTTTGCTCATTTAAATTGTTTATTGTGAACTAGATAACTCCTTTAGTAAGCTAAATTTCTATGTAATCTTACTCCTCTAACATTTGAAGTGTGACCCTCAAACTTTCCGGTTGATTTCTTTCTTTCTTTTCTTTCCTTTTCTTTTTGAAAACCTCACTCTGTCACCCAGGCTGAAGTGCAGTGGTGCAGTTTTTGCTCACTGCAACCTCCGCCTCCTAAGTTCAAGCAATTCTCCTGCTTCGGCGTCCCAAGTGGCTGGGATTACATGTGCCTGCCACCATGCCTGACAAATGTTTCTTTTTGTGTTTTTAGTAGAGACAGAGTTTCACCATGTTGGTCAGGCTTGTCTGTAACTCTTGACCTCAAGTGATCTGCCCACCTCAGCCTTCCAAAGTTCCGGGATTAGAAGTGTGAGCCACCTCACCCGACCCCCATTTAATTCCTACAGCGCTTACCTTTTCTCATGACTGTTAGTCTCGTTATGTTCATTTCTGTTCATAAATATTGGCAATGCCTGGTGAGATGTGGAGGTTAGATTCACTATGAATCCACGGGATTTTAAATGCCCCGACAGCTGAAGAAAAGGAGCAGTGCTGCAACTGTCCTGGGCCTGTAGCTGTTCTTCCCATCCACGGCTGTTTCTATTTGAATTTGGAGTCAGTGCTCACATGATGGGTGATTTCCTCTGATGTGTACTGGGAACCCCTGATTTAAAGCTCATTTCCAGCTGGTTAGAGCCCGACTTGTCCACAGCCTGTTGAGAGTTAAGCAAACCCCTGGACCAGGACTCTGCAGTATCTTCCTCAAGGCTCAGGCCCAGAGGGCACCAGGGTCCTCTGATGCATCTGGTCAGTTAACCCTGTGCCTCTGGTAAGGGACCTGAGTGTGGCAAAGAGAGTGAGATGGCAGCAAAAGGTGTGGAGGGTTTCTTATTCTGCACAGAACATGCAAGCCAGATTTAGCTCCATTTCCTTCTCTTGCCCTTAGCAGATTCAGGACCTCATTCGGTTCCCATGAGGAACAGCAGCTGCGTCCCAAGTGAAATCACAGAGAAGACAAAGGTAAATGCTGGGGTCATTTTCACTCTGCCTGTATCAGGACACTGTAGTCTTTTCCTCCATCGTCCTCTCCTCGCCTGGCCTCTGCTCTGTAGGTTCTGTGATACTTTTCTATCTGGAATTTTTAGAGCAAAATCTTTCCCATAAGCTTTCTGGCTTCTTCAGTCCCAGCTAGTCATCTTGGGTGGCACCTCCAGAAGCCATAAATGCTTAGGGACTGAGGGCTGAAGGGCTTTTACTGTTCTGTTTTCTGAAATAGCATGAGGAATGCCACTGACCTCCACTCTCGTAGGTGTCATGGCCCAGTGAATGCTGACTGATCTCTGTTACTCAAGGTGTTGTGGGGTCTATTTCTGATTGAAGTGGGGTTTTCTCTTATTTTGTTTGTTTTTATCTATAAGGTAGGTGAGTAACATTTGAAATATCTGCTGTATTCTCAGAAGTGATGAAAGTGAAAACTCATTAATCCAGCATTAATATGTGCTTTGTGCAATTCTGAATGCTCTTCGTCAAGGTCAATTCTGTAGTTCATCACAGTCCCATTCCTGTTGGTAACTGTGTTGTACAAAATCGCCTTCACCCCCATTTGGTGGTGCCCCGATCTAACATCTAAGTGTCAGAGTTTCTGTATTTGTAGTAAAAAATATGCCTCGATTGTGAGTTAGTGAAAGTGAATGTAACCTATTACAGCGACAATTCCCAACCAAGGCCTTCCATGATGCGCAGCTCTGCTGGTTCTCGTGTGGCTTCTGTACCTTCAACAGCTGCCGAGTCCTGAGATTACACGTGATGGGAACTGTACACTAGAAATTAAACACGTTTCTAAAACTTGCTTTTTTCAGAATTTCCACCTCATTTTTCCCTGGACAAAAGTATTATTTCTGTCATAATGCACATAAAATTTGTATTACCTGGGAGTTAAGAAATATCTGGCCATGCCTAACTGACTTGTGTATTGTGTATGTCGGATTGCTCTGACAGAAAACCCTCTCCCAGTTTCCCTGCTTCTCTTCAAGAATCCACATTTCCCCAGAGCCATCTGTGCTCATGGGGGGGACCCCCAGAGTGAAGAAGACCCTTTGTCAAGAAGGAATCAGAGGGAAAATGAGAGGGTCCTGCAGGGAGAGCTGGAATAGACTTCCACTCTGCCTCCTGCAAGCTCTGTGACCCTGGGCACGTGTTCTTCTTCCTCGGGGAGCCTCTGTTTACTTAGATTTGGAGCAGGGTAGTCACGCTGACTTGCAGAGTTCTGAGAATCAGAGACAGAACATAAAAGGCCTGGAGAACATTCTCCTAAAAGAAGCTGTAACACATGTGTGGACAATGGGCTCTTCATGCCTCTCTTACTCGCTATTATCTGATGCAAAGAACATGCTCTGGTGATGGCGGTGAGGGAGGAATGAGGATGGACAGAGACACTCCTGTGTCTGAAACATGCTTCTTCCTTACTGCGCTATGACTCTGTCTTCCCGGGGGCAGGCCCCAGCCTGCCTACATTTGCAGAGAGATGCAGTGGCATGCGGAGAAAACAGTTTGTCCCAATGACTCTTCTTCACTCCCCAGCTGTCAGTGGTACTTAGTGGAAGGGTGACTTCATGACACTGATGCTGCTGTTTTGAAACCTGGAGGATGGAAAGGTGCAGAAAACTATCAGCAGCAACATAAGTTGCAGCCTGTGTTGTTGGTGGTGGTTCTGTCTGTCAAATTAATACATGTCAAAACACTTCCTCCTTCTGCCTGCAGGTTAACATGGCTGCAGCACAGCGTCATCACTGCTCAGCATTGCCCTGCTCACCCTACCTCATGGCTGACCCTTCAGGACCACTGATGGCTTGCCCGCCACCTCCTCCATCTGGGTGTCGCCTGGGAGCTCCACCATTTCATCAGCTAAAGGTGTTCTGGGACCTCTGACAACTCCTCGACTCCAGTGTCCACTAGGACCTCTGCGAGCTTCGTCAGATGATGAGTTTTCGAGACCACAGACACCTACACCCGCATGTCTTCTGGCTGCTTTACCACCTTCTTCAGCCAATGATTTTCTGAGCTTATACACAATTCCACCTGAGTGTCTATGCACGCCTCTGCCAGCTTTGTCAGATGATGAGTTGTCGAGACCACAGACACCTACACCCAAATGTCTTCTGGCAGCTTTTCCACCTTCTTCAGCCAATGATTTTCTGAGCCCATACACAATTCCACCTGAGTGTCTATGCACACCACTGCCAGCTTCGTCAGATGATGAGTTTTCGAGACCACAGACACCTACACCTGAATGTCTTCTGGCAGCTTTTCCACCTTCTTCAGCCAATGATTTCTGAGCCATACACAATTCCACCTGAGTGTCTATGCACGCCTCTGCCAGCTTCGTCAGATGATGAGTTTTCGAGACCACAGACACCTACTCCTAAGTGTCTTCTAGCTTCTTTACCACCTTCTTCAGCCAATGATTTTCTCGGCTTATACACAATTCCACCTGAGTGTCTATGCACGCCTCTGCCAGCTTCGTCAGATGATGAGTTTTCGAGACCACAGACACCTACACCTGAATGTCTTCTGGCTGCTTTACCACCTTCTCCAGCCAATGATCTTCAGAGTCTGTACGCAACTCCACTCAAATGTCTACAGACACCTCTACCACTGTCTACAGATGATGATCTTTGAAAACCACGGACAGCACCACTCAAGTGTCTTCTGGCACCTGTTGCACCTTCTCCAGATGATGATACTTCAAGAACACAGACACCACCACTTGAGTGCCTTCCGGCATCTATACCACCTTCTCCGGATGATAATCTTTGAAAACCACAGACACCACCACTCAAGTGTCTTCTGCCACCTGTACCACCTTCTCCAGATGATAATCTTTGGAGACCACAGACACCACCACTCGTGTCTTCTGCCACCTGTACCACCTTCTCCAGATGATGATCTTTGGAGACCACAGACACCACCACTCAAGTGTCTTCTGCCACCTGTACCACCTTCTCCAGATGATAATCTTTGGAGACCACAGACACCACCACTCGTGTCTTCTGCCACCTGTACCACCTTCTCCAGATGATAATCTTTGGAGACCACAGACACCACCACTCGTCTTCTGCCACCTGTACCACCTTCTCCAGATGAATCTTTGGAGACCACAGACACCACCACTCGTGTCTTCTGCCACCTGTACCACCTTCTCCAGATGATGATCTTTGGAGACCACAGACACCACCACTCAAGTGTCTTCTGGCATCTCTACCACCTTCTCCGGATGATCATCTTTGCAAACCACAGACGACCACCACTCAGTGTCTTCTGGCATCTCTACCACCTCCTCCAGTTGATAATCTTTGGAGACCACAGACACCACCACTCAAGTGTCCTTCTGGCATCTCTGCCATCTTCTCCAGATGATCATCTTTGGAGACCACAGACCCACCACTCAGTGTCTTCTGGCAGCTCTGCCACACTTCTCCAGATGATCATCTTTGGATACCACAGACATCACCCACTCAGTGTCTTCTGCATCTCGGCCACCTTCTCTCCCGATGATCATCTTTGGAACCACAGACGACCACCACTCAGTGTCTTCTGGCATCTCTACCACCTTCTCTAGATGATCATCTTTGAAAATTACAGACGCCACCACTCAGTGCGTTTGGCATCTCTACCACCTCCTCCGGTTGATATCTTTGGAGACCACAGACACCACCACTCAGTGTCTTCTGGCTTCTCTACCACCTTTTTAGATGATCATCTTTGAAAACCAAAGACAGCCACCACTCGAGTATCTTCCTATACCTCTACCGTCAGTCTCCAGCTGATTATTTTCTGAGACGACACACAGCTTCCATCCATTGTCTCTCTGGGACCTCAACCACTTTCTCCAACTGAAAATTTTTGAGATTACAATAGCTCCACCATTTGAAGTGTCCCCTTGGACCTCAGCTACCTATTTCAATAGAGTGTCTTCTGGTATCTCTTCACCTTCTTGATGATCTTCTGAGACCACAGACACCTCCACCTGAGTGTACTCTAAGTTCCTCTTCCCACCATCTTCAGCTGAAGATGTCCGTAAGAAAAATCTTCACGCTGCACACCTCAACCGGAGTGTCCTCTGTATCTCACCACTCTCCAGCTGAAGATGTTCTGAGGCCTCGCACACCACCACGTTGAGTGTTCTCTGATACCTCTGCCACCATCTCAAGCTGAAGACTTTCTGAGCCCACACACTCCTCCACCTGAGTGGAATCTGTTACCTTACCATCTTCTACAGCTAAGGACTTTCTGGCAGACCAGAGGCAGCTCCACCCACTTGAGCATTTTCTGGAACCTCAACTTCCTATTTCAGTCACGGGGTCCTCTGGGACGTTCAACCACCTACTTCACTCGAATGTCCTGTGCCAACCTCAACCATCTTCTCCAAGTGCAGATTCTCTGAGACCACAGTCACCTCCTTCAGTCATAGTGCTCTCTGGTAGTCTCCACCATCTTCTCCAGCTGGTGATCTTCTGAAACCACAGACCCTCCAGCAATTGAGTGTCCTCTGAGACTTCCTTTATGTCTTCCAACTATTTGTTTTGTGGGACCTCTAGCACCTCCTCCAGCTGTACCTCCTATGGGACCTTATCTACCTCATCCAGGTGTCCTGTCCTGAGGTACCTCAACCACCTCATCCATCTGTCTGTCATGTGGGACCCCATCCACCTCATCCACCTGTCGTATCCTGGAGGACCCCCATCCACCTCATCCAGATGTCCTGGTCCTGGGGGACCCCAGCCACCTCATCCACCTGTCTGTCCATGGAGAGCCCCATCCACCTCATCCAATGTCTGTTGGAGAGCCCCATCCACCTCATCCATCTCTCTGTCCTGGAGGACCCCATCTACCTCATCCAGGTGTCTGTCCTGGAGGACCCCATCCACCTCATCAATCTATCTGTCCTGTGGGACCCCATCCACCTCATCCACCTGTCTGTCCTGGAGGACCCATCCACCTCATCCAGATGTCTGTCCTGGAGAGCCCCATCCACCTCATCCATCTGTCTGTCCTGGGGGACCCCATCCACCTCACCCATCTCTCTGTCCTGGGGGGCCCTATCCACCTCATCCAGCTTTCTTTCCTGGGGGACTTCATCTTCTTCCTCCAGCAGTGTGGCCTCTGGGACCTCAGCCTACTGTTCCATTTAGTGGCTACTGGCACCTCGGCCACCTTCTCTACCTTGGTGGCCTTCCTTAGCTATCTAAGCTATCACGTGCGTCTCCTCTAGGACCTAAAGAATCTCCTCATGACCTCTCAGCCCTCAGCCACCTCCTTCCTAGGTTTTCTCTCGTACTTCGACCACCTCCTTCACTTGGCTGACTGCTGTCTCAACCGACACTCAACCTTCACCTGACGTGTCCTCCATTGGACTTACTTATCCCCTCCTCTAGTCATGCGGCCTCTGAGACCTCGACCACACCTCTAAAATGCACCACTTGATGTGTATGATTTGAACGGGTAATAAAGTATTGGTAAAAAAAATTCATCTCTTCTTTTTTGAGTGAATAGAAAGAAATGGCAAGATGGTCCTGCAGGGACTGTGCAGTACAAGGTGACACTGGCTGAGATCCTGGTCACTTTTCCTCAGTTTCTGAGAGTACAGTCGGTTCAGTATATTTCCTCATCATGAGTTTGGCAGCAGGTATCTCTTGTAGATAAAGACACATTTTGTGTTTTTGTGGGGACAGTCTCACTGTGTCACCCAGGCTGGAGTGCAGTGGTGCAAATCCTGGCTCAGTGTAGCCTCCGTCTCCAGGGTTCAGTGATCCTCCCACCATTAGCCTTCAGAGCAGCAGCTGGGACTACAGTCACGCACTACCACCAAATTTGGGCTTCTTTTATTTTTTAAATTTTGAGATGGAGTCCACTCCTGTTGCCAGGCTGCAGTGCAGTGGCACCACTTGGCTGACTGCAACCTCTGCCTCTTAGGTTCAAGCAGTTCTCCTGCCTCTGCCTCCCAAGTAGCTGGGGCCACAGGTGCATGTCCCCATGCCCAACTAATTTTTTGTATTTGTAGCAGTGACAGCGTTTCACCTATGTTGGCCAGGACAGTCGTGATTTACTGATCTCTTTGATCTGCTCGCCTTGCCCTTTGAAAGTGCTGGGATTACACACATGAGCCACGGTGCCCAGCCTTCCTTTTTTTTGTTTTCTTTTTATGGAGATGGAGTCTCCGCTTTGGCCACCAGGCTGGAGTGCAGTGGTGAGATCTCAGATCTCAGCTCACTGCAGTCTCTGCCTCCCGGCTTCAAGTGATTCTTCTGCCTCAGCCTCCTGATAGCTGAGACTACAGGTGCATACCATCACACCTGGCTAATTTTGTATTTTTAGTAGAGACAGGGTCTCACCATATTGGCCAGGCTGGTGTTGAATTCCTGACCTCAGGTGATCCCCACATCGGCCTCACAAAGTGCTGGGATTACAGGTGTGAGCCACCGTGCTCTCTCTCTCTCTCTCTCTCTCTCTTTTTTTAAAACTTTGTGTAGAGACTGTGTTTCACCGTGTTGCCCAGGCTGGTCTCAAACTTCTGGACTCATGCCATCTGCCAACTGAGGCCTTCCAAAGTGCTGAGATTACAGGCTTGAGCCACCAGCCCAGCCAGAGATTGTGTATAGAAGCCAGAAATAGCAGTTCTGCAGGTGTGCATCAAACCTGGGCCACATGGCCGACTCTGTGAGGGATGAGACCCGTCCCTGACTTGCAGGGCATCCTGTCTCCTCCAGCAGAGAGATCCACACTAAAGGGCACAGAGCTTGTGACCACCCACCCACACTGGAAGCACAAGTGAAGGGACCCGGGTGCAAAAGAAAGAGACCGAATCTCCTGAGAACAAGCAGGAGGCTGTGAAAGAGAAGACTGGAGCTGGTTGGTTTTCCCTTGGGGGGTCTGTGTAACTCAGGTGGAGCTGGAAGGCTCCTGGCTGGGCAAGCAGTGTGAGCAGGAGCATGGAGGCTGCATGAGGGCCCATAGAGCTGCCGCGGGAGAGCTCAGAGGCCTGGTGTGCACAAGGAATTATGCCCCCAGCACTTCCTCAGTGCTCTACTGCCCTTAGTCCATTATCTCTAGGAATGATGATTCTTTCCCTGGGTGTGTGACGTCTCTGGATCAGGTGAATGAATGCATAGAGCTCTGGGAAATTTCACTTGGTTCTGTCAGGGGCCCTATCTCCCCTACTGTTTATGTTGCCGGGAGACTAACAGTGAGAATGTGTCTGGTTTAGTGGAGCTGCACCTTGGTGTTCAGAATCAGGTTGACTATGGCAGAAAACTCAAAGCCCCCCAGCCTCCCACAGCAGTGGCCATTCTTTTCTGATTCTGATCCAGATGTTGAACTTGGGAGACAGTTACAACCTGGATCCCAATTCTGTCTGAAAGCAACAGAATAACATAAGCTATACACTAGTGGGTGACTCTTGGCCCAGCCCAGTGTAATGAGACATAAATGAATGACCATGACCTCAGAAGCAAAAACAAAACAAAAAACAGAGCAACCAGTAGATGTTCTGGAGGGCCTGAGTTTGCCAGGTATCAACTGTGATCTGTAAAGTGAATGAGATCAGCTCACCATGCAGGAACACATGAATGAAATAGAAAACTAACTGGAGACTCTAAACGTGTTTGGAAAGAGGCGCTACGTGTAAGTGGGGGCATGTTCTGCCTGGTGGGCTTCCCTGTCAGTCAAGGAATTGGGTGGGACCTGGCTCTCCAGGGATCCATGCCTGCCTCTGTTCTTCTGTGGAGCCGTCTCTCCCATTTCCTGTGGTACGGGGGCAACTGGGCAGGGACCAGGGTGCCCACTCTTGAGCGTCTCCCTGTTCTCAACTCAGTGCCACTTGCCTCCCTCCCTGTGTCATTGTCCCTGCATCTGAACGGGGGTGGGGTGGCCTGCCCCTTTGATCAGCTTCCTTTTGTCTTTCATTTAGGTATCAGGTAAATTGTCACTTCCTCTTAGAAGTGTTTGCTGACCTCCGCCATTTTTATCAAATTCCTTCTTTATTATTTTCTTACAGGCCTCAGCATTTCTACCTGTGTTTCCTTTCTTTCTTTCTTTTTTATTTAGAGACAGGGTCTCCTTCTCTTGCCCAAGCTGGAATGCAGTGGCACCCTCACGGCCACTGCAGCCTCCATCTCAGCCTCCCAGGTAGCTGGGAATATAGGCCAGCACCACCATCCCTGGCTAATTGTTGTATTTTTTTTTTTATTGATATAGGGTCTCATTTTGTTGTCCAGGTGGTCTCAAACTCCCAGACTCAAGTGATCCTCCTGCCTTGCCTCCCAAATGCTGGGATTGCAGGCACAAGCCACTGCTTCAGCCTTCCAGTGTTTTATTAGGAAAATACTGCAAACCTTCGGAAGAGCTGGATAGATGGACAGTGATCACCAGCATCCTCTCATACTCGGTTCTGCTATTAACAGTTTACCCCACTTGACTCATCGCCCCTCTCTCCACCTATCCAGCCTACTTTTTTCCATGCAGTTCAAAGTAAGTTGTAGTCATTGATATATTTCACTTTAATGTTTCAGCATGTGTTTCATTAAGCAGAGTGAAATGCGTGTATCTCCACAGTATGATTGGATGAGTTTTCGACAGATGGATTCACCTGTGTGATCCATACCGCTGTCATAAGTCACAGCACTGCAATGTCCTAGAAAGTTTCCTCATGCCTAGTCATTTCCAGTTTTGAGATTTTCCCGTCGCTGCTGTGATGAGACTCTGGGGACCTCTTGCTGCCTGCTAGAAGCTTCCTCTCTGCCCGCATACCAGACTCTCCTTTCTCTGTCTCTTGCAGGAGCCTTGAACCTGGACAGTCCATGGCTGATGGTCTCTGTAGCTCACAGGTTGTACTGGCCACACAGAGCTGTGTTCCAAGCTGTCCTGGAGCTGACGCTGGGCAAGGCCTGGACCCTAAAGGACCTGGTGGTCAGTGTGGCCTGCAGCAGTCAGGGTCCCACCAGGGAAGGCAAGATTGAGATCTATACTCCAGCTACCACCTACCTCCAGGTGAGCAGTGTTAAGACCCCAGCACTGCCTGGTTCCTGGACCACTGAGATCTTTTTCTGGTGAAGAGGCAGATAAAAGCTGAGGCCTGTGGGCCTATAGCAGCTCACAGATGTGTGAAGTTTGGCCCTCCCAGTCTCTACAGCTATGAGAGTTAGTTTTATTTCTCTCTCTCTCTTTCTTTCTCTCTTTTCTTTTCTTTTCCTCTTCTCTTCTCTTCTTTCTTTTCTTTTTTCTGTGATGAGTTTTGCTCTTGTTGCCTCAGGCTAGGAGTGCATTGGTGTGATCCTCGGCTCACCACAACCTCCACTTCCCAGGTTCAAGTGATTCTCCTGCCTCAGTCTCCTGAGTAGCTGGGATTACAGGCTTGCAGCACCACGCCTGGCTAATTTTGTATTTTTAGTAGAGATGGAGTTTCTCCATGTTTGTCAGGCTGCTCTCAAACTCCTGACCTCAGGTGATCCTCCCGCCTTGGCTTCCCAAAGTGCCGGGATTATAGGTGTGAGCCACCACGTCCGGCCTCAGAGTTAGTTCTTAGGTGATGTAGGAAAAGTAGACTGAAAAAAGAAAATCAGATTTCCCATATCACTGCTTAGCAGCTGACGGGGAGAGAAATGAAATAGGAAAGAAAGTCGAACCGTACTTTGGAAACAGGTGACAGACATTCGGCTTTTGCCAAAAAAACCAGAGTGGAAATTCTAGGACATAAGTCGGTTTTATGCTGACTACTGACTATCAGAAAGTTGCTTCACTGCAGGCCTTTGGTAGCAGAAGAAAGAATAGGTTTGGGAGGAAACCCTTGAGTGTCATCCGTAGGGCTGAGGGAGCCTGGTTCATGGACAGTCCCCCTGTACTGGGTGATGCATGGAGGTGGGGAAGGTCCAGGCCTGACGGGGCTCATCCGAGTGCAGCAGAGGGCCCTCTGAGGCCGGGCTGGGTGGCATCAGGGTGGCGTCAAGGGTGGTGGTAATCTTAAGGACCATGAGGTGGCCTCTGTGTACTAGAGACAGGAGCTCAAGGTGCAGGCAACCAACCAACTCCCATCCTTCACCCAACTGGAGGGCATGGCAGCCCAGCCCACGGTGGTGGCAGTGGAGGTACCAGCAAGTGATCAAATCCTGGAAATGTCAGGATTTGCTGATGGATTGGCAGTGAGGAGAGAGTAACGAAAGGATAATAATAGCTCGGAGGTTTTGGCATCTGGTGGGATGGAAGCGCCATTGAAGGAAATGGGGAAGTTGGCCTGTGGGGAACCAAGGGTCAGTGACATGAGACAAGGTGGTGCGAAGTTCTGGTACTGAGTTGGAGGCTCAGCCATGCCCAAACCCTGTCTTGTCCCTGCCACTTCTCCCTATGAGTCCCCTGAGTTGTATGAATGAGGGATGGCAGCCAGGAGGGCACCAACTACCGTGCAGGACTTGTGCCAAGTGGTGACTGCAAGTGGCCTACCTCCCCAGCCCCGAAACGAGTCAGGTCACACCCGGCTCTTCCTAGGACTCCCGAAGGCCACAGTGATGGTGCTGGGAGAGAAGGCCATCCGTCAGTGTGTGCCCTTCAGGGTACAGACATGCTGGATACTAGTAATAGCAGCCCAGCGAGATCAGATTCCCAATCTGAAGAGGAGAGAAGGAAGGTATGTCTGCTCAGGGTTGGGGCAACAGAGAGAGTTTTGGCTTTTTTTTTCTTAAGACCCTGTAGAGAAAACTAGCCTCCATGTACAAGTCAGGTTAGGCCTCACAGAAATGGCATGAAGGGGTTTTGAGGCATGAGTAGGAGTTCACCAAGTAGGAAAGAGATGGAAGGGTATCCCAGGGGAAGGAAATAGGGTAATCAAAGGCCTTGGTCCTCCTCCCCCTGATTGCAGGTTTCCATGGTGATGGTCTTGGCACAGAGCCTCTTCCACAGCTGGAGCAAACTCGAGTCAGCCTGGAACACAGCAGTGGAGGGTGAGATCCATGCTGAGAACAGCTGGGGCCGTAAGATCCTGCACTGCTGGTTGAAAGGCCCCCAGCGGGAGCTCAACCTTACAGCAGCCTAGAGGCGTCTGGAGCAGGTGAGAACCTGGGAGGCCCGTGTAGTCAAGACACCAACCAGTCTCTCACCTGGCTGCTCCTGCGTCTCACCTGCTTGGGATAGAAAAGGGCTTTGTGCCACTAGGCTTGGCCTCTGACCTTGGGCTTCCCTGAGCCTCTCTTTCTCTCTCTCTTTCCTTTTCCTTCTTTTCCTTTTAGATATTTTCTTGACAGTCTGGTTCTGTTGCCCCTGGCTGGATTGCAGCGATAAAGTCATAGCTCACTGTAGCCTCCAACTTCTGGGCTCAAAGGATCCTCCCACCTCAACCTCCCAAATTGTCAGAACTATAGGCACATACCACCCATGCCACTATGGCATTGAAGGGGTTTTGAGGGATGAATAGGAGTCCACCAAGTAGGAAGGAGATGAAAGGATATCCCAGGGGGAGACATCTCTGACTCTCTTTCAAGCACACATGAGGTATTGCTATGTTGCCCAGGCGGGTCTTAAAGCCCTGGGATCAAGTGATCCTCCCATCTCAGCCTCCCAAAGTTTTGGGATTACAGGGGTGAGCCACTGTGCTCAGACAAGCCTTAGTTTCTTGGTCTGCGAAGTAGACCCTGGTCACATTAGCACAGATTCAAGAGCAAAGCTGGGCTTCCTTTGGCTGAGAAGTCCAAGTTGTTCTTTCCCCCTGGGCACCTAGGGAGGTCCAGCTGTGGTGGAGCTGGTGGGATCCTGTGGTCTGAGCAGGCTGGAGGCTGCAGTCCAGTTGAGCAGCTGTGATAGTCATTTCTGGGGGAGATCAGCAGGCTGTAGGGGGCTACACCTTTCCTCCCTGCAAGGCGGGTCTGCGGCTTGGTCCTGTTGGCCCATCCCTCCCTTTAGCCTGGGTCTTGTTGCAGCCACGGAAGACCCAGGTGTCACTGATGGCTCTGAGGACCGGTGCCCATGGCCAGCCTTGGGGCCTGCAGTTGGAAGGCGAGCTGGAGGAGCTGAGGCGAGACAGGACTTTGTACCAGAAACGGGGGACCTTGCTCTTTAGGTGTGTGTGCCCCTTCTCCTAGGCTGACATCCCTGCAAGTGTCCCCTTTTCCAGCATGGAGGGTCCCCAGGGGAGACAGGATGGGTAGAGCTACCTGGAGAAATTGTGCTGACCTGCTGGGCCCGAATGAAACCCAGATCCCAGAGAGAGCCCCTTCCCCTGAAAGCTGCCACATCCCTATCCCCTCCATTAGTTGCGGAGGCAGGAGCAGAAGTCAGAGTCTTATCATCCTAGCCTGGGGCTGCTTGGAGAGTCTTCTCATTTCCTAGAGACAGAGCTCATTAAAAAGGCAGTTCCCTGTGTGCTGGGAACAGCATGAGATTGGAATGAGCGGAGCCATCTTGGACGCCAGGCTATGCATTGAGCAGCTGTGTGGTGTTAGATAAGTCACCGGTCTAAACAGCAGCAGTAATGACAAGGAATAGCAGCAACATTTGCAGATTTCATTTGTGTTTTTGCCCCATTTACATTCATTGAGCACCTGTTATGTACCAAGTACTCTTCTGGGCACGTGGAAAATGACAGAGAACTAGAAGGGCAGAAACCCTTGCTCTTGGGGAGCTTACATTCATTTCATGTATGCTACCTCTCATCCCGATCACTGTGTCCAATGAGTGTTATTTAGCTGCATTTTACATATGGGGAAACTGAGGCACAGAGGTCAAGTCGTTTGCACAAGGTCACCCAGCTAGTGAAAGACCATGCCTGGATTTCAGCCCCAGTCTGTGTGACACCAGATGATGTGTGCCATCTATCCCCTTGGGTCTTTGCTGTCAAATGGCGACAGGGACCCCAACCATGCCCACTTGGATGGCACAGTGAGATGGTGAAGGGTTCTGAGTGACAAATTGTGAAAGCACAGGGCTTCCCTATGTCCTGGTCTTCTCTTCTCTGAGAGAGACTCCAAACTTGGCATGCCGGGCCAGTTTTGACAGGCCCAGCTCATGACAGGCCCAGGCTGAGACCGTGGGGCTCCGTTGTCCCCGACACTGCCAGCTGCTTTAGTGGCTTTGGCCTGTTTTTCCCCTCTGCACACCAGGCACCCCTTGCAGCTGCCCATCCCGCAGAGCCTCGTCCTGCAGGGGACCTTCACGGCTGACAGGCAACGCGAGTGCTATTCCCTGGAGACAAGGGTTGTCTTGAACGGCCGAGAGGAAACCCTGCAGACTGTTGTCCTGGGCTACCAGGCCAGACACCCCTATGTGAGTGGGTCCGGCACAGCCAGGAAGGTACCTGAGAGCAGGAAGGAGGCCCCAGCTGTCTCGTGACCTCCCTGCATGCGTGTGTACATGTATGTCATTGTCCCTCCCAGGTCTGTGCAGGTCTGACACATCCATATGATGGCACAGCCATCCCCAGGAACACAGAGGGGTGCCTGGTTACTTGGAATCAGCACAAGGTGAGTGGAGAGACCTTTGCACACCAGCCAGCCCTGGCTCAAGTTGCTGTCATCTCTCAATAGGATTAGAAACATGTTCTCTGGGCTGAGTGCGGTGGCTCATACCTGTAATCTCAGCCACTCTGGAGGCTGAGGCGGGAGGATCTCGAAAGGCCAGGAGTTAGAGCCATCTGGGCAACATATGGAAACCCCATTTCTCCAAAAAAAAAAAAAATGTTTTTTAATTAGCCATGGTGGTGTGCACTTGTAGTCCCAGCTACTCCGGAGGTTGAGGCAGGAGGATCAATTAAGCCCAGGAGGTTGAGGCTTTAGTAAACTGTAATCATACCACTGCATTCCAGCCTGGCTCACAGAGCAAGACTCAGATACCCACCTTCCCCTAGAAGAGTTATCCATGCTGGGCATGGTGGCTCACGCCTCTAATCCAGCACTTTGGGAGGCCAAGGCAGGCAGATCCCCTGAGGTCAGGAGTTTGAGACCAGCCTGGCCAACATGGTGAAAGCCTGTCTCTACTAAAAATCCAAAAACTAGCCGGGCATGGTGGTGGGCACCTGTAGTCCCAGCTACTCGGGAAGCTGAGGCAGGAAAATCACTTGAATCCAGGAGGTAGAGGTGGCAGTGAACCGAGATTGCACTACTGCTCTCCAGGCCAGACTGCCTCCAAAAAAAAAAAAAAAAAAGGTTCTCCTGCCTGGGTTCTCTGTTTCATTTGGTCCTCCCTAGTACGGTCTATGTGACCGTCAGAGGGATATTTTCTTTCCTTTTTTTTTTCATATGGAGTCTCACTGTCACCAGGCTGGAGTGCAATGGCTCTCAGCTCACTGCAACCTCCAATTCCCAGGTCCAGGTGATTCTCCTGCCTCAGCCTCCGAGTAGCTGGGACTACAGGCATGTGCCACTACACCCAGCTAATTTTTGTAATTTTAGTAGAGACGGGGATTTCACCATGTTGGCCACGATGGCCTCGATCTCTTGACCTCGTGATCCACCCCCTCGGCCTCCCAAAGTGCTGGGATTATAGGCGTGAACCACCCCACCCAGTCCAGAAGGATATCTTCTAAAGGCCAGTATAACTCTGCCACTCCCTTGCTCTCAAACCGTGACAGCCTCTCTTGGGATAAAGCCCCAGTCCTGTGCCCTCAGCCCCACTTCGTGGCCTGCATTCCCCTCATCCAGCCTCTTCGCATTCCCTCGCCTGGCTCTTTCCTGCCTCAGGGCCTCTGCGTGTCCTGTGCCTGAAGCTGTCACCCTCTCCTTCACCTCCCTTCTACTCATGAGCTCCAGCATCCTCTCACATGACCCCCAGACCACCTCACACACACCTGCCTCAGCCTCCCGAGTGGCTGGGATTACAGATGTGCATTCCCATGCCCGGCTAGATTTTGTATTTTTCGTAGAGACAGCCTTACGCCCTGTTGGCCAGGTTGTCTTGAACTTGTGACGTCAAGTGATCTCCCCGCCTCGGCCTCCCAGCCAAAGTGCTGGGATTACCGCTGTGCCCAGCTTGCCCTATATCTTTTGCTTCTAGCACCAATCATACATTCCAGTTTCTTTCTTTCTTTTTTTGACAAAGTCTTACTCTGTCACCCAGGCTGGAGTGCAGTGGCACAATCTTGCTCACTGTAGCCTTGACATCCTAGGCTCAAGCAATCCTCCCACCTCAGCCTCCCGAGTAGCTGGGACCACAGGCACATGCCACTGCCACCACCACACCTGCCTTTTTTAATGTTTTATTTTTAGTAGAGAGAGTCTTGCTATGTTGCCCAGGCTGGTCTTGAACTCTTGGACTCTAAGTGATCCTCCCATCTTGGCCTCGAAAGTGCTGGGATTACAGGTGTGAGCCACCGTACCTGGCCCCAGTTCTGTTTTTGTGTGATTCATCAGTCACTGGTTCCTTTGTTACTCTGGAAAACTCGTGATCTCCACCAGCACTTTATTTACCACTGTAGCTACAGGACTTGGTACACAGTAGGTGCTCAATGAAGAGTTGCTGCCGTGGTGCTATTTAACACCCACTGCATGCCAGGACCCAGAGTAGAGGTCACCAGACTTTTCTAGAAAGAACCCAGTAGTAACTAGTTCAGGCTTCACGGGCACACGGTTCAGGCCTTGTTGACTCAACTCTGCCATTGCAGTTCGAGAGAAGCGTGGACGGTACGTAATGAATACGTAATGGATGGGCATGGCTGTGTCCTAACAGGACTTCACTTACTAAAACACACCACATTTGGACCAGGGGCCTTAGTTGCTGACCCCTGAGTTAGAGGGTCTTTTCTGAGACAGGGTATTGCTCTGTCACCCAGGCTGGAGTTCAGGGGCTCGATCATGGCTCACTCACTGCAGCTTTGACCTCCTGGCCTCACGTGATCCTCCCACCTCAGCCTCCTGAGTAGCTGAGACCACAGGTGTGCACCACCACACCCAGCTCGTTTTAAAAATGTTTTGTAGAGATGGAGATCTCTCTCTGTTTCCCAAGCTGGTCTTGAATTCTCAGATTCAAGGGATCCTCCTACCTTACCTTTCAAAGTGCTGGGATTAGGCCAGGCATGGTGGCTCACGCCTGTAATCCCAGCAATTTTGGAAGCCAATGAGGGTGGATCACTTGAGGTCAGGAGTTCAAGACCAGCCTGGCCAAAATGGTGAAACCCATCTCTACTAAAAAACTACAAAAATTGGCTGGGCATGGTGGCAGGTGCCTATAATCCCAGCTATTTGGGAGGCGGAAGCATGAGAATCACTTGAACCTAGGAGGCGGAGGTTGCAGTGAGCGGAGATCACACCACTTCACTACGGTCTGGGGGACAGAGAGAGACTTGGTCTCAAAAAATAAAAAAAGTGCTGTGGTTACAGATAAGAGTCACTGGGCCTGGATGAGGGTCTTGACATTTTGGCTCTTCAGGGGTGAAACTTGTTTTTGCCTGTGTGTCCTTGGCAAATTATTTCATGTCTCTGGACCTCAGTTTCCTTGTCGGTAGAATGGGGGCAGTAGTGCTCATCTCTTATGCAGGGGCTGTGAAGATTACAATGGAGTATCGTACAATGCCAACTACACCCCTGTCCAAGGCTTCTTCCTGACACCTCTAGGAGGCGTCGATACTCTGGGCGATCACCGCATTTTTCAGCAAGCATTTATGGAGCATGTGCTGTGTGCTAAGCCCCCAAGGAAGACAGTCATTGTTTGTCTCTCTCTCTCTCTCTCTGTTTGTTTGTTTGTTTGAGACAGAGTCTCCCTCTGTTGCCCGGCTGGAGTCTGGAGTGCAGTGATTAAATCTCAGCTCACTGCAACCCTCCACCTCCCAGGTTCCTGTGCAGACGCCTCCTATCCCTTTTTTTTTTTAAACCAAGTCTCCCTCTGTTGCCCAGGCTGGAGTGCAGCTTCGGGATCTCGGCTCACTGTAACCTCTGCCTCCTGGGTTTAAGTGATTCTCCTGTCTCAGCCTTCCGAGTAGCTGGGATTACAGGCACCCACCGCCACACCCAGCTGATTTTTGTACTTTTAGTAGAGATGGGGTTTTTCCATTTTCGTGCGGATGATCGCAAGCTCCTGACCTCAGGTGATCCACCCTCCTCAGCCTCCCACAGTGCTGGGATGACAGGCGTGAGCCGCCTCACCTGGCTGTTTGTCTCTTGCAAGATGCACCCCAGCCCCTGGGAAGGAGGGTGAACCAAGCACGTGTTGCACATTGAGACCCACCCTTCTGGGGCTCCCTTCACCATTAGTCAGATGAGGCTGTGTGTGTGTGTGTGTGTGTGTGTGTGTGTGTGTGTCCGTGTCCCCAGGGATGACATAGTACACTTCTTGGAGCTTTTAGGGGAAAGCAAATGGCAGGATGACAGCCTCAGACACCTGCAAAGTGCCTCCCGATGGTGTTTGCTGTTTCTTATGCCGGAGATTGCAGAGCCGGCACCGTGGGCCAAATTCGACCTGCAGATGGGTTTTGTTTGGTCTGCTTAGCATTTACATTTTTTAAGGAAATTAATTGCTACATTTGAAAATCAGAAGATTTTGAGTGAAATCCAGATTTCTGCTGTTTTTAAGGAAAAAAAAAGTCAGAAGATGTGACCATACCGGGCCTCAAATCCCAGCTGACAACAACAGACAGAGTAAATGGCAATCCTTTCGTTTCGTATAATTTGGCTCTCTGCTCTTTTTTTTTACTATTATTATTTTTTGAGACGCAGTCTAGCTCTGACACCAGGCTGAAGTGCAGTGGCACAATCTTGGCTCACTGCCACCTCTGCCTCCTGGTTCAAGTGATTCTTCTGCCTCATTTTTCTGAGTAACTGAGACTACAGGCGCACATCACCACGTCCAGTTAATTTTTGTGTTTTTTAGTAGAGATGGTGTTTCACACATTGGTCATGATGGTCTCAATCTCTTGACCTTGTGACCCGCCTGCCTCAGCCTCCCAAAGTGCTGGGATTACAGGTGTGAGCCACCACACCAGGCCTCTCTGCTCTTTTTAAAACCATGTCTACGCTGGGCATGGTGGCTCACACCTGTAATATCAGCACTCTGTGAAGCTGAGGCAGGGAGATTATTTGAGGTCAGGAGTTCGAGAGCAACTTGACCAACATGGTGAAAACCCATCTGAACTAAACCAAAAAAAAGAAAAAAAGCTGGGTGTGGTAGTATGCACCTGTTATCCCAGCTACTCAGGAGTCTGAGGCAGGAGAATCACTTGAACTTGGGAGGTGGAGGTTGCAGTGAGCCAAGGTCATGCCACTGCACTCCAGCCTGGGCGACAGAGTGAGACTGTCTCAAAAAACAAAACAAAACAAAGCCTCTGTGTGTGTTTAATGACAAACATTTTTCTCATTTCGCATTTCTCTCGGTCCTCTTGGACCCTTATTTCTATTCCTCCATCTTGGTTCTAACGTGAAGCTGAGCATCCCTTTAAAGGTGCACAGCAACGATAAGGCTTCTTAGCAGGCAGTTTTAACTTCTCAGTCAACACAGGTAGGAAAGATGGCAACGTGCTACTGTGTACTTGGCCTGTGGCAGAATCTGAATGGTTGTTGAGTGAATAAATTCAGCAGTTGTGTATTAGTTTGCTATGTTTGCCGTAACAAACTGCTGCAATCTTAGTGGCTTAAAGCATCACAGATTTATTTTACAGTTTTGGAGCTCAGAAGTCCAGATTGGATCTCACGTGGCTAAAATCAAGGTGTTAGTAGGGCTGTGTTCTTTTTGGAAGCTCCAGGGGAGAGGCCATTTTCTTTCCTTTTCCAGCTTCTACAAGCTGCTTGCACGCCTTGGCTCATGGCCCCTTCCACCTTCAAAGCCAACAGCATGGTGTGTGACTCTGACCCTCCTGCCTCCCTCTCATAGGACCCTTGTGATTAATTTAGGGCCACCTGGATAATCTCCCCATCTCTAGATTCTCAGTCCAATGACACCGCAAAGTCTCTTTTGCCATGAAAGGTCCCATATTTATAGGTTTCAGTGATGAGGACATAGATGTCATCGTGGAATGAGTGTTCTTCTGCCAGCTCCACAAAGAATTATGCATTCTTTCACTCTAGCACAGCTTTGACCTTGAGGTTTCAGGCTGTAACTAGGGATTCTGCATTTGCCCAAATATTTATTGAGCACCTACTACACGCCAGGACCTGTGCTAAGTGTTAGGAATAGGGCAGTGAACAAAACAGACTACTCCCAGGGCACTCTCTTTGAAGACGACACAGGTATTCACATTTGTTCCATCATGCCCACCCTGCCAGTCTTACCTGTGGGCATTGGAATTCACCATTCCCATGTACCCGTACCCACTTCCTGCCCTATAGATGGAACACCATAGACTGCTCCGTATCCCATCAATCTTTGGACCACTTTCTTCTGACCGCTGGGTTCCCGGGGTGACTTCTGCAGGCACGTAGAGATGGGACAGGACCTCTCTCAGTGCCTCTGGTTCTCACTCACCTAGGCTAAGACAAGGGAGGTTGAGGCCACTTTGAAAGTCAAGTGGAAAGTTGTACTGCACTTAAAGGGTTTGCATCACGACAGATCTCAGCGCGGGGAAAGCCGGCACAGCCTAGCCCTGGACTTGGCCCATTCCTACCAGGTACAGGTCCCCAGCTTGGGCAGACACTGGTTTGTGACCTCCACACAGAGCTTGGCTGTTAGGGAAGTAAAGGGTGTTATCTGTTTCTTCCCAGCTGAGCTTCCCCCAGGCCCTGAGCTTGGATGGGGGCATCATCTTTAGACAGAGTCCTCCAGGAACGTTCAGTTTTGGCGTGGATACTCGAGCTGCCATCAACCACGTCACATCCCAGGTGAGGAGGCTGAGTTCTGCTCCCTTGTGTAGGGAGGCAGTTTTTAATAACCTTTAGTGAAGGTGCCCTGTATGGAATGTCTCAGGAGGTGGCAGGAGAAGACATGAACCTGGGAAGCCAACAGCACAGCCCTTATTTTGGCAGTGTGTGTGTGATTAGTCAGGAGGCATTGACTATTATAAACTAATGTTTGCCTCCTTGTGAAAGGCCAGTATTCATGTCTCAGCTCAGCGAGGCTCTGCTCCATGCAGTCTCTCAGGATCCAGGCCTCCCCACCTTGTGGCTCTGTCCTAGATGACAGATGGAGAGAGAGAGACAGTGGAGAATTAGGCAGGAGGTTTTTATGGGCCAGACCTGTAAGTCGAAAGGTTGGTCATTCCTGCCTGGGTTCTCATCACATGACCCCACCTAGCTGCAAGGGAGGCTGGGAAATGTAGTTTTAGCTGTATGTCCAGGAAGAAAAGGAAACAGTTTGGTAAAGATATAGCAGCCATTGCAGGTATATTTACTCATTCATGGCTGTTCATTTGTTCATCCATGTATGTCTTCATGTCCATTCATTCAGCATGGATGAGTTGTGTCTCTGCTGTTTGTCAGGTTCTGTGATGTGCATTGGGGGGTACAAGGGTGACTCTGTCCCCATCTCTGTTCCCGTCTCTGAGGAGCTTTAAGTCTAGTGGGCTTTTAGTGTTAGATAAGTTCAAGTTCATCTCCCAGTTTCACTGTTAATGAGCTATGTAACCTTGAGATACTGGACACCACTGGGCCTCAGTTTTGCTATCTGGGAAATGGGATGGTAACACCAACCCAGCAAAGCAGGGTTGGGGATTAAATGAGATGGTCATTGTGAACCTGGTAGCACAGTGCCTGTGTCATGGTCAGGGTCAAGGAGAAGGTGGCGTGGCTGTGGGGGGTGTGAACAGGCACCATGGCAGGGAATAGGGGGTCCCAGAGTGGTCTTCCCAGCGCCCCCATCCAGGGCTTCACTTCCTAAGCATCCTTTCTCAGGAGTGTAGCCTGAGTAAGATTTAGGGCTGAGGAACATTGAGGGAGGACAGACGTTTCTGGCTTGAGCTCTGGGCATATTCTGGGATGCATTTGCCCAGCAGCCATTGCCCGGGATTCTGCATCTCCCTCTCTGTTCCTTGTGACCCTTTTCCAACTCTCCCCGAAACAGGTCTCGGTCCAGCTGAACAGATCTGACTCCAACTTTGCGTTTTTCTTCCAACTCAGACATCCCCACAGACCATCATTTCCTCCAAACTTCCAGGTATGGATGTTGCTCCCTAGGGGATGACCTTGACTTGCCTGCCAAGGGTTGTGTGTGAGCAGCCGGCCTGCTGGGCGGTGGATGGAAGGAAGGCAGGTTGGGGGCCCGAGGGAGGGAGGCCGCACTTGCAGCGTCGTTCTTAGCCAAACAGCCTCTGCAGAACCAAGAACAGATGGCAGGGAGGTTTCCAAATCCATCATTTGGAAGTGATTGTCCAGGCAAGAAGGGTTTTAGCCTCCAGGGGGTGGGGATGAAGGATCATATTTCACTCTTGAAAATGGACAGAAACAGAATTTTCCTCCTAACTGTGTCCTCTACTGGGCTTGGGAGAAGCCGTGTAATGTTTCAGGAGGGTTTATTGACCCAGGGTATTTTGCCCAGTGTGGAAATAAAGAGGTGGAGAAAGATATCCAGGTGGAAGCCCCCAGGGCTGGGGCCCTAGAGAGTCCTGTCCCCAACGAAGTTTGCGGCTTCGTTGAGCAGGGTGTGCGTGGTGTTTGCACAGGAATTAGGTGGTGGCTAATTCAGGGACGTGGAGGTGCACATAGGAAATCCTGACAGGGATGAGGCCCTCAGGAGGTGTGGGGCAGACCACTAATTTGATATCAATAAAATTAATTACAGGTGGAGTCTGACTATGTTGCCCAGGCTGGTTTTAAACTCTTGGCCTCAAGCTGTTTTCCTACTTCAGCCTTCCAAAGTGCTGAGATCACAGGCATGAGCCACTTTACCTAGCCTGAGAAATTTCAAGATAAATTTCTTTTGAGCCAGGATCTCACCGTTTCCCGGGCTGGAGTGCAGTGGCGTAATCACGGCTCACTTCCGCCTTGACCACATGGGGTCAAGCGATCCTTCCACCTCAGTTTCCTGAGTAGCTGGGACCACAGGCATGTGCCACGGCACCTGGCTAGTTTTTGTATTTTTTCTTTTTTTTGGCAGAGACAGGGTCTCACTGTGTTGCCCAGGCTGGTCTTGAACTCCTGGCTTCATGTGATCCTCCTCCCTCAGTCTCCCAAGGTACTGGGATTACAGGCATGAGCCACTGCATTCAGCCCTGACCGCATTTTTCAAACAGCTGCTGTGCATTCCCTGTGTGTTGGGTTTTAGGAAATTGAATGGAGCTGAAGAATGTCTCTGAATGGAGGAATCTGCTTATTCTGAGAGGCACGAGCTTTCACAGGTTGATGTCCCCGAAGTCAGGATGTATCTATACAAGGACACAGGTCACCGTTTCACTAGCAACCTTTTGCTTTTGTGGCATTCCCTAAGATCAGGGCCCATCTGAGCACTGCTGGCATCTTAGATCAGAGGAAACGCCATCATATGAACCATTCATCTAGGAGCTGACGTCTGTGGAGTGATTGCATGGCAGGCCCTGTTCTAATCCCTCCTTGTGGATTATCTTGTGAACACCTCTTGATGCTGTTGTGTGGGGTGTGGAGCACTGTGGTACCATATTGGGGGTGTAGCTCTGAGTGGGGGTGTGGTGTGACTTGCCCAAGATGATGGAGCTCAACGAGAGGAAGATTTTGGGTGGGAACCCAGGCATCTGGCTTCAGAGCTCATGCAATTCCCTGAACTCACTGGGGAGTGGGGGTGGGTTCCCCTGGAAGCTTGGCTGTCATCTAATGGGTTCAAACTTTTTTTTTTTCTTTTTTGAGACGGAGTCTCACTCTGTCGCACAGGCTGGAGTACGGTGGCCCAATCTTGGCTCACTGCAACCTCGGTCTCCCAGGTTGAAGCGATTCTTGTGGCTCAGTCTCCCAAGTAGCTGGGATTACAAGCATGTGCTACCATGCCTGGCTAATTTTTTGCATTTTTGGTAGAGATGGGATTTCACCACATTGGCCAGGCTGATGTTGAGCTCCTGTTGACCTCAGGTGATCCACCCACCTCGGCCTCCCAAAGTGCTGGGATTAGAGGCGTGAGCCACTGCACCTGGCTCGAAGATTAATTTTAGTTGTTTTTGTGTTGTTTTGTTTTTTAGATGGAGTCTGGCTCTGTCGCCCAGGCTGGACTGTGGTGGCACGATCTTGGCTCACTGCAACCTCTGCCTGCCAAGTTCAAGAGATTCTCCTGCCTCAGCCTCAGGAGTAGCTGGAATTACAGGCGTCTGCCACCACGCCCAGCTAATTTTTGTAATTTTAGTAGAGACAGGGTTTGCTGTGTTGGCCAAGCTGGTCTCAAACTCCTGACCTCAGGTGATCCGCCTGCCTCAGCCTCCTAAAGTGCTGGGATTATAGGCATGTGCTAACGTGCCTGGCCATTTTAATGTTAATTTTTAAGACAGGGTCTTGCTCTGTCACCCAGGCTGGAGTGCAGTGGCATGATCATGGCTCACTGCAGCGTCCACCTCCCAGACTCCAGCCATCCTTTCACCACAGCCTTCTGAGTAGCTGGGACTGCAGGTGTGAGTCATCGTTCCCTGCCAGTCTATGGGTTTGACAGATGCATATAGTGTCATGGATCTGCCATTACAGCGTCATTCAGAGAAGTTTCTCTGCCCTAAATAAATCCTCTGGTCTCTACCTTTTCATGCTTCCTACACTCCACCCCCCGGCAACCACTGCTCTTTTTACTCTCTGTGGTTCTGCCTTTTCCAGAATGTCACAGAGCTGGAATACGGTGTGCAGCCTTTTCAGGTGGGCTTCTTTCACTTGGTAATATACATTTAAGTTTCCTCGATGTTTTTTTTAAGACAGAGCTTTGCTCTTTTTGCCCAGGCTGGAGTGCAATGGCATGATCTTGGCTCATACAGCCTCTGCCTCCTGGGTTCAAGAGATTCTCCTGCCTCAGCCTCCTGAGTAGCTGGGATTACAGGCATGCGCCACCATGCCTGACTAATTTTTGTATTTTCGGTAGAGGCGGGGTTTCTCCATATTGGTCAGGCTGGTCTCGAACTCCAGGTGATCCTTCCCCCTTGGCCTCCCAAAGTGCTGGGATTACAGGTGTGAGTCACCATGCTTGGCCTCCTCTATGTCACTTTCAGCTTAATCGCTCATTTCATATTAGCACTGGATAATATTCCATTGTGTGGATGTATCATATTTTATTTATCAGTTCATCTATGGAGGCACCAGGCATTCTTTTAAAAGCTTTCCAGGCTGGGCATGGTGGCTCACCCCTGTAATCCCAGCACTTTGGGAGGCCAAGGCGGGCAGATCACCTGAGGTCAGGAGTTTGAGACCAGCCTGGGCAATAAAGTAAACCCAACTCTACTAAAAATACAAAAAACATTAGCTGGGCATTGTGGCAGGTGTCTGTAATCCCAGCTACTCAGGTGGCTGAGACAGGAGAATCACTTGAATTTAGGAGGTGGAGGTTGCAGTGAGCCAAGATTGCACCACTATACTCCAGTCTGGGTGACACAGTGAGACTCCATCTCAGAAAATTAAAAAAAAAAAAATTGTAATGCACAGGCTGGATTGAGAACCACAGGGCTAAACCCACTTTGCAGATGGGGAGACTGAGGCCCAGATCAGGAAAGGGAGGGATTCAGGTCCCAAGGAGCTGGTAGAGCCTTGGGCCTCTCTGCTCATACCCCACACTGCTCCCCTCAATACCCTTGTTGGGCCCAGCCACGTGTTCACCCCAGCCTGACCACACGGGTACTCAGATGCCATCCCCTTTGAACCCCAGAAATTCTGGGTCCTCTGGTTCCTTGCAGGCACTCTATAGGGCCTCCTTTTCTGTGGAGGAGTTGAAAAGATGTCCTCTGCTTCCCCCACCAGCGTCTTCAGGCACCGGCACAAGTTTTAGAGCTAGGCAGACTCAGGTCGCCTATGTGACCCTCTCAGAGCCTCAGTTTCTCCATTTCACAGTAAGAACTCCCATTTCACGTGTGGTGGAAAAGTCAAGATGAGACTGTACTCCTGGTCCGGGAGCTGGGGCTGGGGTGGGCTAGCTCCCCCTTCCTCCCTCTGTCTCTCTTCCTGTTTGTGTGCTGTCTACCATGGTTGGTGAGTGCTCAAAGCTGGAGTGGCCCAGAAGGGCTTCCTGGAGGAGGAGGCAGCCCTCCCCCACACCCAGGATCCCACAGACCCGCCCTGTCCTTCCCCTGCCTCCCTGCAGGTGCAGGCAGCTGCCGGGCACTACAGAATGCGCAGCCTCAATAGGTTTCTATCTGTGCGAATGTCTGGCTGGGAGCTGGTTCTGCTGGAGGTCGACGCCAGCCAGGACACTCGAAGGAGCGGCCGGGGCTGGGGCGGGAGTGTCCTTCTCCACCAGGCTGTCTTCAGCGCCCCCAGGGCTGTTCGGCTGCAGCTGTTTGGAAAGATCACCCCAGCAAGGTAACGGTCTCTAGGTGGCCTGCGACGAGGCGGGGAGACCATAGAGGACAAAAGGCACCTGTCCTGGGACATGGGAAATCCTCACTCAGAGACCCCTCTCTGTCCCTCTGAAACCATACCCAAGTCAGCCCCATCGGTGCCACTGAGGGCGTCAAAAGCAGGTGGCATTCAGTTTTCCACTTTGACCCTTTCTTTCTTTTTTGTATTGTTATGAGAGCGTTGATTGTAGATGGCTTAAAGGATGATATGTAAGGGCACCATGGGAGGATTGCTTGAGTTCAGGAGTTCCAGGGCAGCTTATGCAACACCACGAGACCCCATCTCCACAAAAAATTAAAAAATATATTAGCCAGATGTGGGGTGCACCTGTAGTTCCAGCTCCTCATGAGGCTGAGGTGGGAAGGTTGTTTGAGCTCAGGAGTTCAAGAGCAGCCTGGACAACATCGTGAGACCCCATCTGTACAAATTTTTTTTAAAAAGCCAGATGTGGTGGCATGCACCTGTAATCCCAGCTACTTGGGAGGCTGAGGTGAGAGGATTGCTTGAGCTTCGGAGTTGGAGGCTGCAGTGAGCTATGGTTGCACCATTGCAGTCCAGCCTGGGCGGCAGAGTGAAATGAGCCTGCTGCTAAAATAGCAATAATAGTAATAATGTAAAAATGAATGAAACAAAATCACTAGTGACCCAAAGAACGTGTGTCTCCCTCTGGTCTCACATCTGAGTATATATTTACATACGGATGTGTCCAGTATGGTGGGGTCCAGGGTTGGCCACTTGGGTTCAGGTCCTGGCTCTGCCACTGCTGCCTCTGGGACCACTCTCCCTTCTGTGCCTCAGTTTCTCCCCCTGCTTCTTAGGGTGGATGAACTGAGCGCTGCATGTGAGTTCCATGCCAGGACCAGTGGGCATGCTCAGTGGGTACCCTCTTTCTGCAGGTGTCAAATGAAATGCCAGACTTCCCTGCTACTGTCCTCTGGGTGCTCAGACATGACGCCTGTGTGACCAGGGGCGGGGGGTCTTTTTTCCTAGCAAGCAATTCTCTGGTGGACACTAACTGGTTGTCCTACAAATTAACTGAGTTCTGACCCTGGAGGTGGCATCAGCCCCCTCAGGTAAAGTGTGCAGACTGCCCACAAGCTTAGGCACCATTCCCCTCAGCCTTGCTAGTAGCCGGATCTACAGGCTCGCCACCACACCTGGCTACATTTTTGTACTATTTTTGTAGGAACAGGATCTTACTATATTGCCCAGGCTGGTCTTGAACTCCTGGCCTGAAGCAGTTTTTCTGCCTTAGCCTCCCAATGTGCCGGGACTACAGGCATGAGCCACGTTTTATACATCATTACACATTATTACTTGTAGATTATTATGATTCTTCATGTTATCTACCATGACTGCTCCCATCACAATGGAAGAACCTAGGTTCAGCTCCCACTGTGCTTGGTGAGTGCTCGAGAGCTGGAGGGGATCCGGAGGGCTTCCTGGAGGAAGGGGTCCTTCCCCACACTCAGGTTCCTGTGGACCCTTTCTGTCTACCCTCTGCTTCTGGGCTCTCCCCTGCCTCCTGACCAACTGGTTATAACTCATAGGTCCCTATGACCTCCTCCCATCTTGTGTCTGATCATTTGCGAAAATGGCCCACAGAATTCAGGGAAACCTTTTATTTATATTTACTCATTGCTTATAGAGGCTATGATTGGAGAATGGCCGGATGGAAGAGACGCATAGGGCAAGGTATGGGGGAAGGGGTTCTGGGCTTCCCTGCCCTCTCTGGGCTCAGCATCCTCTGTGTGTTCAGCCCAGAAGCTCTCTGTGAGCCCCATGGTTCAGGGATTTCTATGGTGGTTTCATCATGTAGGCGTGACTGCCGAATAACTCAGTCTCCTGCCATTCTCCCCTTCTCAGAGGATTCAAGTTCCAAGCTCTAATCATGGCTTGGTCTTTCTGCTGACCACTCCAATCCAGGAAGCCGCCAAGAGTCACCTCATTAGAACCAAAGGTGCTCCTATCAACAAAAGGCATGTCCTACTTCCAAGGGATTAGGAGCTCTGTGTCAAGGATTAGGGGCAGAGACTAAGGATGTATTTCCTATTACATCACTATATTCTGCTATTTTGAGTACTGCATATTCTGGTACAAACTAGGTCTCCGTTAAATATTTCCTCTGTGATCCGGGCGTGGTGGCTCAGGCCTGTAATCCCAGCACTTCGAGAGGCTGAGGCGGGCTGATCACCTGAGGTCAGGAGTTTGAGACCAGCCTGATCAACATGGAGAGGCCCAGTCTTTACTAAAAATACAAAATTAGTCAAGTGTGATGGTGTGTGCCTGTAATCCCTGCTGCTCAGGAGGCTGAGGCAGGGGAATTGCTTGAATCCGGGAGGCAGAGGTTATAGTGAGCCGAGATCGTGCCATTGCATTTAAGCCTGAGCAAAAAGGGCAAAACTCTGTCTCAAAAAAAAAAAAAAAATGTCCTTTACAATCCCAGGTTTGTTCCAGCTTTGGCATGGATTTAAGGAGACCCTCGGCCATGAATGTGGTCCCAGATAACCTTGTCCTCAGAATTGCCACCACAGCTGTCTGTCCACCCACATGTCCACCTGTCCGTCCTTATCTCCAGTCTGAAAAGGATTTGAGGCACATTATTAAAATGTACCTTGTTCTAGGTCAGGAGTTGGCAGACTTTCAGTAAAAGGCCAGATGGTAAATATTTTCTGCTTTGCGGACCATGTGGTCGCTGTTGCAACTACGCAACCCTGCCATTGAGGCACAAGAGTGTCACAGACCATTCATAAATAATGTGTGTGACTGTGATCCAATAAAACTTTATTTATAAAAACAAGTGGTGGGCCAGTTGGGGCCCACAAGCTGTAGTTTGCCAGCCCTTGTTCTAGATTTTAAAAAGATACACGAGGAAGCTGGGGAAAGGGAAAAGAAAAATAGGAAGATGCTCAAAGTAATATCAGCAAACAAAATGGATGCCATGTGTTCCTCTGTGTTTTTTAGAGCTCAACTGAAGATTTGGCTCTGAGTTTCCTAGCAGCCAATGCAAAGAGAGAAACCAAAAAGTAGTAGTATTTGCAGTGGCCCTCAGAAAGTGCACACACACACTCCACAGCTGTGCACCATGAAATGCACGGCTCATCTTGTTCCTAGTGGTGAAGCTCAAGGGAAATCTCTCTCATGGTGTCACATAAGGAGTTTACTGTGTGATGATAGGAACTGCGTTTCCTGCCACAGTTTTCCAGCCAGTTTAACATCAAGCTTCACAAGTCTGTTCCTTTTCTCACATCTCTCAATCACTCATTATGACCCAGGAGCAGGCATCTTGTATTCCAAAGTTGATTTAATTGTAAACAGCCCTGTGTGTTGGGCACTGTTAGCTGCTTGAGCTTTGGATATGTGACTCTCTGTCTACCTGTTTCCTCATCTGTATATTGTGGATCATAATATTCTCAAAACTCACAGGGCTTTTGTAAGGAGTCAGTGCGTCTAAAGTGCACGATGCGTGGCAGAGAGTGTGTTGGTTAGATATTGCTGCATAGTGAGCTACCCAAAGCTTAGAGATTAAAGAACAACCATTTTGTGTGCTCACAATTCTGTGGGTCAGAAGTTTCCACAAGGCTTAGGCAGTTCTGCTCTATGTGGCATCAGCAGGGGTCATTCTCTGAGACTTTGCTGACATCAGCCTTCAGACGAGTCAGTTACCAGCCAGCTGTGTGCATGGGCTGAGGACGGAGTGGTGGCTTTCTTCCCATGTGTGGCACCTTGGTGCTCTTCCACATGCAACCCCCCTCTCTCTTTTCAAGTGGCTGCTTGGGCTTCCTCACATCATGGCAGTCTCAGGTTGGTTAGACTTCCTACCAGGTGTCTGGGTTCCAAGAGGAAGTGTTCCTGTGGAAGGCGAAAGTTGCAGATCTTAGGGTTCTACGTTGAAATGTCACTTATGCCACATTCTATAGACCAAAACACAGGTCACAAGGCTAGCCCTGATTCAAAGGGAGAGGAAATAGATCTCACATCTTAATGCAGGAGTGGCAAAGTCACGTTGTAGGAGAGTGTGTGGGAAGGGGTGGCCATAGATGGAAACACCCTCTGTCACACCTGGGTGAGTACCTGTCAGAATCAATATCAATTTCAGTTCAGGGCCAGGCACAGTGGCTCATGCCTATAGTCCCAGCATTTTGGGAGACTGAGGCAGGTGGATCAACTGAGGTCAGGAGTTCAAGACCAGCCTGGACAATATGCTGAAACCCCGTCTGTACTAAAAATACAAAGATTGTCCAGGTGTGGTGGTGGGGGCCTGTAATCCCAGCTACTTGGAAGACTGAGACAGGAGAATCATTTGAGCCTCAGAGGTGGAAGTTGCAGTGAGCCGAGATCGTGCCACTGCGCTCCAGCCTGGGTGAGTCTTCCCTGCCCTCCAAAAAATGCTCAATATCAGTATGTCCACTTTATTCCCCACTTCACATAAGAAGCAGCGGATGCTCAGAGAGCTTATGTCCTTGTCCCAGGTTATCCTGCTATTTGGAACCCAGCTTTGCCTGACTACAAAGCCTGATCTTAACCCCCTTACTTCACTGTCTAGGATTTGGCTGTTTTCCAAGGCACTACTGGACCAGAACATGGCACAGCTGCTCCTCAAGGCATCTGAGGAAAGGAGGGGAGGCCAGGTCCTGACCTTACAGAGCCAAACCCGGCACACGGTGGCTGGCTGGGCAGCGATGCCCCACCTCCTGACACTCGCAGGAAGGCTGAAGCAGAAGGAGACACTTTGAGAGGGTGAGGGCCTGGGGAACGCCATGGGGCAGGGGCAAGCACTTTCTATGGAACTGCGAAGTAGATTCAGTCCACCCAAGCCCACTGATGTTCCAATTCCAGCATCTCACTGGCGTATACACAGTTTTAGATAAAGGGGCCTAGAGGATTCCCCTTTGTGAGAAATGAATATGCATTCTGACAAAGAAAATCTGCTAACTAAAAACCAAATAGGGTTCCTTATGCAGGACTTGTCAGAGCCTTTAAAATGCTAACGGACATTGTGTATCTCCAGGAGAAAGAGTTGGGTGCAGGGTTTCCAGGCATATTTTTTTTAGAAAACTTTTTATTTTGATGTAACACTAGACTTGTAGGAAAGTTGCAAGAATAGTACAAAGAATCCCACAGGTCCTTTGCCCAGATTAATCAATTGCTAACATATTACATCTCGTAGATCATTCTCATATTCATATTCTCTCTATATGTACATGTATGTCTACTCTGTTTATGATTTCATTCCTGACTTGTGTTTTCTTAGGGTGCAGACATGATAGTTCTTTCTTTTTTTTATTTTATGAGAGAGTTTTGCTCTTACCCACCAGGCTGGAGTGCAGAGGAGCGATCTCAGCTCACAGCAACCTCTGCCTCTCAGGTTCAAGGAATTCTGCTGCCTCAGCCTCCCAAGCAGCTGTGATTACAGGAGCACAGCATCGCATCTGGCTAATTTTTTGTATTTTTAGTAGAGAATGGGGTTTCACCATGTTGGCCAGGCTGGTCTCAAACTCCTGAGCTGAAGTTCTGCCTCAGCTCCCAAGGTGCTGGGATTACAGGTGTGAGCCACCACGCCTGGCCAATACTGACATTTTGCAGGGTGCGAGGCAGTCATGTTGTGAAACAGCCTCCGTCTGGGTTTGAGAGATGCTTCCTGATGCCTGCATTCCAGGAAGCCTGTTGGTAGGACACCGCAGAAGTGAGGCAGCCTCCTGTCAGGTGGCACCTGCTGTCCATTTGTACAGCGTTGGTGACATTAGCTTGGATCTCTTGATTAAGGTGGGGTCTGCTAGGTTTCTTGGCTGTAAAGCTCTCAGTTGTTTCCTTTGTAATTAATCAGTAATTGTAGTGAGATACTTGTATTCTGTGGTCTCATCGAATTGTGAACCTCCTAGGTTTAGCGTCCACTGATGATGCTGGTCTGAGTCTGTTACTGCTATGATGATTGCCAAATGGGGATTTTTCTAATTAAAAAAAAATGTATTGCTTAGAGGCCAGGTGTGGTGGCTCATGACTGTAATCCCAGCACTTGAGGAGGCTGAGGCAGGAGGATCGCCTGAGGCTAGGAGTTAAAGACCAGCCTGGCCAACATGGTGAAACCCTGTTGCTACTGAAAATATAAAAATTTGCCAGGCGCGGTGTTGTATGCCTGTAGTCTCAGCTGCTCAGGAGGCTGAGGCATGAGAATCACTTGAACATAGGAGGCGGAGGTTGGAGTGGGCCAGGATTGTGCTACTGCCCTCCAGCCTGGGAGATAGAGTGAGTCTCTGTATTGCTCAGGGTAGAATGCTTTCCCTGCTCACTCCCTCTGCCTTTCCCTTCCCTTCTGTCCTAATCTGTCCTCGAAATGCTATAACATACCCGAGTCTGGGTCATTTATAAAGACATTGGCTCATAGTTCTTCAGGCTGTACTGGAAGCATGGTGCATTTGCTTCTTGAGGTGGGGAGCTGGGGGGTGGGCTGCCAGCACGTCACAGGCCAGAGCAGGATTAAGAGAAAGAGGGGTGTGCCACTACACACGTTTAAACAACCAGATCTCACTGTCACAAGGACAGTCCCAAGGGGATGCTGCTAAACTGTTTCTGAGAAATCTGCTCCCACTGATCCAGCTGCCTCCTACCAGGCCCCGCCTCCGACCCTGGGGATTACAATTCAACATGGGGTTGTTGGGGACACAGGTCCAAACTATATCACCGTCCCCCTTTCCTTCTTTCCTTAACCTCAGTACAAACTCATGGATTCCTGTTTTATTCTGTAATCCATAATGATCATGATTTATTTCAGTGCCCAGTTTTCCTAGATTTACCCCATGGGAGTCCCTGAAAGATGGCTCCTCTCCCTCCCACTCCCCCTCAGCATAGAGAAAAGTCCAATCGTACGGCAAACACCCATGTGCCCCCCACCTAACTATTATAATTGTTTGCATTTGCGTTATTTTCTTTATCCCCTCTGCACTATCCACCTGTCAGAGGTGTGTAAACCAGAGCAACTCCATCTTGAATGGGAGCTGTGTAAAAAGAGGCTGAGAACCACTGGGCTGCATGTTATGTAAAAATTTTCAGTGCCATAAAAGAATTAGCACTCGAATATAAATTTTCTCAGCAAGGCAATTTACTTCCATGGAAGATTTGGCTCACAGATAAAGCAATAGTGAGCACACACACGTGGTCAAGGGATTCTTATTCCTGACGGAGGTCGCCCCTACTGCTGTATCATTCTCCTATTGGCTAGGGTTAGACAGCACAGTCTAAGCTAATTCCAATTGGCTATTTTAAAGAGAACAGGGGTAGCAGCTGGAGTGGTGGAGTGGGTAGTTTGGTAGGAAGGACGGTTACCGGACCGGTTAGAGCAGGTGACCAGGGGTGACTCAGGTCAGAGCAGGTGACCAGAGGAACAGATGTGAACTACTGATTAGAACGGGCAGGAAAGTTGTTTGCTGAAACTGGAGGCAAGGGGGCAAAGAGGACCAGGATGTTAAACTTTACACTGGAGCTGAACATACTGACACACTGATTGTTTGAGGAGAAGCCTGGAGTTCACTATGTCTAACATGCATTCCCAGAAGTTAAGGCATTCTAAATCCCAGGATGAGATAGGAGGTCGGCACAAGATACATTTCATAATGACCTTGCTGCTAAAACAGGTTGCAGTAAAGAAGCCGGCTAAATCCCACCAAAAACCAAGATGGTGACGAGAGTGTCCTCTGGTCGTCCTCGTTACTACACTCCCGTCAGCACCATGACAGTTTACAGTTGCCATGGCAGCATCAGGAAGTTACCCTATGTGGTCTAAAAAAGGAGAGGTATGGGCCAGGGGTGGTGGCTCATGCCTGTAATCTCAGCACTTTGGGAGGCTGAGGTGGGTGTATCACCTGAAGTCAGGAGTTCAAGACCAGCCTGGCCAATATGGAGAAACCCCATCTCTACTAATACAAAAAAAATTAGGTGGCCGTGGTGTGGTGCGTGACTGTAGTCCCAAATACTCGGAAGGCTGAGGGAGGAGAATTGCTTAAACCTGGGAGGTGGAGGTTGCAGTGAGCTGAGATCACGCCACTGCGCTCCAGCCTGGGCAGTGTTAGATACAGTGAACTCCAAGTTTCTCTTCAAAGAATCAGTGTGTCACTATGTTCAGGCCTCTTATTCTTTAATTCTCTACTTTAAAATTTAACTTCCTTGTAGTTTCAGTAAACAACCTTTTCCACCAGTTCTAATCAGTAGTTCATGTCTGTTCCCCGCCCCCTGCTCCATCCTGAGATCATCCAGGCCACCTATTCTCATCTCCTGTCTGGTCACCTGCTCTGAACTGTTCCAGAAGCGTCCTTCCTGCCAAACTACCCACCCCACCACTCCGGCTCATACCCCTGCTCTCTTTAAAATAGCCGATCAGAATTAGCTTAGACTGAGCAGTCTAACCCTGGCCAATAGGAATGACACAGCAGTAGGGACTACCTGTGTCAGGAATAAGAACGCCTTCCTCTCCCTTGTCCAGCTGTGCTTGCCATTGACTGGGCGTGGTAGCTCACGCCTGTAATTACAGCACTTTGGGAAGCCGAGGTGGGCAGATCACGAGGTCAGGAATTTGAGACCATCTTGGCCAACTTGGTGAAACCCCGTCTTCTACTAAAAATACAAAAATTACCTGGGCATGGTTGTGGACACCTGTTTACTGAGGAAATTAATATTCGAGTGCTACTTTTGTGGCACCAAAAACTTACGCATAACAACAAGAGCGAAACAATCTCAAATAAAATAAATAAAAAATACAAAGCGGTGGGCATGAATAACCCACCTTGTTTAGTGTATATAATCAAATAACTGTAAAAACAGGCAGGCTGCAGTCCTGAGGGCTGCTCTGTCTTGAGTAGTTATTATTCCTTTCTTAATAAATTTGCTTTTGCTTTGCACCGTGGACTCGCCCTGAATTCTTTCTTGCACGAGATCCAGGAAGCCTGTTTTGGGGTCTGCATCCAGACCCCTGTCCTGTAAAACATCCATCTATGTTCTTACTGATGCTTTCCAGAGTAAGTTGTAGACATCAGAACACCTTACCCCTAAATGGATTAGCGCGCACATCACGAACTAAAGCTCGGTATTTGCTTACAGTCTCCCCGTCTCTTAATCTCCCTCCCTTACTTCCTTCCTCTGGTCGTGTAAATTTATGCAATGAAACGTGCCAATCTCAGCTGGGAGCAGTGGCTCAAACCTGTAATCCCAGCACTTTGGGAGGCCGAGAAGGGTGGATTGCTTGAGGCTAGGAGTTTGAGACCAACCTGGGCAACATAAGCAGACTCTTTGATACCACAAAAATTTTGGAAATTAGCGGGATGTGGTGGCGCATGCCTGTAGTCCCAGCTACGTGGCGACTGGGGTGGGAGGATCGCTTGAGCCTGGAAGGTGGAGGTTGCAGCAAGCCATGATTGCGTCACTGCATTCCAGCCCGGCCACAGAGTGAAACCCTGTCTCAAAGAAATAACCATTTAAATGTCTAGTGGTCTCTCTCTGTGGCTTTAATTTGCATTTTTTTGTTGATGAATGATGTTGATCATATTTTCGTGTATGTTATTTGTTCACGTAGCTTCCTTTGAGACAGGTCAGATCAACTTTTTCCCCATTTTAAAAGTTGTCTTTTATTGAGCTGTAAATACTCTTTATGTATTCTGGAATAGAATGTTTTCTTCCATTTGGATTTTTATGCCTTTTTTTTTTTTTTTTTGAGATGGGGCCTCGTTTTGTCACCCAGACTGAGGTGTGGTGGCACGATCATGGCTCACTGTAGCCTCAAACTCCTGGGCTCAAGCAATCCGCCTGCCTTAGCCTCCCAGGTAGCTGGGACTACAGGTGCATGCCAGCATACCCAGATAATTGTTTTTTAGAGGCATGGTCTCCATTTGTTGCCCAGGCTGGTCTGGAATGCCTGAGTTTAAACAATCCTCTTACCTCCACCTCCCAAAGTGCTGGGATTATAGGCATGAGCCACCATGCCTGGTCTGATATTTTTATGCCACTAAAGTTTTTTTTTTTTCTTACTACAGTGGGTAAGAACTACAGTATAATATTGAATAAAAATAAAAATTCTCACCTTGTTCTTAGTCTTACAAGGAAAATGTTCAAAATTTCCGCAAATAATTTTCATGTTTTCTATTGGTTTTGCATAGATGTTCTTTATCAGATTGCAGAGTTTTGTTTGTTTTTTAGAGACAGTCCTGCTCTGTCTCCCAGGCTGGATGGTGCAATCTCAGCTCACTGTAACCTGCAACCTCCCCCTTCTGGGTTCAAGTGATTCTCCTGCTTTAGCCTCCCAAGTAGCTGCAATTACAGGCACCCGCCACCACACCTGGCTAATTTTTGTAGTCTTACTAGAGACAGAATTTCACCATGTTGGCCAGGCTGGTCTCAAACTCCTGGCTTCAAGTGATCTGCCTGCCTCAGCCCTTCAAAGTGCTGGGATTATAGGCATGAGCCACCATGCCTGGCCAGTTTTTATTATTCTTAAGCATGGGTGTGGAATGTAGTCAGATGCCTTTTCTGAATCTAGTCCATATTCACATGGTTTTCCACTTTCATTTTGTTAGTAGAGTGAGTTAAATTGGTCTTCAGTGTGAAACCAACCTTGCTTTAGCGGGATTCCCTCCATTGTTTCATAAGCATTTTTCTTTCTATATGTAATTGAATTTGGTTTCCTAATACTTTGTTAAGAAAGTTGGTATCCGTGGGCTGGGCACTGCGGCTCACGCCTGTAATCCTAGCACTTGGGGGGTCCGAGGCAGGCGGATCTTGAGGTCAGGAGATTGAGACTGTCCTGGCCAACATGGTGAAACTTCATCTCTAGTAGAAATATGAAAATTAGCTGGGCGTGGTGGTGGGTGCCTATAGTCCCAGCTACTCCAGAGGCTGAGGCAAGAGAATCGCTTGAACCTGGGAGGCGGAGGTTGCAGTGAGCTGAGATCGCGCCACTGCACTCCATCCTGGCAGCAGAGCGGGACTCCGTCTCAGAAAAGAAAAAAAAAAATTGGTATCTGTGTTCACAGCACTATTGCGTTGTAATTTTCCTTTTTTGCAAAGCTCTTGTCAGGTTTGGTATGAGGTTTATGCTGATTTCATAAACCAAGTTGATGATTCTGTTCTTTTTCTTTTCTGAAAGCGTCTGTATGAGATTGGTGGTGATGTTCCCTACATGTCTGATGGACTCTACCGGTGAAGACCTCTGGAGGTTCTCTGTGGGATTCTCTTGGAGAACATATAAATCCAGAGCTATTCGGGTTTTCTCTATTACTTTGCAGATTAGCTTGGTTGATTTTCAGAGTACTATGCGAGAGCTGCCATAATTTGATGGATTTCACAAATGTGCCATTTCTTTCCCTTTTTTTTTTTTTTTTTTTTTTTTTTTTTTTTTGAGAAGAAGTATCGCTCTCTCACCCAGTCTGCAGCGCAGTAGTGCGATCTCAGCTCACCGCAACGTTCACCTCCTGGGTTCAAGCGATTCTCCTGCCTCAGCCTCCCAAGTAGCTGGGACTACAAGTGCGTGCCACCACGCCCAGCTAATTTTTGTATTTTAGTAGAGACGGAGTTTCACCATGTTGGCCAGGCTGGTCTCGTTTTCTTTACCTCATGATCCACCCACCTTGGCCCCCCGAAGTGTTGGGATTACAGGCATGAGCCACCACGCCCAGCCTACAAATGTGACATTTCTGACATGAGTTACAAGTGTGACATCATGAATCTAGCATCTTCCTACCCTGAAATTCTTTTCCCTCCTCTCCAAAGCAGCTCGGTTCCCTGAGCTGCCCCCTGCTCTGTTCTTCTCTCCCATCCTCTGCAGGCACCCTCAGAGTCACTGCTGACTCAGCTGTGCTGGGTTTCCTCCTGCGGGACAAGCATGAGAAGGCAGGGAATGGCACCAGCGTGCGCAGCGTGACCTGTGTCCTCACCCAGAACAGCAGCCAGGCCTTGCCTGCAGAGCTCCAGTTGAAGGGCCAGCTGCAGGCCCAGAGGAAAAACCTGAGGGCCCAGGCCAGCATCCGGACCCACGCGGCCAGCCTGGCTCTAGGTGGAGCTTGTACCTGGGGCCCCGGGCACAGCCAGCTTGGAGGTGGCCTGACGCACAATATCAGTACGCTGCGTGATGCAGGTAGGATGAGTGGTCCAGGCAGAACAGCTTCTTCCTCCAAGACTCCCAAGTCCTGGGGCCAACGGAGGGGGGATAAATGAGACTCTAGCACCCAAACTCACATTCTAGCTTCGTTTCTTTCCCCTACTGGCTTTCCCTGCACATCTGTCACTTCTTCCCCGGGCTGTGATTCAGCCAGAACACGCAGGTTCAGGACACTCGATGTTACAGTATTGGCATGCTTCAGATGAGATGGTGATGGCAGGTGCCACCAAGCCCCTCCTCTCTCCCTCCTTCTCCTCTCCTTTCTCTCTCCCTCCCTCTCCTCCTCCTCCTCCTCCTCCCTCTCCCCCCTCATCTCCCCTCTCCTTCCTCCTTCCTCTTTCCCTCCCCTTCCCCCCTCTTCCCCCCTCCTTCCCTCCCTCTCTTCCCCCTTCTCCCCTGCTCCTCTCTCTTTTCTCCCTTCCTCTCCCCTTCTCCCTGCCTCTCCTCCCTCCCTCTCCCCACCCTGTCCCACTCCCTCCCTCCCTCTCCATCTGCCTCCCCCTCCACCTGCCTCTTCTAGACTGCCTCCTCCCACCTGCCTCCCTCTGCCTGGCTTCCCCCTGCCTGCTTCCCCCAGTCTGGCCTCTTCACCCCAACCCGTTCCCTGGGACTTCTCATGCAGGTAGATGCCTGGTCTAGGACCCCAATGATGCCTTCTGGGACAGTAGCTATGAAATAGTCCCAACAGCCCTGCGTGGGCTTCTCAGAGATGTTCCCTCCAGGCCTGGAGGGGCCCGGTGCAGCAGTGAGGGGAGGACACACCATCAGACCCCTGTTTCTCTCTGAGATTTGGGCCCTGTCCTTGGGAGCTGGAAATTTTAAGGGGACATGGGTTCCACTACTATGTGTGGTGACTGTGCTGTGAGGTTGGACTAGATGAAATCTCCACTTCTGTGAAATGTGGACAGTTTCATATGGTTTAACTTGGTGTATTACGGGCAGTGAGACCTGGAGTTGGGGAGCTCAGGGGACCCTCCAGAGAGCAGGTGGGCTGGCCAGGCTCCCGTCATGTTCCCACCAGACTCAATGGGGTGGAGTGGGGTGAGTGGTCTCTGGGGCTCTGCCCATCCCTGCCCACTGGCCTCTTTCCCCAGGACTCCCCTCTAAGGCAGAGGCGCTCCTTTTTCTCACCCACGTGTCTTCCAACTGCTCAGCACGCCTGGCACTGTGGAATGCGAGGGGTCAGCTAGACGCTGCCCTTGGCCTAGAGGGCCTGACCCCGGAGTCCCCGAGCTGCCAGCTCCATGCTAGCTTCCATCATATCCACAATGTGCCCAGCCTCAAGCACTGGGGCCTCCCCTTCTCCATAGACGGCTACAGGCACTTCCAGGTGAGGAGGGGGCTGTGCCTGGGCCACACGGGGGACAGTGGGTCCCAGGGACACCCAATAGCTTTGCTTCTGCCCAGAGTGTGGGACGCAATCTGGCAGCCGGGCTGACAGTGAACTTGGATGGCGAGCAGCTCCACGCAGCCCTGGAGAGGAAGGCAGAGGGCAGCTGCCAGGGGCTGGTGCTGGGGCTGCACCACGGCCTCTCGGGGCTACAGGGCACACTGCCCTCCAGCTAGAGGTGAGTGGCTCAGTGCCCACATGCAGCCTGCACTGCTGGGCTCAGGGGGCCCAAGCGGGGTCTACCGGGGCCCTCTTCCTATCTCTACTTCTTTTCTTAGTAACCCCCTACCTGCCTTCCCCAACATCTACCTTCCCCACCCCTCCACTATTCTCCCCACCTGCCTCCCCCAACCTGCCTCCCGCAACCTGCCTCCCCCAACCTGCCTCTCCCCCACCTGCCTCTCCCCCACCTTCCTCTCCCCTACCTGCCTCCCTGGCACCTGCCTCCCTCCCATCCTCCCTTCCATTTTCCCACTCATCCTCCCTTCCATCTTCCCCCTATCATCTTCATCTGCTCTCCTGCCACCTGGCCTCCTATCTACCCACGGCTTTATTTCCTCCCATCCTCCCTCCCTCCTCCCCCTACTCTGCCTTCCCAGCCCTCCCAATCTCCTCCTCCCCTGTCTCCCTCTCCTCCCCTTCCTCATCTGTCTCCCTCCCCTCCCCTCCTCTTACTCTCTCCCTCATCCCTCCCTCCCTATCCCCTCACACTCTCCCTCACCCTCTCCTCCTCCTCCCTTTCTCTCTCTCCCCCCACTTGTGCTCTGCATTTGTCCTTCCTATCTGCACACTGGACAGCAGAGCTGGGGCAGTCACCTCTCAGGGTTCTCTGGCCCTACCTGGTAGAATGAAGACGGTGGAGCCCCTGGCCCCTCAGTTTCTCCTTGGGGCTGCCTCCCCTGGAGAAACCTCACACCCACAGCTGTCTTCCTCAGTATTCTCAGAAATGAAAAGCAGGAAGCCACCGTGGTGCCTGTCCCGAAGGGTGGCTAAACCGTCCACGGTGGGGGAGGGAACATGAGTGACCAGGGCTCCTGGCCTGAAGCCAGGCCACACCATTGCTGACTGTGTGACCACAGGCAAGATGCTTTCTTTTCCCTGACTTGTGTGACTCAGTTTCCTCATCTGCCACCACCTCCTGTGGTTCCTCTGAGGTTCAGATGATGAACCAGTTGGCACCGTGCCTGGCCCAGAGGCCCTGCATGGTGGGAGCTCTGATTGCCTTAATTTGATGATGCTGATGCTGTGGCTTTGCCCTCGTGTCTCTGTGCAAGCCTCTCTTTGGGGTTATCTGCCCACAGTGGCTTCCCCAAAGGGGTGGGGTCAGGTGGGATCTTGGCAGCCATGCCAGTTCACTCTGGGGTCGGGGGAAGAAGCCAGCCCCTTCCCACCCACCGGTCTTCACAGGTCAACTGCAGCGGAGACGCCTCATCCATCCAGCTGTTAGGACCCTGCCGAGGGGACATCGCTGGGCAGCCTCTCGAGGTACGGGGTCTCTGTCCTGGGCAAGATGGCTGTGGTACACAGTGGGCCCCTCCAGGGAGGCTGGCACAGCCTGATCACACCACTGCCTGTGGTGTGGCATGGGGCTGAGGTCACTGCCAGGAGAAACTCACATGGTCCCCTTCCTTCAAGACCCCCATATCCCTGGTGACATGCACCTGGACTCCCAGCTCCCAGGGGCGTCCGCTCAACCTGGCAGTCATTGAGTGGTCCCGTCTGCAAGCACAGGTAGACATCAACCAAGAACCGGGGTTGCAAGCCCACCTCTTTCCTGGGTGGCCGGGCTGGTGGCGGGCGTGTCCTGGCCTCATGAGACCAGCGGATGGTGGAGCTCAGGGCTGGGGCGTGGCTCAGCTCAGGTGGCTTCACGCTCACTCTCCTGAGGGTGCTGGCAGGAAGTGCAATGCCTTTCTCCTTGTCCTGTCTGTCTCCCAGCACTGCCATCTAAGTGGCAGGGGCTCGGCCATTTCTATTTCATGCATGGTAGTATCCCCAGGTTTAAGACGGAGCGTGACATGTCATAGGTGCTCAGTCCACATTGTTGACTCATGGAGCAGCAGTCCCTGCCTCATAAAACAGGTGACATAAAACTGTGAGGGGCCTCGCTGCCTGCTGCGCATTCAGGCAATGATTGTAGCTGCTGCTGCTCTTGCCCCTGTTTCTTTCCATTCATTCATTCATTCATTGAGACAGAGTCTTCCTTAGTTGCCTAGGCTGGAGTGCAGTGGTGTGACCTCGGTTCACTGTAACCTCCACCTCCCAAGTTCAAGCAGTTCCCCTGCCTCAGCCTTCCAGGTGGCTGGGATTAAGGTGCCCGCCACCACTCCTGGCTACTTTTTGTATTTTTAGTAGAGACAGGGTTTCGCTATCTTAGACAGGCTGGTCTCGAACTGACCTTAAGTGATCTGTCCACCTCAGCCTCCCAAAGTGCTGGGATTACAGGCATGAGCCACCACGCCTGGGCTGCTTCCGCTGTTTCAGTGATCAGCCTGCATGTGTGGGGTGCAGGAGTTGCAAACTCGAAGCTTTTGGGGCCAGGTGGAGAATTGAAATGTGTCCCTGGGCTGCGTGGGAACTGCAGAGTGTGGGCCAAGTCTTAAAGCCTCCGCATCGTATGGATCTTTTCACGTTTCTTGTAGTAAAATGCATATGGTAATGTAAAATCATTTTAAAGTATACAACTCAGTGATGCTATGTGTGTTCATGCTATCCTACAATCATCGGCGCTCACAATTTCCAGAACTTTCCTCACCCCAGTGGAAACCTCATACCCATCAGCAATCCCTCCCATCCTCTCTTCCCTGGTCCCCAACTACCACGAATCTGCCTTCTGTCCCGATGCATTTGTCCATTCTGGAAATTTTATATAAACAGATTTATATAAGGTGTCGTATATCCCAGCACTTCAGGAGGTTGAGGCAGGCAGCTCACTTGAGGTCAGGAGTTTGAGACCAGCCTGGCCAACATGGCAAAACCCTGTCTCTACTAAAAATACAAAAAATGAGCTGGGCGTGGTGGCGGTTGCCTTTAGTCTCAGCTACTCTGAAGGCTGAGGCAGGAGAATCGCTTGAATTCAGGAGGCAGAGTCTGCAGTGAGCTAAGATTGTGCCACTGCACTCCAGCCTGAGCAACAGAGCAAGAATCTGTCAAACACAAAGCAAAAAATATCAGAGTGATGACACAAAACCTACCAGCTCAAGGGCCACTAGTTTGCAAGCCCTGGTCTAAGGCTGACTGGATCCTGGGAACTCCCAGTCCTGGGGGAAAGTCTAGGGAGCCAGCAATGTGGTGACGAGGGCTCAGGCCTCAGTTTCCCCAGCTCTGCCCACTGTGGCTGGGTTTCAGGGAAGTACCTGGCAGATACTAACAGAGAGCGCAGCCCTGGCTTCTCTGCTGTCACGGTGAGTCTCCAGATCTGCCCTGAGCCTGTGTGCCTGGGGCCCGTATGACCTTGGCATCATCAGGGTCAGTGGTGACACCAGCAGAGGCCAAGCAGGCAGGCCTGGGTGTGGCCCAGTGTGGATGGGGACAGTTTGGCAGAGCTGGCCAGCAGTACAGAGCCCCTGAGACTCAGGACAAGTCCAGCTTCAGGCCCTGTGCTGTCATCCCAGAGGGTGGGTGGCCCGTGGTCAGAGAACCCAGCAGACCTGGACCTCCTGTGGTGTCCCACAGTATAGGTGGCCGCCTTCTGCACAGGCATCCATCGGGGATGGTGTTAAAATTCAGGTTTGATTCTGGTCTGGTTGACGGGGCTGAGACCCTGCGTTTCTCAGAGCCCAGGAGATGCAGTCATGGATGGGCCACGGCTCATTCTCTGGGTCGCAGGGACGCGAGATGCCCTTTCCCGGCCTCTCATCCCTGTTCCTTCCTGCCTGGGTAGTTCCTTCAATATACTGGAAGAGGTGGTGGAGATTTTACTGAAGGATTTGTTTTTGTTTTTTTGTTTTTTTTGTTTTTGAGATGGAGTTTCGCTGCTGTTACCCAGGCTGGAGTGCAATGGCGCGATCTCGGCTCACCGCAACTTCCGCCTCCTGGGTTCAGGCAATTCTCCTGCCTCAGCCTCCTGAGTAGCTGGGATTACAGGCACATGCCACCGTGCCCAGCTAATTTTTTGTATTTTTAGTAGAGATGGGGTTTCACCTTGTTGACCAAGATGCTCTCGATCTCTTGACCTCGTGATCCACCCGTCTCGGCCTCCCAAAGTGCTGGGATTACAGGCATTAGCCACCGCGCCCGGCCTGTGGAGTTTTGTGCTTTTGCCCAAAGTGCGGTAGCATGATCTCGGCTCACTACAGCCTCCCCACCCCCCACCCCCCTGCACCCGCTGGGTTCAAGTCTCCTGCCTCAGCCTCCTGAGTAGCTGGGATTATAGGTGCCTGCTACCACCATGCCTGGTTAATTTTTTTATTTTTAGTAGAGACGGGGTTTTGCTATGCTGGCCAGGCTGGTCCCAAACTCCTGACCTCAAGAGAGCTGCCTGCCTCAGCCTCCCAAACTGCTGGGATCACAGGCATGAGCCACTGTACCTGGCCTCACTGAAGGTTTTACTGAGATGGTTGTGGGGTGGCATGGGAGGGAATTACATCTCACAGCAGAGTTTGAGAAATGTTTTCCGTCAAGGGCCAGATAGTAAACGTCTTAGGCTCTGTGGCTCCACAGTCTCTGCCGCAGCTACTCCAGTCTGCTGCCATGGTGTCGTGGAAGCAGCCACAGGAATAGGACATGAATGTGTTGCAGGGAAGGGATCTCGATCCAGACCCAAGAGAGGGTTCTTGGATCTTTTGCAAAAAAGAATTCAGGGCTGCTGGTGTTCATTTTAATGGTTATTTCTTGATGACATGCTAAACAAGGGGTGGATTATTTGTGCCTCCCCTTTTAGACCATATAGGGTAACTTCCTGATGTTGCCGCGATATCTGTAAACTGTCATAGTGCTGGTGGAAGCGTGGCAGTGAGGATGACCAGAGGTCACTCTCAGAGCCATCTCGGTAGGTCTTGGTCGGCTTCTTAACTGCAATCTGTTTTATCAGCAAGGTCTTCATGACCTGTATCTGTTGCTCTTTTTTTTTTTTTTTGGCAACGGAGTCTCGCTCTGTTACCCAGGCTGGAGTGTAGTGGTGCGATCTCAGCTCACTGCAACCACCGCCTCCTGGGTTCAAGTGATTCTCCTGCTTCAGCCTCCCGAGTAGCTGGGATTACAGACATGAGCCACCACATGCAGCTAAGTTTTGTATCTTTAGTAGAGACAGTTTCACCATGTTGGCTAGGCTGGTCTCGAACTCCTGACCTCAAGTGATCTGCCCACCTCAGCCTCCCAACGTGTTGGGATTACAGGTGTGAGCCACCATGCCTGGCTGTGACCTGTATCTTGTATGACCTCCTATCTCATCCTGTGACTTAGAATGCCTAACCGTCTGGGAATGCAGCCCAGTAGGTCTCAGCCTCGTTTTACCCAGCCCCTCTTCAAGATGGAGTTGCTCTGGTTCACACACTTGTGACAAACAGGCAGGGTTGTGTTCCAATAAAACTTTATTTACAACAAAAGGTGTAGGCTGTAGTTTGCGTCATCCAGGACATCTTCCTCTTCCCAAAGTTTTGCTCTAGCCATCCTCCCCAGGGCCCCTCTCCCCTGCCTGCCTCACCTCCTGGCTGGTTCTCTGTATTTTGTCTGTGGGTTCCTTGGTGCACGTGTAATTAGCTGGAGTAACTGTGCTGGTCATCAAACCTGCTCCTTCAAGAGGGTCTGAGTTCCTCCCACCACAGGGACACAGATCGCACTGATAACCCCAGGGCATGTGGGAGCCAGTGCCAGCTTGCCCTGGCTGGCGCTCTCTGCACGGGGTGGCCCAGCATCTGCTTGGTGGCATTCCAGGTCTTCACGGACATTCACAACGGCAGCTTTGGCTTTGAGCATTCTGGACGCATCCTGATGGGACCCACATCTCTCAACTACTCTGTGAGCTACTGTTACCATGACGGGCACCTGGAGCTCTCCGGCCAGAGCTGGCACAACAGTGAGGCCTTGTTGTGGGCAGGATTCCCAGGCGAGGCCTCCCTGCACGCAGAGCTGCAGATACATGGTAAGGCACCCAGCGCACAGCCCCGGGACTGGGGAGCTGGCTTCTTCCATGCCTGGGCCAGCCAGCAGCCTCAGGCCGGGACCCACGTGGCACCCCGTGAAGCTCAGGCCTGGACCCACGTGGCACCCCATGAAGCTCAGGCCTGGACCCACGTGGCACCCCGTGAAGCTCAGGCCTGGACCCACGTGGCACCCCGTGAAGCTCAGGCCTGGACCCACGTGGCACCCCGTGAAGCTCAGTGTGGCCCTGGGCTCTGGGACAACCAGGACAGCCTTGCCCATGAATAGCCTCACTCCCAAGGCAGGCAGATTAGTTTCCCAGGACTTCTGCAGCCAAGTCCCACACACCAAATGGCTTAAAACACAGAAATCTTGGCTGGTATACACAGGAATCTTAGCTGGATATGGCACGTATGTGTGGTCCCAGCTACTTGGGAGGCTGAGGGAGGAAAATTGCTTGAGCCAGAAGGTCGAGGCTGTAGTGAGCTATGATTGCAACACTGTGCTCCGGCCTGGGTGACAGATGAGACCCTGTCTCAAAATGAAACAATCCACAGTGGATTGAACGCCCATCTGGCTTGAATGTGATATTATTTTTACTTAATTCCATCTGTAAAGACCATTTATTTACTTACTTACTTAATTAATTTAAGACAGTCTTGCTCTGTCCCCCAGGCTGGAGTGCAGTGGTGTGATCTTGGCTCGCTGCAACCTCTGCCTCCCATGTTCTCCTCCCTCAGCCTCCTGAGTAGCTGGGATTACAGGTGCGCACCATCGTGCCTGGCTAATTTTTGTATTTTTAGGAGAGACGGGTTCATCATGTTGGTCAAACTGGCCTCAACTCCTGACCTCATGATCCACCTACCTCGGCCTTCCAAAGTGCTGGGGTTAGAGTTGTGGGCCACTGCGCCCAGCCAAGACCCTATTTTTAAATAAGGTCATCTTCACAGGACAGAGGGTGAGGGGAGGGTCATGGTTCAACCCATTAAGTGGGGAAGATAAAAGCAATAAGAGGAGCCAGCATTGGCTGGGCACTTAATGTATACACGCCAGGCAAGCTGTGTACACACCAGAGCTCAGTGCAGTACAGCTGTCCCCATCACACGGGGGAACACCACAGCTCTTAGAGTGGCCTGCCAACTGGCAGAACCCATACCCTTCCCGCATCTGACCTCATTTCCCGGCCCCCAGCCCCACCTGTTCCACTCCTTTCTATTCTTTAACACACCAGTCTTGCTGCTGCCCCAGGACCTTGGCACGGGCTGATCCTGCCATTTGGAATGCCTCTCTCCCACACACCTGCCTGTCTCCGTCGCCTCCCTTAGGTGTTTTTCCAATGACATCTCAGGGAGGCCTCTTTTCCACCTCCCCATCTCCTCCCATCCCCCCATCCCCCCATCCCCTCCCACCCTCTTCCCTGTTCTCTCATTTGAACACACCGTGTAGCACACAAATACCTTGTTTCTCATTCTGTCTACTAGAATCACCAGAATCTGTGCTCCGTGAGGGCAGGGATGATTTTTGTCTGCTTTGCCGCAGGGCACATAGTAGGTGTTGAATGAGCCGATGAGGTAGGATTAGGAACGCCATCCCCATTCTGCAGATGAGGAATGGAGGCTCAGAGAGGTTGAGTCACCTGACCCAGGCCACACAGCTGGTGATGATGGAGCAAGGATTGAACCCAGAGCCACCCTCTGACCCCCAGATAGATTACGGAGACCTGGCTCTTGACCGTTCGGGACCCCTGGTCTCCCTAGTCCCCTAGGGCATCTTCTGTTGACCTCAAACTTTTTTATTCTGGGGGCTTGGTGCAATGGCTCATGCCGATAATCCCAGGCTGTCCTTTCTCATGTGTTACTCCATTTACTCTGGACGCTGTCCCTTGAGGCGGGTGGGCTATGCCCACCTTATAGATAAGGAAGTCGAGGCTCAGAGCTGCGGGGCTCATCCACCCTGCTGGCCGGATGGGAGGTGCTGGAGCCTGGCTGAGTGTCACTTGGGCCTGAGCCGTGAGCTGCACCCCACGGGAACCTGGCATCTGATATCTGACATCTGACATAGAGTAGGCACCATCTGTTTGCTCTATGGCTCCTGGACCCGATGGGTTTCTATGTGTACAAGAGGGAATTTAAATGAAAGAAGAAACTCCTGTTGTGAGCCAGACTCTCCTGTTCTGTGGGGGGTGATGGGAGGCATAGGACCCTCCAGCCAGAGCCAGGTCCTGCAGGTGGGTATCAGGCTGCAGTGGCCATTTACCAAGAGCAGACCTCATGCTGATTCCTCTGCAGGCTGCTCGGAGAATCCCCAGGAATCCCAATCCCTACAGAGAAGCAGCCTCCCCCAGTCATTTGGAAAGTACTCACTGACCCCCTGTTGTGTGTCAGGAGCTGTCCTAAGAGAAACCCTGCCCCCGGGGGATGGCATTCTGGTGGGGTGGCCATAGGAGAGCAGGAACCTAGTAAGTAAGTGAGCGAGGTCATTTTGGGTTGTGCTGGGAACCCCAATCCAGGGAGATGGGATGGAGGATGCCTGGCAGCAAAAGATTGGGAGGGACTTTACATGGGCAGTCAGGGGAGGCTTCTTAGAGGAGGTGTCATTTCAGCAACTTCAATGAAAGGAGAAGCCACCCAGGCCTAGATCCTCAGGGACAAATGATGACAGATGATGTGAAGGAGGCTCAAAAGGGTTGACCTCACCCAGGCCCCATGGGAGCCTTGCCCTTTCCCGCTGGTGTGTTTGAGGGCCACAGGGCCCAGCCCGTCCCAAGTCTGGTGTGTTCCTGGCTGGGAAGGGAGGTTGAACCTGTCTTCAGTAGCCCGTGCCATTTTCTGCCCCTAGAGTCCCAGAGCCAGGCCAACGTGGCCCTCCGTGGCAGGGACGGTGGTGTCAGTATGGACCTGGCAGCTCTAGTGGCTTGGCCACCGCTCGGCCCGCTGCAGATGGTGGCCAATGCCAGCCACACAGTGCCTGCTCTGCAGAGGCTGGGCCTGCCCTTCTCCAGCCAGGTAAGGAGTGGATGGGGAGGACCTCCCTCCAAATTCTGTCTCCTCTGTCCAATTCCTGGGGTGCAGAGTTCCCGCTGTGTGCAGGGCGGATGGGGAGGGCCAGGCCTTGGGTTTCCCCAGCACTTTACAGTTTACAAAGGCTTTATTTGTAATTGCTATAACTAGGTCTGCTGCGCAGTCTCTGCGTTCCCAGTTACAGGGCTGGTGTGGACGGGCACCTTGGATTAGCATCTGGCTTCTGACCCATCTTTCTGTCCTGCGCTTGGGTCAAAATCAAAGCTCCTGTTTGTCCAGTGCCTACCCCATGCCAGCCCTCTTTGAAGGGTTGACGGGCATTTGTTAGTTTCATCCTCCCAATGCCCCAGAGAGAGGCAGGATGGCCCCGTCCTTACCAAGCTTTCCCCAGTGTTCGGATCCCACCTCTGCTGCTTGCCGGCTGTGTGGCCTTGGGCAGATTCCTTCGCCTCTCTGTGCCCTCATCTCCTCATCTGCAAAATGGGGATGATGATATTACCTATAACATGGAGGTTGTGAAGACTGAGTGAGTTCATCTCACAAATGCCTGAGTAGATGCTTAAGAAGGACTTGCTGTGACGAAGATGAAAAAGATGATGCTGATGGTGTGACAGTGACTTGTATCATCACCATCACCATCCTCTCTGGGTCACAGGTGAGAGTGTGGGTGACTCGCCCAGTGTCACCCAGCAAGCAAACAGCAAAACAGGGCCTCACACTTGGCACGCAGGTCCTTCCTCATGGGGCCCTCGAGCCTTAATGGAGGAACCCACGTGGGGCCATGCCGTGGCCACTGTCACTTGGCATGAACTCGCCCTACCTGACTGGCCCTCCTTCTCCGAGAGCCACAGAGCGTGTTCCAGAGTAGGCACCAATGCTTCTTTCACATACACACTCCTGTTTCAGCTTACCCAGGAACCCCTGCCCCAGTCCACTCTGTGGTGGGAGGAAGGGACAGCTCCCAGGGGCTCAGGGGGCCCGGATGTCACCCCTCCTGCAAAGGCTTTCAGCTCTGTACCCTACAACTCAGTGGACTGGATACTCCATGCCCCTGACTTCATCTAAACTCTATCCTGGACTCGAGGCCAGGTGACAGGGAGCCCCTGGGGAGCACGTTCTCAGCCGATGTCTGGGCTGCAGCTGTCCTTTGGGTGGGCATTGCCATCCTGAGCTGCAACAGGGGCCGACCCCTTGCATCCTCAGCAGGCATGAAAGTGTTGGTGAGCCAGGCCTGCAGGGCTTGGGGACAGGGACGTGCTGGGCTGTAGAGCTTGGCTGGGGTCCCCACCTGGCCTGTGAGGGTCCTCAGGCTGTGTACACCCGCACACCTGGCAGTCTGCTCCCTCCTCAGCTCGTATTCCTAGGACTCTGGGCAGCAGAAGAGATGAGCTCCTCTCTGCGTCTGACCTGCAATTCTCAGGCCACCTTGGTCCTTGATGTCCATGGCCAGAACCAGGCAGTCAGGTGAGGCCCCCACCTACCAGGAGGAGAGGAGGCGGGGGGAGGAACCATTGGCTGGGCACCTACTGTGCACCGATGCTGGACACAGCACCTCTCAATCCTCCACTCAGCCCGGCTGTACCGATGTGGGCAGGGAGGCTCAGAGAGGGCAAGTGACTTTTCCAAGGTCACCCAGCTATAAAAATCCCTCACCCTCTCCAGGCAGAGCCCTGATGAGTTCTTGGTCTCAGATATTAAGTGCATCCCAGGCTCTAGACACTTACTAGTGATTATTACTGCCCTTAGGGCTGGGGCCTGGTGAGGTGCTTGGTGTTCTCACACGTTCACTACGTCAGGGGCCACCAGCCAGTTTCCAGTGCTCAGATCTCAGCAGCTAGGGAGGGGGAGGTGAGTAAGCCACTTGTTGAAGGGGTAAACAAGTGGTTCTCACTTAGAGGCGACTCCCCCCTCCCCCCACCCCCAGGGACTTCCCGCATGTCTGGGGAGTTTCTGGTTGCTACACTGGGGAGGAGGACGCTATGAGGGTCAGTGTACAGAGGCCACAGAAGCTGTTAAGCATCTTACAGTGGGCGGGACACACCCACTACCGTTAAGCCATGAGCCAAGACTTCTGCTGTGCCAAGGCTGAGACCCGGGGGTAGAGAGGAACACAACAGGAGGGTGCAGCGCCCTGGGGTTACACAGGCCTGGCACAGTGGCTCACACCTGGAATCCTAGTGCTTTGGGAGGTCGAGGTGGGAGGATTGCTTAAGTCCAGGAGCTCCAGCAGCATAGTGAGGCCAGCCTGGGCAACATAGTGAGACCCCCATCCCTTCAAAGAGTCTTAAAAATTAGCCAGGTGTGGTGATGCATGTTATAGTCCCAGCTGCTTGGGAGGCTGAGGCAGGAGGATCACTTGAGCCTGGGAGGTAGAGGCTATGGTGAGCAGAGATCATACCACTGCACTGCACTGCAGCCTGGGTGACAGAGAAAGACCCTGTCTCTAGGAAAATGAAAATGAAAAAGAAAAAAGGAAACATGGAAACAATTCCCACCCTGGCCTGAAGGAGTGAGGGAAGGGGAGCTATGTGAGGAGGAGCCCTGGGAGGCAGCCAGGTGGTCACAGTCCTACTGTCCAGACCCTGCTGGGGCTCCCATGGGACCAACCCAAGAAAGCTCATGGATGGGCTCATGGCAGACTTGCAGCCCACAGCCATGCTTAACCTTTGATACCAATGGAAATACTGAGGCTCAGAGAGGGGCAACCGGGATGCTTGCCCATGGTGCCAGAGCTAGGCTGAGGCCAAGCTGGGATTCAAACCCAGGTCACCTGGCTCCACAGGCCAGCCCTAACCAGGATACCGTATGGCCCTTGGGCTTCAGGGTGTGTGCACTGGGCCACTGATGTGATCCTGGCTCTCTGACCCTCTCTTGGGTAAGTTGACTGGGTCCCAACCTGGCCCTGGGGGCACTGGACAAGGCAGTGTCTTGCAAGCTTCAAGCCCTCTCTTTCCTTCCTTCTAGCAAAGAGCTGCTGCTCTCAGGCTGGCATCGCCTCCCCTCCCTCCTGGGCCGCTGCCCCAGCTCAGCCTCAGTCTCAGCTAAGGTAACTGTGCCCCAGCCACTTGGCTCCTAACTGGTTCCAGATGCTCGGCCTGAGGTGGGAGGGGGCCAGGCCCCTCTGGGGCATGTTAACGCGTGGGCATCTGTCCGCCAGCCTGCAGCAGGTCCCGTGGGCCACCCTCGGAAACCTCTGGCTCCAGCTTTCCCAAACATACCCAGGCTTACATTCCTGGGCCGGCCCACAAGCCCTTTGGGAGACAGAGGAGGCCTCCTCACCCAGTGCCTGGCACCTGGCGTTGCCTCATCCAGCCTGGCACACTTGTACAGGCTGGAGCTGATGATGTAGCCATTTGAGCTGAGCCAGTATCACCCCTGTTGCTGCTCTGCAGGAAGGACTGGGGGATCCTGGGTGTGGACAGAAGGGCCCATTAGACTTAGGCCAGGTTCCTCTGTCCCTCTGAGCTGTCATTGTCCATGTCCAAATCTGGAGCTCCTGGAGGGCATGCCTAGTGCCTGGCACAGGGCCCAGCACATAGTAGGGGCTCAGTAAAAAAACAGGGTGCGAATGGGTGAGTGCATGCATGAATGGGCACATCTGCCAACTGGTCACGTCATTTTCCGGCCAGCCACTGTGTTTTGCTAGGCACCCTCCTAACCCTGGCCCAGGCCGACTTTCTTTACAGAGCACGTGCTACGTGCTGGGGTCCTCTGCCACATTACACATGATTTTGGAGTTCCCTACATTTCGCTACAACTGTGCAATCATTCAGGGAACTTCTTTATTCTTTGTCTGTTTGAGACAGAGTCTCGCTTTGTCACCCAGGCTGGAGTGTAGTGGCATGATCTCGGCTCACTGCAACCTCCGCCTCCCAGGTTCAAACGATTCTCCCACCCCAGCCTCCTGAGTAGCTGGGATTACAGGCACGCACCACTGTGCCTGGCTATTTTTTGTTTTTTTTTTTTTGTAGAGATGGGGTTTCACCATCTTATCCAGCTGGTTGCGAACTCCTGACCTCAAATGATCCACCACCTCTGCCTCCCAAAGTGTTGGGATTATAGATACAAGCCACCATGCCTGGCCTTACTTTTTATTTTTAAAATTTCTTTTTGAGACAGTCTTGCTCCGTCATCCAGGCTGGAGTGGAGGGACGTGATCATAGGTCACTGCAGCCTCAAGTTCCAGGGTGCAAGTGATCCTCCCGCTTCAGCCTCCGGGGTAGCTGGGAATACAGGTGGTGCCATCACACCTGGCTCCGTTCAGGGAGCTGCTTAGTTTTTCCCCAAGTTTTATTTTGAGTCATTTGAACCTATATGAAAGTTACTGTGGGACAGTGAACATTGACCAATTGTTAATATCTTTCGATATTTCTCATCTATGTTACATAACTTTATATCGTTATACACACATTTTTTCTGTATCATGAAGAATTAATATAGAAATGTTTCTGAAGACGTCACCTTTTTACTCTGAAATACTTTAACTCTTTCCTGTAACAAGGGTATTTTCTGATTTAACACAATAATTACCGCATTCAGGACACTGAAGTAATAGCTTTCCCAATAACATTCTTTCAAAAAACTGTTTTGTTTTGTTTTAAATCCGGGATGCAGGCCAAAATCGCACAGCCTGTGTAGTTGCCATGTCTTTTTAATTTTCTTAATCTAGAACAGAGGTCTATAAGCTTTTACTGTAAAGTGAAATGTGGGGGTTGCAGGCCTTAGATCGCTGTAACAGCTACTTAGAATTGTCATTGTAACACAAAAGCAGCTATAGACGATATGTAAGTGAATAGGCATGGCTGTGTTACAATAAAACTTTATTTACGAAATCAGGTTGTGGGCCACATTTGACCCAAAAGCCAGCTCCTGATCTAGAACATTCTCCTTACATACCCTACCTTTCCTTACCCAATGTTTTATTTTGTATTTTTATTTTTTAGCTTTTTTTGAGACAGCGTTTCTCTCTGTTACTCAGGTGGGAGTGCAGTGATGCAATCTCAACTCACTGCAACCTCTGCCCACTGGGTTCAAGCAATTGTCCTGCCTCAGCCTCGAGTAGCTGGGATTACAGGCGTGCACGACCACACCTGGCTAATTTTTGCATTTTTAGTAGGGATGGGGTTTCACCATGGTGGCCAGGCTTGGTCTCAAACTCTTGACCTCAAGTGATCTGCCCACCTTGGGCTCCCAAAGTGCTGGGATTACAGGTGTGAGCCACTGCGCCCAGCTCCCTCCCCCAACGTTTTATTATAGAATTTTTCAGACACTAAGAAAGGGAAGTAATTTCACAGTGAACACCCACATGCCTAGATTTTCCTGTTCACATTTTATTTTGTGTAATCACATAGCTCTCCTCCATCCATCCTATTTTTGGATATGCTTCAAAGTAAGTTGCAGATATCAATATAATTTCCCCTAAACATTTTATTATCATTAACCACCTTAAAAATAAATCCAACTGAATGCAGCGGCTCACACTTGTAATCCCAGCACTCTGGGAGGCCGAGATGGAAGAACTGTTTGACTTCAGGAGTTCAAGACCAGCCTGGGCAACCTAGGGAGACCCTGTCTCTACAAAAAAATGAAAAAATTAGCCAGGCATGGCAGAGTGTACCTGTAGTCTCAGCTACCCAGGAGGCTGAGGTATGCGAGAATTGCTTGAGCCCAGGAGGTTGGGGCTGCAGTGAGCTGTGTTCACACCACTGCACACTCCAGCCTGGATGACAGAGCAGACCCTGTCACTGTCTCAAAAAAAAAAAAAAAAAAAAAAAAATCCTGCATTGACAATTTTGAAGTGTTCAGGAAGTTATTTTGGAAAACATTCTCCTAATGTGGCTTTGTCAGATTGTTTGCTGAAGACCAGATTCAGGTTGAAGATTTTTGACAGGGGTATCACTAATGTAATTACCCATCTCTGGTGAGCTCATTAAAAGTACCAGCTCTTGGCCAGATGTGGCTGGAGCCTATAATCCCAGTACTTTGGGAGGCTGGGGTGGGCAGAGCACCTGAGGTCAGGAGTTCGAGACCAGCCTGGCCAACATGGCAAAACCCCCGTCTCTACTAAAAATACAAAAATTAGCCGGGCATGGTGGCACACATCTGTAATTTTAGCCACTCAAGAAGCTGAGGCAGGAGAATCACTTGAACCCGGGAGGCAGAAGTTGCATTGAGCCAAGATCACACCACTGCACTCTAGCCTGGGTGACAGAGAGAGAGACTCCATCTCAAAAAAAAAAGGTACCAGCCCTTGAACCTCTTCTCAGAGACTCTGTTTTTGTAGGTTTTAAGTGGAAGCCCAGAATCTATATTTTTAGTAAGTTTCCCCCAGCGATTCTGCTGTTCAGCCAACCTGGTAGTTAGCACATTATTTCATACAATTTTCACAGGCGCTATTTTGAAGGTGGGGTGTGACCTAAAACGGAACTGATCAATCCTTCTCATCAAGTGTGTACTGTAGTGGGGGAGATTACCCAGAATCACACAAACATGCCGCAACCCGTAATGAAATCGGTGTCCTTATCCCTGTGTTTTGGATTAGAAGGCTGAGGCTCGGGTGGTTAAGGAACTAACTGGAGATTATTCGCCTCTCCGTGGTGGATCCACACTTGGAGTTCTGTGTGTTTGATGCTGGCACAAGCCCAAGCATTGTCCTTTCTGCTAGACTGCCCCCTGCTGTCTGCAACAGAACTGCAACTAGAGTTCTTGCCTGCTGGTGCCAGGCTGGTAGATATTTTCAAGTCAGTGTTACAGCAGAGAGGGCCTGAGAAGATAGTTGCTATGGCCACATTTGATGGCCTAAACGGAGGTTCCAAACCCTTGCTTCACCAAAGTTCCTCCAGCCACGGAAGCTGTGGGTCTCCTGGGCCTGGGCCTTTCGGAGGCAGAGCTCACGGCTTAAAGCCAGCATCTGCTTAAATGTTCCATCAGAGCCCTGATGAGATCTATTGTGTGTGTGGTTTTCTTCCCTGACCCAGCTACACTACTCCAGAGGTGAGGTTCAGAGCACGTTTGCCTTGGGCGTGGAGGAGCATCATTTTCACATCAGCACCCAGCTGGTAGCTGCTAAAGTGAGTCTTGCCAACTTCATGAAGCTGGAACATTCCTTCCTGCAGGTGTGTGGAGGATGGCCCAGGTCCAGGGCATGCTGGGGTGTGTGTATGTGGGGGGGGTCGCTCCTGGGGCAGCCCTTGCAGAAAAGAGAAATTGTCCTAATGTCCTGGTTCCTGGGAGGAAGGGCAGACAAGGCTGTGAAATGACCAGAATTTGCTGGAGTAGATAATCAGCTGATGTCTTTATCCACCCCTTCCTCCTTTTGCATGATTTATTGAGCATCTGCTAGGTGCCAGGCACTATTTCAGAAGGTGGGGTGTGACCTAAAACAGAACTGATCAATCCTTCCTCTCATCAAGTGTCTACTGTAGTGGGAGAGATTACCCCAAATCACACAAATATGCCAGATAGTAGTAAGAGCTGGAGAACATGTACTGACGTGACTGAGTGAACAGGGAGTGTATTTAGATTAGGTGGCCACGGAAGGCTCCACTGAGGAGGTGGCACTTGAGCTAGCCTTGGATGATAAGTGCAGCCATTTGAAAATCTAGGGGAAGGCCAGGTGTGGTGGCTCATGCTTGTAATCCCAGCACTTTCGGAGGCTGAAGCAGGAGGATCACAAGATCAAGAGATCGAGACCATCTTATGGTGAAACCCTGTCTCTATTAAAAATACAAAAATTAGCCAGGTGTGGTGGCACATGCCTGTAGTCCCAGCTATTCAGGAGGCTGAGGCAGAAGATTCGCTTGAACCCGGGAGGCGGAGGTTGTTGTGAGCCAAGATTGCACTATTGCACTTCAGCCTGGGCATGACAGCAAGACTCCATCTCAAAAAAAAAAAAGAAAGATCAAACTTCCTACCCCACTCCAGCAGTCTCCCAGCAGTGCCCTCAAGTGACCCTCGGACTGTTGTACCTACAGCAGAGAAAGCGACCCTCTCTGAGCCTTTGCAAAGGCTGTTCCATCTGCCTGGAATGCTCTTCTCTGCCTCCTCCCCAAGCTTGCTTCTCTGCATTCCTTTCTCCCTTGAATGCCTCTTGTGATGATTCTTGTCCCATCATTTCCTGTCCTGTGACTATCTCCCTGTCAGCCTGGAAGCCCCGTAAGGGCCAGGACTAGGATCTTGGCTATCTTTGTACACAGGCGCTCAGCACTGGCTTGGGAGCATAAACCCCACTCACTGCATGATTGAGAAATCCCAGTGCCAACGGCGTGGCTCCTACAAGCTCCTCTCCACAATCTAGCCCTGGGCTGAGTGCACCGTTTGTATTATCTTGCAGAGCTTGACATTTTCTTGCCTTCATTGTCTAGGAAAGTGAGGCTCAGAGAGGTTGAAAACTTGCCCAGAGCCACACAGCTTGGCCACGGAGGTAAGAGGTGGCTGTTCTGTGCTGTCTCCAGTTGGCCAGAGTCCCTTCCTTCACCCACTTCCCTCCTTTGTTATCAGCTCATCCTTAGGAAGCATTTGGCTTTTTGATTTCCCTGACGTATGTCACCATGCAGAAAACTATAAATGATCCACAAACACTCCCTTTCTCCTCCTCTGCAAGCTTCTCTCCTTTCCCATCCCAGGAAGAAGAGTGGGTCAGGTTCCCCTGTGACGCCATCATTCTCTTCCAGCTCAGTGCCCTTCCCAGGGAGCTGGTCCTGCAGACCACATACAAGTGAGCTCATGGGACCCGTGTCCTGCCCACGTGGTACTGTGGGATGGTCAGAAGTTGGCCCTCACTGTGAGCCTCTCCAGGCCTTTCAGGAACCTCAGCCTGCAGGGTGAGTGTGTGAGGGGATGTGGGCAGCAGTGACCCAGTCACTCAAGAAATCATCCCTGGCTGGGCACCATGGCTCATGCCTGTAATCCCAGCAATTTGGGAGTCCAAGGTGGGTGGATCATCTGAGGTCAGGAGTTCGAGACCACCCTGGTCAACATGGTGAAACCCCATCTCTACTAAAAATACAAAAAGTTAGCTGGGTGTGGTGGTGGGCACCTGTAATCCCAGCTACTTGGGAGGCTGAGGCAGGAGAATTGATTGAACCAGGGAGACAGAGGTTGCAGTGAGCCGAGATCGCACCATTCCACTTCAACCTGGGCAACAGAGTGAGACTTGGTCTCAAAAAAAAAAAAAAAAAAAAAGCCATCACTGAGCACCTGCTGATCCCAGGCATGATTCTAGGCTCTAGGGATCCATCGGGAAGCAAGATGGCCCAGGTGTCGCCCTTCGGGGAGACAGACATTGAGCAACAAGACACACATAAGCAAAATAACATCTAACATGTCAATTTCCACATGTGGGAAAGACTGAGAGCAAGCAGGCCTGTGGAGTGTGGAGCTCCTTGAGGTGGGGTGGTCCAGTAAGGCCTCTTGGAGGAGGTGACTTCCGAGCTGAGATCTGAGGGGTAAGAAGCAGCTGGCTGAGGTGCAGATCTGAGCAGAGGCACTTCAGGCGGAAGCCCCGGGTGGAAATGAGCATTGCGTGTGGAGCAGCATCAGGGAGGCCAGGGTGGCTGGAGTGGGGAGAAGGGAGGAGGTTAGGCAGGAGGGCTAGGGGACCCAGGGCACACAGGGTCTCCGCCCACAGAGAGGAGCTAGGGCTTTTCCTGAGTGCTACTAGGCAGGGAGAAGGGGCCGCAGTGTGGGAGGGGTGGCATCCCTGGGCAGTTCTGGTGGCAGGGGAGGTGCATGCCAATGTAGCCCTGACAGCAGTGGTGAGCCCCGAGGTCCTCCAGGAACAGGCATCCCTGAAAGGGGCTGTCATTTTTGGCCGGTGCAGCCATGCAGACTGTCAGTTTCTGTGTGAGAAACCCCCTGGGCACAGATAAGAGCCTGACCCCGGACCCACCAGGTGTGAGACAGAGTGCAGACACCAGCCCGGGGCATGGCTTACCAGGTGGCCTGATGGAATCCTCCCAGCATCAGGTTTGCCAGTTGTGTGCACTGGAAGGCAGAGGAAATGAGCAGGTCCTTAACAGGCCAAGGCAGTGTGCATTTATGTGTGTGCATGCCTGTATGTGCACCTGTGTGCACATGCCTGTATGTGCACGTGCACATATATGTGTGTGCATGCCTTATGTGAGCATGCGTGTATATATGCACGTACATGCATGCGTGTGTATTTGTGCCACCCTTGGTGAGCCTCACAGCCTGCAGCCCCACACTGTGGTCGCAGTGTTGCAGGTGGTGGGTCAGTGGGCGGCAGGGGAAAGGCTTCCATCCCTGCCTGTGGTCAGCCTCCCCAGAACCAGGGACTGGGTGATGCCCTGAGAACCAGCCGGTGCCAGTGTCTCTGAGCACAGCTCCCTGCGGCCCATCTGAACAGGTGGGTGCCCTTTGTACAGAGCTGAGCTCACCACAGCAAAGGGCCCCCAGGCAGCCTCCTGCTGTAGGGGTTTGGGAAAGCAGGACTGTGCAGGGGCCTCAGGAGGTGAGGTCAAGTGAAGCAGGAGGTCAGGGCAGCTTGACTCACTTGGGGGACAAAGGAAGAAGACCCACAAAGGTGTGGAGACTGTTGCGAGGACTCAGCTATCGGGTGCCACCTGTCATACCCCGAGATGGAAGGAGAGCATAGGACTGGGCGGCATGGGGGCATGTGGATTCTGAGGGGGCGCAGGTCACCCATGCATGTGCGGCCCCCGAGAGCAATGCAGGTTGCTGGGGGTTGGGACTGCACCCATTAGCTCTTGATTCAAGGTGGTAACAAACTGCTCCGAAACTCAGCGGCATAAAGCAAGCATTGGTCCTTGCTCACAAGGCTGTGGTTACCTGGCAGCTTTTCTGGTCTTCCACATGTTCAAGGTCTGTAGGGTGAGCAGGCAGCTCTGCTGGCCTTGCCTGGGCTCTCTGACCTGCTCAGAGGCTGGCTGTCAGCTGCGCTCAGATATCCTGAGCTGAAACCAAGCTCCCTCCAACCCCAGGTGGCACCAGCCCACAGGCAAGCAGGGTTTGTTCACACGTGGCTGGGAAGGGGTTCAAGGGAGGAAGCGTGGTGAGGCCTCTTAAGGCCTGGGCTTATAACTGGTGCTCGGTCACTTCACCAAATTCTATTAGCACATCACGAGGCCAGCCCAGGTCCGAGGGTTGGGGAGGTAGATGTCACCTCCTGGAGGAGCCTTGAAGTCTCCTTGTAATGGGGACTCCCACAGGGACACTGCAGGGTGTCAAGTGCTAATGGTGACAAAGTGAATGCATAGCTTCCGAATTTTGTGAAAATTATCTGGGTGTGTGGCCCCGAATGGCCACCGGTTTGAGCTGGCAGTGGCTGCCGCTTAGAGTCCCCTGAACCCCCCTGGGGCTGGAGCTGCTGACCTCAGCTCACATGGCCTACCCTTTGTGTGTGTCCTCCCCTGCCCAGTGGAGCTCACCCACCCGATGCCCCTCCCCCTGCCTCGACACTGCAGCCTCCGCCTGTCCTCAGAGCATTCGGGAGGCAGCCACCGGGACGGCCTGGTTGTCAGCTGGGATGGCAGGGACCAGGTAGGTGTCAGGGCTGGAAGGTGACCCTGGGGCAGAGCTCAACTCCACCCTGCAGGCTGAGTGGGGTCCTTGGGGCCCTTTTCTGCCTGATGAGCCTTACCTGGGGCTGACAAGGCTACACCATGTCCCACAGTCTCATTGGAAGGGCGGCAGGAGACCTGGGTCCCCACGACACCTTGACAGGCACGGCAGTGCCAGTGGCTGACAGGCCCTGAATGCTTATCCCGTGACAGGTGCTGTGTGTCAACCCACACCTCTGCCTCCCATCTGCTCAGTGCTTAATAGCCCCGTGTTCAGATGACGAAATTGAAGGACTTAGAGGCGCCATGACCTGCCCAGAGCCACAGAGCTAGGGGAAGACAGTGGGAGAGGAGGGCGACCTCGTTTCATCTCTGTCTTGTACTCGCTCCATCCACTCCTCTCCAAGCCTCGGTGTCCTCCTCTGAGAAATGGGCTGATCTCTCGGGGCCTTGCACAGGGCCGAGTTTGTGCTCAATGCCACCTGCCCTTGCAGCCTTGACCCTGATGGAGAAGGTGGTCTGTGCAGGTGGGAGGGAGGTGCGGCCTGTGTGGGTAAGGCCCCTGGCTAAGTCTGTCCCCCTCCCCAGGTGCTGGTCTCCTCCTCCCTATGGCTGGGGAAGAATGAGCTGGCTGCCCGCCTGGCCCTGGCTCACCTGTTCAATGTCTCCTGGCAGCAAGCCGAGGCCAGTGGCCTTGCTGAGAGCAGGGATGGCAGGCAGAGCCAGCAGGTGAGTGGAAATGTCCCAGGCATCCTTGGCGGGGGCGGGAGCTGGGAGGCACGTGGCTGAGCCTGGGGGGTTGGGCCCGTCGGGTAGGAGGAGACCATGTTCATCAGTGACAAGGACTTCTCCAGAATCACAGCTCCCTGAAGGCTGGGATGTCCTCAGTCCTTCATTCAGTTGTTCCTTTACCAATACCTCATTAAGCACCTACTGTATACCAGGCAGTGTTTGTGGACAGCTCACATTTTAATGTGGGAAGCAGGTCCAGGCATCTCCAATTAGTCATTTATAGTTGCCTGTTCAGTGGTAGCTTTGGGGACTGAGTGAGCAGCTGGGTGCCCCGTCTGGCTGGGTGGCCTCTGGCATCTCCCATTGCCTCTGAGTCTTCAGCTTTTCCATCTGTGAAAAGGAGGACAATAGGCCAGCCGTGTGCACACAAGAGACGCTGTCCAGAATTTAAGCCGAGGAACGAATTTAAAAATCAGAAGGTGCAATAAGCACCATAAAGCAGTAAAGATGGGCCGGGCTCATGCCTGTAACCCCAGCACTGTGGGAGGTGGAGGCAGGCAGATCACTTGAGGTCAGGAGTTTGAGACCAGCCTGGCCAACATGGGAAAACCCTGTCTACTAAAAATACAAAGAATTAGCTGGGCATGGTGGTACACACCTGCAGTCACAGCTACGCGGGAGGCTGAGGCAGGAAAATCGCTTGAGCCCGGGAGGCAGAGGTTGCAGTGAGCCAAGATCATGCCACTGCACTCCAGCCTGGACGACAGAGCAAGACTCCATCTCAGATTAAAAAAAAAAAAAAAGTAGTAAAGAGTATATAAGATTGAGAGTAACTGGGTAGGCGGGTGGGGCGCTACTGTAGGTGGGTGGTCAGTGAGGGCCTTGTGGGGGAGGCAGCCCTGAAATGGGAAGGACCAGGCTTGCAAGAAGGTGGGGAAGCAGCACGCAGGAGGCCCCTGTGGTGGGAAGGAGCCAGGTGCTTCGGGGAGAGCTGGAAGGGGAATAAGACAGGGGCAGAATGCTTGGCAGGGCGGGTGACCTGGCGATGAGGTCAGATGGGCCGGGACAGATCCTGCTGGCCCTGGAGGCCGCACTGAGGAGCGCGATTGCTTCCTGCTTTTGGAACTGCTGAGTCTAAATGTTGGGGATGAGGCGGTTTTTTTTTTTTTTTTTTTTACTCCAGATGCTTTCGGTCTGCAGCCTGGGAATGGCTCCGGGCTCTTCCAGAGATGAGGGGGAGGGCAATCTCTCCACCCTCCATCCTAATTCCTCTACAGGGATATGGGCAGGGAGGGGGGGTGGGGCGGCAGGGAGACGGGTTAGGTACCAGCTTCTCCATCCTCCCTAGCCTCTCATTTCCCAACAGAGATGGGGTGTGGGGGTGCCGTTAGCCTCTCTTCTCCCGAGTCTCCCCCTTACCCCATCACTGCCCTCCGACCTCAATGCAGGTGCAACTCACCTGGAACGGAGGACAGCCTGTGACCCTGCAGCTTGCCTGAGCCAACAGGTTCTCAGCACACAGCACCACCTGGGACGGCTGCTTGGCTTCCTCCCCAGGGCAGGTATGCGGGGTCCGGCCACTGTGCGCAGTGTGGGGCTCCCCTTTGCTCCAGGCTTCTCGGCTGCCCCTCCTCCCCAGGTCACGTACCCTGTTCTCTTCCCTTATCAGCTCCAGGAAACCTTGGGCCTGGACCCCATCCGGGCCTGTGGCGTCATAACACAGACCCAAGACATGTTCATCGAACAGCTTGACCTGTCCTGGGTCCAGCAGCGCATGCGGCAGAACTTGACATACAAGGTGAGGCCTGGGTAGCAGCGTCCGGGCTGGGAACCCCTAGGCGGTTCCACCTACTGCAGGAGTGTCCCGCTCTGGGACTCTGTGGTCTTGAGTTCAGTGCTTGTGGGATCCTGGGAGACTCACTTCTCTGCTGTGCGCCTTGGTTTTCTCACCTGTGAAATGGGCACAATACTCCCTACCTGGGAATGTGGTGAGGGCTCTGGAAGACAAGAAAAGCATGTGTTTCCAGCATGAGATGATGGAAACAGATGGGGAAGGAGGTGGGGTGCTAGTGGGCTTTTCAGGAGCGGGCAGAGGGAGAGCAGGAGCTCAGGTTCCCGGAGGCATCAGGGACCAGGTCTCCTCCAGCATCACTGCCTGATGGGCTCCTCATGGGGCCAAGCACTGTTCTGCAGAGCCTGGGGGAGGAACGCACCCATGGAGAACTGGCCCTGGAAGCCCCCTTCCTCCTCTGGGCCTCCCACCTGGGTTCCTGGGGCTCTTAGGCCCAGCCCCCTATGTGCTCCCAGTAGAAATCCTGCCATGGGCAGGGTGCAGTGGCCCACGCCTGTAATCCCAACACTTTGGGAGGTTGAGGTGGGGCAATCACCTGGTCAGGAGGTTGAGAGCAGCCTGGCCAACATGGTGAAACGGTGTCTCTACTAAGAATACAAAAAAATTAGCTGGGCATGGTGATGTACACCTGTAGTCCCAGCTATAGGGGAGGCTGAGGTAGAATCACTTGCACCTGGGAGGTGGAGGTTGCAGTGAGCCAAGATCGTGCCACTGCACTCCAGCTTGGGCTACAGATCAAGACTCTGTCTCAAAAAAAAAAAAAAAAAAAAAAAAAGAAAAAATCCTGCCACCCCATGTAAGGGGGTGCTGTGGCTGTTGAGGGCTCTAATGGTGGATTCCTGGCACGTGTTCTTGCTAGGTGAGGGTCTCCACCTGCAGCTGGCCATAGGAATTCTTACATTTTGCGCCCTTGACTCATGGGCCCTCTCATTCCAGAGGCATTGGCCATCTCAGCCGGACAAGATCATCATGGAGGCCATGCTGGAGCATGTCCCTGGGGCCTCTTGTGTCCGGCAGAGCTTCCAGGGAGAAGTACAGACTGACTATGCACACTGGCTGCGGCACTCCCTCCACCTGGGGCTCTGCGACCTGCCCAGGGTGAGTGTGCCCTAGGGAAAGGGGCAGCCGGAGACCAGGGGCCCATGGTGATGGGGCAGTACAGAGGGTGGTACCTGCAGAAGGCAGGGGTGTGAGCAAGGCAGCCAGACGCCAGCATGGTGGCTCTGCCATTTGCCTGCTGGGTGACTAGGCAGGGCACATCTCCTCTCTGAGCTTCCAGTGTTTCATCTGAGGAATGGCAGCAGCAGGTTCTGGGATGTAGGGTGATGGTGAGATTTGAGAGAAATGTGATGCAGGAATGCTCAGCCTTGGTGCCTGGCACAGAAGTTAGAGTTGCTGTTGTCATGACTGCCTCAGAAGAGCTGTTGGGACCTTTTCCTCAACCCCTTTCCCCTCCCGGGGTTGGTAGCTGGTTGACTGGGTCTTTTATCCACCCACCCATCCATTCACCCATCCTTCCTTCCTCCTTCCCATCTTCCATCCATTGCCCTGTTTCTGCCCTCCCACCCTCACTCCCTTGCATCCCTGCACCATCCATCCATAATCATCCATCTACCATCCATCTATCCATCCACCCACCATCATCATCTACCATCTATCATCATCCATCCACCCCAGGGACCCACAGTCTTCTGTAAAGGGACAGATAGTAAATATTTTAGGCTTTATGAACCATCCAGTGTCTATTTCAACTACCAACTCCACCACTGTCTTGTGAAAGCAGCTATAGATATGTAAGTGAATGCATATGGCTGTATTCCAGTAAAAGTATTTACAAGAGTTGGCAGTGAGCCAGATTCCGGCCTGAACCATCGTTTCCCACCCCTTATCTATTCCTCTGTTCATTCAGAAAACATGTGTGTTTCACCTATGCCAGGCTGTGCTCTAGGTGCAGGGACTGGGTAGTGAGAGACAGCCTGGGCGACAGGCTCCTGGGTGGGGCATCGCAGTGGGGCCAGGGAAACAGACCAAACTAGAGCTGCTAGGTCTCTGGTCAAGGCGTGGTAAATGCTGTGTAGGGAGGGGGCAGGGTGTTGGAAAAGGGGCCTCGCTGGTGAGCCCTGCAGAGGGAAGGGGCCTGAGGCAGGGCTTTGCCTTGAGGACCACCCTTGCGGAGGACAGCCCTTACGGAGGGAGCGAGGGAGGTGAGGTTGGGAAGAGGAAGCAGTCCACAGGCCGTGCCAGAGCCTGGCTTCTTTTAAGTGCAGGGTACAATGTTTGATTAGAGTTTTTTTTTTTAATTCTTCCTGAGACAAAGGTTCTTGCTCTGTCACCCAGGCTGGAGTGCAGTGGCACGATCACAGCTCACTGCAACCTCCGCCTCCTAGGTTCAAGCGATTCTCCTGCCTCAGTCTCCTTCCCAGTAGCTGGGATTATAGGCAAGTGCCACTATGCCTGGTTAATTTTTGTATTTTTAGTAGAGACGGGGTTTCACCATCTTGGTTAGGCTGGTCTTGAACTCCTGACCTCGTGATCCACCCACCTCAGCCTCCCAAAGTGCTGGGATTACAGGTGTGAGCCATTGTGACCGGCCTTGACTTGTGTTTCTTAGAGGTTAGCTGGCACAGGGGCAGGTGTGGAGGCTGGGAAGTGACAGCTGCTGCTGTATTCCCGGTAGAGGGGATGGGGAGGAGAAGCAGCTCTTATCGCCCCTCCCAATCCCGTGCCTGCCTGACACCCAGACTCTTTCATCCCAGACCCTCTTGGTCTCCGGGTAGCACATCCTGGGCCGGGGTGAGCTCCTGCTGCATTCCTGCTGCCAGGTGGGCCGCATCCCAGCCCCAGACCACGGCTTGCACCTCAGCCTGACCCTCCGAAACCACAGCAGGCCTCATTCGCCTGATTTCTCCGGGGAGCTGGAGGTAGGTGGCCAGGACCCGGCTGACAGTCCCTGGGGAAGATGCGCTGACTTCCCTCCCGCTCCTCCCTAGCCAGCAGGTCCTCATTGCCTGGGCGGCCCTGCCATCTAGTGGCCACTTGAGGAACTGCAGACTAGCACCTTGGATGGGACTAGCCCTCTGGGTGCAGGGGAACACCTGCTGAACCCCAGGCGAGGCCCTGGCACCAAGACAAAGCAGCTCCTCCACCTGCTCAATACCCAGCCCTTCCTATAATGGAGAGGAGGCACCTGGGCTGCCCAAGTTTGAATCTCAGCCCAGCTGCCTCCTGGCACCTGAGTTTCCTCCCTTGTAAAATAGGTATAATAATTGCACTGGCCCTATCTCCCATGGAGTTAATATTGCAAAGATTACATATGTTCATAGGCATAGATCACTTAGAACAGTGCCTGATAAAAAAACAGCCACTATGTATGTATTTGCTGTCATCAGCCACTATTGGCCCCATCTCTCCTTTCTGCCTCCCAGCAGCCCTGGGAAGTAGGAGGGGGCAGAGAGGGCCTCCAATGCCTACTTTACCTTGACCTTGCCAGGCGATCCCAGCAAGGAACCTTTCTGAACATCTGTTTCCTCATCTTGGATCAGTTGATTCATGGGTTAGTTTTTGGGGTCTGGATAGCAGTTCCCACTGCCTGCATAGCCAAGGGACGTGACACAGCAGGTGCTCTCTTGGTGTTTCCATCTGCCTCCTCTGTCTCCCTGGCTGGGTGAACTTGACCTCGTGACTTTCCTTTGCCGAGCCTGTTTTCCCCCCTGTCAAATGGGAACATCTAACATCTCCCTTGCAGAATCCTTAGGAGGAAAACAGACATTTGTATAACATCTGCACATAGTAGGTACCTGTGAGAAGGGAATTCCCTCCCTTCCTGGCATCTAGAGCTGGATGAAGATGGCGTGTGTGGGTTGATAGTTCAGCAGCTGTGGCCATTTCAAAGGAGATTCTCCAGGCCGGGCGCGGTGGCTCACGCCTGTAATCCCAGCACTTTGGGAGGCCGAGGCGGGTGGATCACGAGGTCAAGAAATCGAGACCATCCTGGTCAATGGTGAAACCCTGTCTCTACTAAAAATACAAAAAATTAGCTGGGCATGGTGGCACATGCCTGTAATCCCAGCTACTCAGGAGGCTGAGGCAGGAAAATTGCCTGAACCCAGGAGGTTCAGCCGAGATTGCACTGAACGTGATCTCTGTGGTGAGCCGAGATCGCGCCATTGCACCCCAGCCTGGGTAACAAGAGCGAAACACTGTCTCCCAAAAAAAAAAAGGAGATTCTCCTTCCAAGGTTCTTTTTCTCTGGGACTGATGGCCACTTCCCGTTTTGCTGCTCCCAGCTCTGTAAGCCCCATGCCTGATGGAACCAGATGCCTGGGAAGTAGCCTGTGGTGGACCCTCATCAAGTGACTGGTCCTCTTGCTTCCCTGTCCTGAATTTACTTGGGACAGCTGTTCTGGCGCCTTCTCACTGGCTCCATTCTGGGGTCGGTGGAGTGGTCAGAGGCTTTCCCAGCCTTCTTTGATCCTCCCCACAACCCAGTGGCCCCAGGACAGACAAGGGACAGATTCAGGGAGGTCAGGCACTCTTTAAGGCTGCACAGAGGCAGGTGCGACTGAGGCCAATTCTGTGTGGTCTGCAGATTGTCCCCTGCCCCCACCTGGCTGGCAGGATCACACTGTACTCTGCGAAATTCCACAGGAGTCTTGGGCTGAATCTTCTTCCTAACGTGGATCTTCTCAGAGTTCAATTGTGCTTCTGCATGTGTAGTAAGCACCCTGCATTAAGTTCCAAGGGCGACTGTATTAAATTGCCACCAACCGGAAGGCTTAATGCAACAGACATTCTCTGTTCTCAGTTCTAGAGGCCAGAAGTGCAAAATCAAGTTCTCAGCAGGGCCACCTTCCCTCTGAAAGCCCTAGGGAAGATCCTTCCATAGCACCTCTAGCTTGTGGTGGCATCACGCCGGTCTCTGCGTCTGTCCCAGCTGGTGGCCTTTTGCCTTGAGTGGTGTCTTCACATGGCCTTCTCCTAGGGACAGCATTCATTGGGTGTGTGGCCTACCTTCATCCACTATGGCCCCATCTTGATATTTGCAAAAAAACTATTTCCAAATGATACCGTGTTCATGGGAATGGGGGGTTAGGACTTCAACATAGGTGAGGAACAAAATTCAACCCATAACAGACACATGTGCAGACACAGACTTTTAAGTCCTTCTGAGTTTTGGGAACCATTGTTCTGTATGTTTTACAGACCTTGGAGCTGAGGCCCACAGAGGCTGCCACCCTTACTGAAGGGTACACAGCTTGGTAGCTGCAGTGTCTGGAGCAGAATACAGGGTAGCTGAGGCTCCTTCCCCTGCAGGGCCTCCTCCAAGCTTGTGTTCTGTTGGGGCCTCTGAGCCCCTCCCCCACCCCATTCTAGACTCACCTGTCCTGGTCCTGGTCCCGGTCCCAGTCCTGGTCCTGGTCCCTGCCATGCCCCCAAGGCTAGGCGCCTGCAGGGATTGAGGTGAACTGCTCAGTGCGTGGGGTGTTATGCCACGTGTTACCCACGCCTCTGTGAACTTGCTTAGGCCTTTGCAGTGGTTCCCATGCAAACTCGGAAAGCCTGGGCTCTTGGCAGAAACACCAGGGCACTGTCAGGACTGCATGGCATCCCTCACTGACAGCCATGTCAGGTTGCTGGGAAGGGCACAGAAGAGGGCTTCAGGTGGCTCAGCAGGTTGAGGTGGTGCAGCTCCAGGTTCTTACGTTGTAGAGCTTTGGGACTTGGTGTGTGGCAGTAGGGAGCTATGGAAAGTGGTGGAGAAGTAAGCAGCTGGAAACATCAGGGTGCCCCAGCAGGTCCTCTTCTGGCTCCAGGGGACAGAGAAGAGAATGTGGTGCTGCGGGCGTGTGCCGACCGGCAGACAGCGGAAGTGGAGGTCCTGTTCCGGGATGGCAGGCAGCCCTTCCAGCCCCTGGGCTGCTTAACCGTGCAGGCTGCCAACTACAGCCTCCTGCTGGCTGCGCACGGCTGCCAGGGGCACCTGCTGGGCCATGTGGAGGTGAGGGGGCCTGGGCTGGGCCACAGGGAACCGGTTACCGTTCTCTCTCTGGGCAGAGACCACAGTGCCAGGAAACCCGAGCCCTTGGGGTCCATCTGTGCCCAGAAACCAGAGCACACAGTCCCAGGGTGAGGCCCGCACCTGTCGCTGGCATGGAGACCGTTTGTCCATCTCATTCCTATGTGGCCCCGAGGGAGTCCCAGCCTATTCTCTGTCCTCACAGTCCAGGATTGCAGCAGTTGGCTCCCAGGTGCAAGCCCAGCTGGAAGAGAAGGTTCGAGGCTTTGGTGCCTCTCTGAGAAGGTTGCAGCACCTGGTGGGTAGCACAGAGGAGAAGGGTTGGGTGGAGAGCTCCCCCTCTGGCCTGGCTTGTAGCCCCCACTTGCAAGGCATTCTGCCCTGGGCAGGAGGGTCTGGGGCTCTCTCTGCCCTGGACCTCACCCCAATTCTGCCTTGGCTTCCCTGCACAGGTACAGCTGGGAGGCACCCTGAATGGCCTGGGAGGCTTCCTCCTACAGCTGTCCCAGGCAGGGCTGGAGGCTGTGCAGATGAGTGGTTGGGTGGTCACCACCTTGTGGGGCCACAGCCAGGCCAGGCAGGCACTGACACAGTACCTGCCTCTTTACCTGGACCGGCTGCAGGTGGGGCTGAAGCAGCTGTAGAACAAACTGGAATGTGAGTGTGGGAGGGAGGGCTCAACCCTGCACTGAAATCCACACCCAGTCAGGGGCCCTAAGCTCTCACATTGATCTATGGTACTGTCAATCAGAACAGTGGCCTTCCTTCCTGCCGGCCTGCAGCCCAGCTCTGTTGAGACCCCCGCCTTACTTCTTACAGACCTACAGCCTTGGGTTTTTTGTTTTTTAAAACAATGTCTGTTGCCCAAGCTGGAGTGTTGCGGCACGAATTTGGCTCACGGCAACCTCTGCCTCCCAGGGTGAAGTGATTCCTGTCTCAGCCTCCCAAGTAGCTGGGACTACAGGTGCACGCCACCATGCCCAGCTAATGTTTCTATTTTTAGTAGAGATGGGGTTTCACCATATTGGCCAGGATGGTCTCGATCTCTTGACCTCGTGATCCGCCTGCCTCCGTCTCCTAAAAACCTGGGATTACAGGTGTGAGCCAACCTCCTTTTTTGGCCAACCTCCTTTTTTTTTGGGGGGGGGGGGCTGCTGTCTCATTCTTACAAGGTCTCCAAGCTAATATCCCTTATGCCTGCTGCCTCGGTTTCTTCAGTCTTCCGCCTGCTTTTGAGTGTCTGTGGCCATGCTGTCTTTAAACACTCACAGTGACTGCCCTCCTGGCAGGACTAGGAACTTCTGGCCTCTCCACTATCCGGGGCTAATGCCGGCCCAGCACCAGAGTGGGCATCCCTCTGACTGTCTGTTGAATGTCACCTCCATATCCTCTCTGCTGTGTCAGAGTCCCATGGCCACCCACAGGGCAGTGAATTTGGAAGAGTGCTCCAGGACTCGGCACACTGTGCTGTTCACGGCTGTCACTGACTACAGTGAGAGGAGGCAGGAGTGTCGGCACAGGGAAGGGGGCCCAGGGCGGAGTCCAGGGGAAACCAGGGCCAGCACCCAGTGTCCTCTCCCAGTCCCTGCGCCTTCACATGGAATGCACTTGGCTGTCCCAGCACTATGTCACTCAGGGTGTTTAGTGGGGGCTGCCACATTGGCAGGTGCTGCTTGGCTCAGAGCACACTGTCAGACTCCTAGGAGGCAAGGAGGGGTCCAGCAGAAACCACTTTGTACAAATAGTTCAGGTGCAGGGAGCCTTGTATCACTTCTAGGAGTGGTAGGAACCCTCCCCAGTCCAAGTTCCCAGACAAAATATGAGCAGGCCATGCAGAGGCGGCTCGGGCCTGCTGTGACATTGTCTGCACTCTCCGGTGCCTGCTGCTCTATTTCTTTTCCCCCATTCCTCCCACCATCTTAATTCCAGGAACAGGCCCCATCTCCTCCAGGCCTGGGCTGGGCCTCTGAGCTGCCCAAAGGCCTCATGGTGGGTGGTGGCTGCCCATTACAGGGCCCCTGGCTACACTGAAGGACGCCTACCTGGAGGTGATGCTGCAGCCCCTGGAGGAGGTGTGGCAGGAGCCGGCTGAGGAGGCCATGTGGTGGCTGCAGACCTGGGTACCTGGAATGCCAGGCAACGGGGGGTCCCAGGCTCATCAGGCTGGCCATGGGGGCCGTGAAAGGCGCCCTGGAGCTGGTGAGTGAGAGCAAGGATAGGTTGTGGTTGGCAGTTGAGGATGACCGAGACAGCTCTCACTGTCCCCTCCCTCTCCAGGTGGCCCACCAGATGCTGTCCTGGGCTGAGGCCACATTCTCACGGGCACTGAAGAGGCTCTGCAAACCCCTGCTGGACCTGTATGACCTCGCAGCCAGGTAACACAGGGTTGGGAGTGGCACATCCGGCGTTTCTGCCACATGTCGAATGCTGAATGCTTCGACATGGTCTGACTTACTGACCACCCTGCCCAGAGGTTTCTTCACTCACCATTTCACAGGAGAGGAAGCTGGGGTTTCTTCCTCACTCCATAGAGCCCTCCTGAGCATGGTCCCAGTGCAGGAAGGAGTTTAGGAGCTGCTGCAGAGGAGCGCAGTAGGCGAGGCAGACCCCTGCCTTCAGGAAGCTTCAGCACCCTCTACAGCAGGGTGTGCACCGCTCCCTGCAAAGAGCCTGAGAGTCACCCTCTTGTGACAGAGCAGCATGGCCTGCTTCTTTCCTTTTGTTTTGTAATCATCTTTCTTTTGGGATGGAGTCTTGCTCTGTCTCCGAGGCTGGAGTGCAGTGATGTGATCTCAGCTCATTGCAACCTCTGCCTCCTGATTTCAAGTGACTCTCCTGGCTCAGCTTTCCGAGGAGCTGGGACTACAGGTGTGTACACAACAGCACCTAATTTTTTGCACTTTTAGTAGATACAGGGTTTTGCCACTCGAGGCTCATCTCAAACTCCTGACCTTAGGTAATGCACCACCCTTGGCTTTCCAAAGTGTTGGGATTACAGGCATGAGTCACCACTCCTGGCCTGTTTTGTACTGTTAAACACATAAAAGCCCTTCCTTCTTGCGGACCATGCAGAAGCTGGCCACAGGCTGGGTGTGGCCCACTGCCCATCATTTACCACCACTGAGCCATACATTAGGTGGCAAATGCTAGAGAAGGAACCTTGGTGAGATGGTGGGCTGAGGATCCTATGGTGTGGCCAGGGCCAGCTTTGAGGAGAAGGTACAGTTCGAGCAAGAGCCCCGGGGCCAGTGTTGGAAGAGAGCTCCAGGTAGGGGTAGCACTGCACAAAAGCCTGGGAGAGGGATGTGCCTGGCCCGTTTGTTTTTGAGATGGAGCCTGGTTCTCTGTCACCCAGGCTGGAGTGCTGTGGTGTGAGCTCAGCTCACTGCAACCTCTGCCTGTCAAATTCAAGTGATTCTGCTGCCTCAGACTCTCAAGTACCTGGGATTACAGGCATGCACCACCATACCCGGCTAATTTTTGTATTTTTAATAGAGACGGGGTTTCACTGTATTAGCCAGGCTGGTCTCAGAATCCTGGGCTCCAGAGACTCAGTGCTGGGATTACGGGCATGAGCCACCATGTCTGGCCTGTTTGAATAGCAAGGTGGCAGGGTTGATGCAACTGGAGGGACTGGGAGGTCCCAAGGCTGGGGGTGAGGGGGAGGACTCTGGCTTCTGCTCTGATCTAGGAAGGATGTGATCACCCTTGCATTTCAAAAGGCCCCTTTGGTCCCCGTGTTGAGAACACGGGGGTGGTGGATAGAAGTGGGGAACCCAGTCTAGAGCAGGGGCCTGGGGCCCCAGTATCCTTTTCCCTCATAGGCATGAGGCCCACCAGGAACCGGGTTCCAGGCAGCTGGGCAGGCCCCTTTTTCCATGCTGGTGGCCTTGCAAAGTGTCTGGACTGCGGCTCTGCCTCTAACTGGAATTCGTCTGCATCGGTTCTGTGTGCCTCAATTTCCCCAGCTGTAGAATAGGGACTAGACTTGCATCATGGGGAAAAGGCTCTATATAATACAAGTTCCTGTTCCTGCCGCCTTGCGGTCAGAATGTAGGCTGAGGAAGGGAAGCGCTCCCAAGGCGGGGCTTTGGCTTGGAAGAATCACCTGCCTGGTTATTTGCCTACCTGGTGAGTGGGATCTGGTGGGGGTGCCAAAAAATGGATTCAACTGGCAGGGAGGGCATTGAGGCTGCTTCCTGCCCCAGCTGTAGGGCCTCTGGGCCCCTGCACCCCCTCCACTGGCTCATCAACAACAGCAGGTGCAATGTTCCTCTTCCTACTCCACCCCCATGTGAGCTGAGATCTCCCTGATCTCTCAGATCTCACAGGCTTGACCCTACTCTACATATTGAGAAAGTTTCAGTCCTCCCCTCAGCTGTAGAAATTTCTTAGACCTGATGGGCACAGTGGCTTATGCCTGTAATCCCAGCACTTTGGGCAGATCATCTGAGGTCGGGAGTTCGAGACCAGCCTGGCCAACATGGTGAAACCCTGACTCTACTAAAAATACAAAAATTAGCGGGGCATGCAGCAAGTGCCTGTAGTTCTAGCTACTCTGGAGGCTGAAACAGGAGAATCACTTAAACCCAGAGGCAGAGGTCACAGTGAGTCGAGATCGTACCCCTATATACGAGCTTGGGAAACAGAATGAGATTCTCTCAAAAAACAAAACAATTTCCTACTCCTGTTCTCGGCATCCCCACACACAGGCCCCATGCTGCTCAAGACCCAGGGGGCAGATCAGGCATGACATCAGACATCTGTGTCCTCAAAACAGGGCAGCTTATTTTTGTCCCAGCCTCACCCCCTCACCTCCACTGTCATGCAGGCCTCTGTCCTCCACATCATTATGGGATTTCCTAGAACAAGGACAGCCCCTCCCTGATAGGCACCCCCATGCTCTCCATGGCAGAGCTCCCCCTCTGCAGCCAAAGTAAGCAAGGCTCAGCCAGACATAGCCACTTGTCCTGTGTGTTTCCTCTAGGAACTACTCAGTGGTGGTGACGTTGCCACTGCTGCCTTGGGGGGATGAGTCCCTGGACATGGCCCGGGTGACCAGCTACCTGGTGGAGGAGAAGCTGCTGCGGCCGCTCCGAGAGCTGTCAAGGGCCAACATGCTGGCCGAGTTCTTCTGGCTCAGACGCCACCTGCTGCCAGGTCCCTGGGAGTGTGAGTCCTGCCCGGGCTGTGCTGCCCTCCTCCCTGGGAGCCCCCTGCCCCATGGGCACAGCAGTAGGGCCATGCAGGGGCAGGTACTGTGGGGGCACAGGGAAGCCTGCAGAGGGGCGGGCCTGGATTCCACCACTCAAGCTGAGGACATGGGGAGGGGATGGAGGGACACACACTGTCCTCAGTCCCTGTGCTTTCTCTTCCTCTCCTGATGAGGGTTTGGAGCCAAACCCTGGGCTCCTGAGTCCAGGGTGGAAGTGGCTGGATTCTACCAATCCTCCATGTGACTCAGGCTCGTCTCGCATACAGCTCCCCTGGGGGAGGATCACGGGTTCTCAGGACCTCCTCAGCTTCCCTCCTCCCCACAGGCATATCTGCTGGCCTTCTGGGCACCAACGACAATGAAGCAGGCAATGAGCTGATGTTGCTGGATGGCTCTGTGGCCCACAGCCTGGAGGAACTCAGCCTGGCCTGGCAGGTGAGCAGGTGTACCTGCCCTTTCTGCCTCCGGCTGAGGCTCTTGAGGGCTGCTCGCTGCAGAGTCCCAGGAGAGGAAGGCGCCCTGCTGGCTCTGCAGAGGTCTTTGCAGGCCCAGGGTTGGGGGAAGTCTGCTAAGGCCAATTTATGTGGGGGAGCCACATGGTCCAGCAGGAGGCCTGAGTCTTATGTCTGTCCTACCAGGTGGATGGTGACTGCAGGGCCACTGAGAAGACTCAGCAGGCCTGCCCAGGACAGAGTCCCACCTGCTTGGCCTTCTTCCAGGACCCCCAATCCAGCTTGGGGAACTGCTTCCGGGTGGTGAGTGTGAGCCTGGCCCCTGGGGCACAGAAAGCCCTTTCCCCACTCTACCCTGGGGAGTGGCATGGAGGAGGGGGCTAGGCTAAAGACAGTGACTGGATGGTCCTGATTTCAGGTGGACCCTGCACCATTCCTCAGCCTGTGTGTGCAGGACCCCTGTGGCACCTGGGAGCTCCAGCCTGCCTGCACTCTGGTGGCCGCCTACATCCACCTGTGTGCCCACAGCTTTGTGCCCCTGGCCCCTCCTCCACAGTGTGGTAAGCTGCCCTAGCCAGCTGGCACTCTGCCTTCCAGCCGAAGGGAAAGCCCATCTCTCTCTCTTGCCAGGGAGGACAAATAATTGTCATTCAAGGAGCTAAGAGTCAAAACAAAACATTTACAGCCTGACACAGCTTGGATGTGTATACCCTCTAAACCTCACACTTGTTAGAGGGGGTACATCCCTCATGGATGGCTTAGCACCCTCTGTGTGCTGAAGCATAAGCTTGCTCTATTAGCTCACATGAGAGCAGTTTGTTTATAAAGAGCCTGGCCCCTCCTCTCTCTTTGCACCCACTCCTGTTTCTGCCATGATCTTAAGCTTCCTAAGGCCTCACCAGAAGCCAAGCAGATGCTGGAGCTGTGCTTGTACAGCCTGTAGAACTGTGAATCAAGTACATCTCTTATGATCTGCCTAGGCTGGAGTGTAGTGGTACAATCTCACCTCACTGCAACTTCCACCTCCCAGGTTCAAGCAATAGTCCTGCCTCAGTCTCCCAAAAATATAGGCACGTATTTTTTGTAGACATGGTATTTTGCCGAGTAGGCCAAGCTGGTCATGAATTCCTGACCTCTGGTGATCCGCCTGCCTTGGCCTCCTCAAAGTGCTGGGACAGGCGTGAGCTACCCTGCCCAGCCTCACTAGGGATTTGAATGTCGTCCACTGTTTAGGGAAAATGCCCAGCCCCTGTTTTCCCTCTGCTCTCATACCGCAAAAATCATCAACACAGAAGATGACTTCTGTGAGCAAATGTGTGGGGGTTGTCCCCACTACCAGGGCGGACCTCTAATTCAGTTCTAACACTAGCTACCTGAGATTCTTCAGCCAGTGCTGCTTATGATTGCCACAGCCAAAGCCCCACTGAATGGGCACAGAAGTCAGTATCAACAAGAGGACTGGACTTCTAAGAGCTACACATGCCAGAATTAGTGACTGCCATTCATAGACATTTAAAACTTAACGAATTCAACGGCAGAAGAGAAAATTCATCAACTGGAAAATATGGCAAAGGGCAGATGACATGAGAGGATTCAACATGTCTTAAAGAAATTCCAGGCCAGGGGTGGTGGTTCATCCCTGTAATCCCAGCACTTGGGAGGCCAAGAGGAGTGGATCACCTAAGGTCAGGAGTTTGAGACCAGCCTGGCCAACATGGTAAAAACCCATCTCTACTAAAAATACAGAAATTAACCAGGCATGGATTTATGCGCCTGTAATCCCAACTACTCGGGAGGCTGAGGCAGGAGAAATGCTTGAACCCAGGAAGTGGAGGTTGCAGTGAACCAAGATCTTGCCACTGTACTCTAGCCTGGTGACAGAATATAAGTCCATCTCAAGAAAAATTCCAAAATGAAAATAGAGACAGGACCCTTTAGATTCAGGAGGCACGATCCCCAATACAATAAATCCATCCATACCGAGACCCATCAAAACAAAGAACAGGTACTAAAAGCTACTGAGGAGGGTGGAAAGGAGGAGGAACATGTTGACAATTGCTTTCCCACCAGCAGCAACAGAAGACAGTGGAGTAAGAGAAAGTAAGAATGAGGTTAGAGTTTATACCCAGCTCAACTATTACTTAATGAAATAACCTCTCAGCACTGATCTGTCTAGAGATCTCTACCACAAATGGACACTTATTCAAGGGACACATCCACATGCTCATTTACATACTGTCTGTGTCTGCTTTCCTGCTATAGCGGCAGAGTATCTGCAAGGGAGACCACATTTTGCTCTCTGAAAGACTCAATTTGGAAGATGGAAAGATAAGCTACAGATTGGGAAAAACCTTTACAAACCACCTATCAGACCAAGGACTCATCTCCAGAGACTCATCTCTATAATACACAAAGAACTCAAAGCTCAAAAGCAGGCCAGGTGCCGTGGCTCACGCTTGTATTCCTAGCACTTTGGGAGGCTGAGGCAAGATGGCTTGAACCCGGGAAGTCAAGGCTACAGTGAATCATGATTACACTCCTGGCTGCATTACAGACTGAGACCTTGTCTCACAAAACAAAACCTCCAAAGTACAAAATGGGAAATAAATGCATGAACAATGTTTTCCTTCCCAGCCATAGAGAAACAAGGTAATGCTACACACCTGAGCTGCAGTGAGTTCCGGCATGGGTTGGTGAGTTCTAGGGACTTCGCAGCATAAAGCATTAGTTGAACATCCAAATGGCCAGGTTGTGATCTCAGCATCCACTGCTGAGTGTACTAGAAAAAGCACTGTTCTAGTACCAAAAAGGTGGTGGCTGCTGAGAAAAAAGCGAGGTTAGAGGCAGGAATCAAGGTCATGGTCTACCAACCAGCTCCTCTCGGGAAGCATCACTGGACTCATGAAGTGCCAAGACAGGAGGTGGTGTGGCTCCACAGGAAGCTTGGAGAATCTGGGATTCAAAGTCAATCACTTGTTGTTCTAACCATGTAAATACAAAACTGTCAGCTACTACAGCGATTAACAGAACATATGGGAGGACAGGAAACTCAGAAGATTTACAGCCACAGGGTAACAATGGACTATTATCTGCAGTTAAGGTCCTCTCCCTTCCTCTTGGGGTTTATTTATTTATTTATTTATTTTTGAGACGGAGTTTCGCTCGTCACCCAGGCTGGAGTGCAATGGCGCAATCTCGGCTCACTGCAACCTCAGCCTCCTGAGTAGCTGGGATTACAGGCACGTACCACCAGGGGTTTATTTTTTTGAGATGGAGTCTTGCTCTGTTGCCCAGGCTGAAGTGCAGTGGAGCAATCTCAGCTCACTGCAACCTTCTCCTCCTCGGTTCTATCAATTCTCCTGCCACACCCTCCTAAGGAGCTGGGATTACAGGCACGTGCCACCATGTCCAGCTAATTTTTTTGTGTTTTTCGTGGAGACGGGGGTTGCACCATGTTGGCCAGGATGGTCTCAAACGTCGGACCTCGTGATCTGCCTGCCTTGGCCTCCCAAAGTGGTGGGATTACAGGTGTGAGCCACCGTGTCTGGCCGGGTTTATTTATTTTAAGTCAAGGGCTAAATTCTTCCCCTCTCTTGGACACCAGTGAAGTATTTAAGAAAAGCAGTCACCAATTACAGTTAACTTTTGAAGGACAAATTTAAAGGTGGTTGTAAGTTACAAAACAAAGGCATCTTATGAACTCTCATAGGAAAAAAAGAATATTAAGGCACTTTTTATTGGTTTTGAGATAAGGTCTTGCTCTGTCCTCCAAGGTGGAGCACAGTAATGCAGCCTCCCAAGTAGTTGGGATTATAGGCATCTGCCAGCATGCTTTTGCATTTTCAGTAGATACGGGGTGGGGGGGTTTCATCATGTTGGCCAGGCTGGTCTCTAACTCCTGACCTCATGTGATCCTTCCACCTAGCACCTGACCAAAGAAATTAAGACATTCAAAGATAAACAAACAAAAGCTGAGATAGTTCATTACATTGGGACCTGCCCTGCAGAAATGCTAAGGGGAGTCTTTCAAGTCAAAATAAAACGATGCTAGATAGACATTTGAAGACACATATAAAGACCTGTATTATAGGAATTTTGATCCATATCTCTAATTTTAACTATTTTATTAGAGTTAAAAGAGATTTGTAACTGTAAGCCTATGTTAAATAGTAATTTATTTTTTAAAAAATTAGGCATGGTGACGTGTACCTGTAGTTTCAGCTATTGAGCATCGCTTCAGTCCAGGGGCTTCAGGTTACAATGAGCAATGACAGTCACACTGCACTCCAGCCTGGGTGACAGAGTGAGACCCTCTCTGCAAGATATACTTTGTAACATCAACAACATAGGACAGGGCAGAACTGTCAAGGAGTAGAGTATTTGTATGTGATTGAACTTACTAGTTTAAAATCAATTGCTATAACTTCAGAATGTTTTATATAATCCTTATGGTAATTACAAAGAAAATATCTACAGAATGTACACAAAAGGAAACGAGAAGGGATTCTAAGTGTGTCACACAAAAAAATCAAACACAAAGGCAGGCAGAAGGAAGGAAATGAGAGAAAACCATAAGCCATGCAGAAAACAATCCAGAGTGTCATGGGGAAGCCCTGTAAATCATGTGCTGGGGTCCTCCCAGAGCAACTGCTCACCTTAGGCCTTGGCTGTGGGTCTCATGGCACAGTCACCCACCATGCTAGTGAGTTTCATCAGATGATAATCTTTAAAAATGCAAATTATTTATACAATCAAAAGACTAAGAGACACATAGGAGGTTGAAAGTGAAAGAATGAAAAAAGATACTCCATGCAAATGGTAACTGAAAAGAGGAGGAGGAGCTAGACTAATCAGACTAAATACACTTAAGGTCAAAAGCTGTTATAAGAGATAATAATAGTCAATTCACCAAAAAGATGCAACACTTAGAAATGTACATGCAACGCACCTCAGAGCTCCTAAATGTGTGAAGCAAACACTGACAGACGAAAGGAGAAACAGTTCTATGAAAACCGTAGGAAATTTCAACACCTCAGTTTTTGTTTTTGTTTTTTTTTTGGAGACAGACTCTCTGTTTCCCAGGCTGGAGTGCAGCCGCAACCTCCTGAATTCAAGTGATTCCCATGCCTCAGTCTCAGAGTAGCTGGGATTACAGGTATATGCCACCATGCCCAGCTATTTTTAGTAGAGACAGGGATTCACCACGTTGGCCAGGCCGATCTCAAACTCCTGACCTCAAGTGATCCAACGCCTTGGCCTCCCAAAGTGCTGGCATTACAGGCATGAGTCACCTCGCCCAGCCCAATAACTCACTTTCAATAATGGATATAACACCCAGACAGAAGATCAAGAAGCAAACAGAGGGCTTGAACGATACTATAGACAAATTGGACCTACCAGACATACACAGATGAGTTCACCCAGCAGCAGAATATACATTCTTCAAAGTACATGTGGAATGTTCTCTGGGAAAAATCATATTAGGCCTCAAAGCAAGATTTAATACATTTTAAATGACTGAAATCATAGCAGAAGGAAAACCAGAATATCCACAAATACGGGAACTAAACAACATACTACAAAACTACCAATCACAGAAAAAAGGAAAATTAGAAAGTATTTTGAGACACAACAATGTATCAAATCTTATGGGATGCAGCAAAAGCAGTACTATGAGGGAAATTTATAGCTGTACACCCTTACATTAAAAAAATGCTGGCTGGAGGTGATTCACATCTGTAATCCCAGCACTCTGGGAGGCTGAGACAGGCAGATAACCTGATGTCAGGAGTTTAAGACCAGCCCGGCTAACATGGGGGAAACCCTATCTCTACTAAAAAATTAGCCAGGCATGGTGGCAAGCACCTGTAATCTTAGCTACTTGGGAGGCTGAGGCAGGAGAATCATTTGAACCCATGAGGAGGAGGTTGCAGTGAGCTAAGATTGTACCACTACACTCCAGCCTGGGTGACACAGCTAGACTCCATTTCCCCCCATTCACACACACACACACACAAAAAGCAGCAGCCAGGCATAGTGACACTGTTCTATAATCCCAGCTGCTTGGAAGGCTGAGGCCAGGAGATTGCTTGAACCCAGGAGTTTGAGACTAACTCAGCAAGTGGCAAGACCCTCTGTCAAATAAAAGAAAAAGGAAAAGCTCTCAAACCACAATCCTAACTTTGTACCTTAAATTATCCGAAAAAGAACAACAGCCTAAACCCAAAGCTAGGAGAAGGAAGGAAATACTAAAGGTTAAAACAGAAATAAATAGAAGATGAATTGGTGACCAAAAACGTGACAAGAAAGTACAAGAACAGACGGCCTCATGGGTGACTTGTACCAAACATCTACAGAGCCAATCCCAATCCTGCCCATCGTCTTCCAAAATCCTGAGGGAAGAATGCCTCCAAACTCATTCTGTGAGACATACCAAAGGCAGACAAAGCAGCAGAAGAAAACACACCACTATCCCACAATACAGATGCAAAAGTGCTCAAGAAAATACGAATGAGAATTCCACAGTGTCACAGATGAATTATACAACATGATCAAGTAAGATTTATCCCTGGAATGCAAAGGTGGTTACTATATAAACATCAATATAAGATAACACATTAACAGAATGAAGGAAAAAAACACATGACAATTTGTTTCAACTAGTACAGAAAAAGCATTTAATGAAGTTTAATATCCTTTCATGATTAAAAACATACTGACTAAAAATCGAAACAACCTCAATGTACTAAAGGTCATATGAACAACCTCTAGCTAGTATCATTCTCAATGATGAGAGACAAAGTTTTCCAAGATGAGGAATAAAATAGTGATGCCTGCTTTCATTAATACTGGAAATCCTAACCAGAGCTAATAAGAAAGAATGGAAAAAGAAAATGCATCCAAATTGGAAAGGAAGAAGTAAAATTTTCTGTTAACAAACGATGTGGTCGTCTTTGTAGAAAATCCTGAAGACTGCACAAAATAAACTGTTAGAACTAATAATTTGTCCAAGTTTCAGGATTACGAAATCAACATACAGATGTCAGTTGCATTTCTACAGACTAACAGTCAACAATCCAAGAAGGAAATGAAGAAAACCGTTCCTGCTGGCTTGGTTGTGGATGCCTACAGTCCCAGCTACTTGGGAGGCTGAGGCAGGAGAATTGCTTGAGCCTGGGAGGTCAGTGCTGTCAGTTTTTATAATAATTATGCCTGTGAATAGCCACTGTACCCCAGCGTGGGTGACATAGTGAGACACTATCCTTAAAAAAAAAAAAAAAAAAAAAAAAAAGTTTACAATAGCATCAAAAGAATAAAACAGGAATAAACTCAACCAGGAGGCAAAGACTCTGGCAGGATTTTGAGTTCCAGAGACCCGTTCTGTAACAAATCTAAAGGCATCTCATAGTTATGGATTATACAGCTTAGTTTCGTTAAAATGTCAATACAACTGAAAGTGATCTACAGGTTTAGTTTAATTGCTCTCAAAATCTCAGTGACATTTTTTCTTCAATTATAGAAAAATCCATCCTTATAAATTGTATAAAGTTTATATACAATTTCAAGAGATCCCAAATGGTCAAAGCAATCCTGAAAAAAATAACGAAGTTGGAAGTCTTACTTCTCAATTTCAAAATGTATTATTAAAAGCTACAGTGGGCTGGGCATGGTGGCTCACGCCTGTAATCCCAGCACTTTGGGAAGCTGAGGTGGGCAGATCACGAGGTCAAGAGATTGAGACCATCCTGGTCAACATGATGAAACCTCATCTCTACTAAAAATACCAAAATTAGCCAGGTGTGGTGGCACATGCCTGTGGTCCCAGCTATTCAGGAGGCTTGGGAGGCTGAGGCGGAAGAATTGCTTGAATCCAGGAGACAGAGGTGGCAGTGAGCCGAGATTGCACCACTGCACTCCAGTCTGGTGACAGAGCAAGACTCTGTCTCAAAAAAAAAAAAAAAAACTACAGTGGTCAAAAGTGTGGTACGGCAGTAAAGAATACAGATACCAGTAGAATGGAAACAGGGTGCAGAAGGAAACTCTTACACATACCATCAACTGAGTTCATAAGGATGCCAAGACTATTCAGTCAGGGAAGGGACAGTCTTTCAACAAATGGTGTGGGAAAATTACCTATCCACAGGCAAAAGAATGAAGCTAAAGCCTTGCCTTATATCATGTTAAAAAAAAAAAGAAAAGAAAACCTCAATAATGAATGAAAGACCCAAGTGTAAGATCTAAAACTACACAATTCTTGTTTTTTTGAGATGGAGTCTTGCTCTGCTGTCCAGGCTGGAGTGCAGTGGCGTGATCTTGGCTCACTGCAACCTCTGGCTCAGCCTGCCAAGTAGCTGGGATTAGAGGCGCTCACCACCACACCTAGCTAATTTTCGTATTTTTAGTAGAGACAGGGCATCTTGGTCAGGCTGGTCTTGAACTCCTGACCTCATGATTCACCTGCTTCGGCCTCCCAACGTGCTGGGATTATAGGCGTGAGCCACGGTTCCCAGCTGACAACTCTTAAAACATAGAAGGAGAGCTTCCTTTGCCAATGATTTCTTAGATATGTCACCAAAGGCCCAAACAACAAAAGGAAAAGTAGACAAATTGGATTGCATCGAAGGATACTATTAACAGAGTGAAAAGGCAACCTACAGAATGACAGGACAGATGTGCAAATTACATGTGCAAGAGTTCCCATCTAGAATAGATTAAAGCAATCTCACAATCCAACAACAAAACACAACTAACGCAGTTCAAAAATGTGCAAAGGACGTGAATAGAAAGTCCACCAAATAAGAGATGCAAATGGCCAATTGGCACATAAATAGATGCTCACCATCACTAATTATTAGGGAAACAAACCAAAACCATGGGAGAGGCTGGGCATGGCGGCTCATGCCTGTAATCCCAGCACTCTGAAAGGCCAAGGTGGGCAGATCACTTGAGGTCAGGAGTTTGAGACCAGCCTGGCCGACATGGTAACATTGCATCTCTACTAAAAATAGAAAAATTAGCTGTGTGTGGTGGCATGTGCCTGAAGTCCCAGATGCTCGGGAGGCTAAGACAGAAGAATTACTTGAACCTGGGAAGCGTAGGTTTCAGTGAGCCAAGATTACACCACTGAACTCTAGCCTGGGTGACAGAGCGAGACTCCTCCTCAAAAAAAGAAAAAAGAAGACCTATATGGAGAGGCCACCTCAGACTCATTAGGATGGCTGTAATCAATACAGAAAATAACAAGTGTTAGTGAGGACGCTGAGCAGTTGGAACCCTTGTGTGCTCTTACCGGGAGTTTAAGATGGAGCTGCAGCTATGGAAAACAGTATAGCAATTCAAAAAGTTAAAAATAGGCCAGGCGCAGTGGCTGACACTTATAATCCCAGCACTCTGTGAGGCCGGGGCAGGTGAATCACTTGAGGCCAGGAGTTCGATACCAGCCTGGCCAACATGCTAAAACTCCATCTCTACTAAAAACACAAAAACGAGCCAGGTGTAGCAGTGCAGTTCTGTAATCCCAGCTACTCCGGAGGCTGAGGGATAAGAATTGCTTGAACCCAGGAGGCAGAGGTTGCAGTGAGCCAAGATTGCACCACTGCATTCCAGCCTGGGTGACAGAGCAAGACTGTGTCTCAAAACAAAGAATTACCATATAATCCAGCATTTCCACTTCTGGATTGTAGTACCCGCTACGATTCAAAGGGCCTCAAGCATGTATACACTGATGTTCATACCAGCGTTGTTGAGAGCAAATTTTGACATGTGTGAGAAATCATATTGTTTGCTGAGAAATCCTATTGAGAGCGGCGGCAAGGGAAACATAGCCCCTCCAAGCGGAAAACTGCCCCCAAAGCAGAAAACTGCTCCAAACATTATACAACAGTCACCAATGTAAATATGCCTCACGCCAGATGAATTAGTTCTTTGAACACAGGATACCTGACCCTTTCCTTTGGTCCCTCGTAAAGAGCGCTTTCTAGTTTGACTTTAACCTATAGTAAACACACACTAGCTGCCTGGTTAGTTTACCTTTAACCAATGAAAGAACACAGAGCATCCACTTGTCAAACTTGCACTGGAAAGTCAAGAATAAATACATAGGTCAGAGTCTGCTCTGGACTCTCAGCTGAAAATGCTGAGACCCCTGGTGCTCCACTCTGAACCCACCTTTTGCTCTCTATCTCTGTGTGTGTTTAATTCCTTCAGCGCCGCGTGAGTTGGGGTCTGCACGGCTGAGCTGGTCTCGGCACAGCATTATTTCTATCGGCCGAAAGATAGCAGCAACCCAAGTGCCCACTGACAGTAAACAAATGTGCTCTCTCCATATAGTCAAACATTATTCAGCCTTAAAAAGGAAGGAAATTCTGACACATGCTAGCACACGGATGAACCTTGAGGACATGATGCAAAGTGAAATAAGCCAGTCACAAAAAAAGAAATACTGTATGATTCCACTTATGTGAAGGACCTAGAGTAATCAGATTCACACAGACGGAAAGTAGAGCGGTGGTGGCCAGGAGCTGGCAGAGAGCAGCCATGGCTTATTTAATGGGGACAGTTTCAGTTTGGCAGGATTCAGTGAGTTCCAGAGTTTGGCTGCACAAAAATATGAATGTACTTACACTGAAGTGTGTACTTTAAAATGGTTATGGTACATTTTTGTGTTTTACCACATTTAAAATTTTTGACGTTGGAAATGTATACTTATTGAGCACCTCCATGCTGGGCATGATGATATGATTATGAACACAGTAGTTATAGAGAACACTCTTAGGGAGGTAAAATTTTAAGTGTAAAAACTAGCACAGACAGACAATAATAGACACAGACACACAGGACTCAGATAGCAGGCTTATTAGGCAGATATTACAGATTTCAGCAGGGAACCAGAAATTATTAAAATTACTAATTACTAAATTTGTACTTTAGTAATTAATTTAGCCAATCAGCTAATTTGCTAATTAATGAAAATGACATACTGAAAAAGAACCAGAATGTAGTAGAAAGAGATGGCAGAAAAGGCCAACTAAAGCCCAGTTTTTAGACAGTGCTCTTAGCAGATGAGGGATAGAAGGGCACTCCCTGGCCAGGCATGGTGGCTCATGCCTAGAGTCCCAGCTACTCAGGAGGCTGAGGCAGGGGAATCACTTGAACCCAGCAGGCAGAGGTTGCGGTGAGCTGATACTGTGCCACTGCACTCCAGCCTGGGCAACAGAGCAAGACTCCATCTCAAAAAAATAAAAAGCAGGGTGCGGTGGCTCACACCTGTAATCCCAGCACTTTGGGAGGCTGAGGTGAGTGGATCACTTGAGGTTAAGAGTTGGAGACCAGCCTGACCATACCCTGTCTCTATTAAAAATACAAAAATTAGCTGGGTGTGGTGGCAGGCATCTAATCTCAGCTGCTCAGGAGGCTGAGGCAGAATTGCTTGATCCCAGGAGCCAGAGGTTGCAGAGACCCACTGCACTCCAGCCTGGGTGACAGAGCAAGACTCCATCTCAAAAAAATTAAAGTCCATCTTTTAAACAGTTCTCCTAGCAGATGAGGGATAGAAGAGCGCTTCCTTACCCTGGGATCTCTGAGTGTCCATTCTGTGCCCTTGACCACCACATTTGATGGGGAAACAGTAGAGCAGCCTCCACTGCAAGCTGTACTGAAGATCCCACCCACACAGTGAGAGTTCCCTTTAGCCTGTACTGTGGGTTGGGTGCATCCCGAGCTCTCAATGCATCATGTGCTAAGGTTCCACCCTCCCCTTAGCTGGGAAGTATGTCGTGGTCTTCTGCCTCCAGGGTGCTGGTGGCAGAGCATGACATGGAGTGAGCACTCCATAGACGCTTGTTCCATTTCCTAGGAACTCAGCAGGCTGGGCCTAATACCACTGCCTGCAAAGGCCTGGCAGGTGACTCATCGACCCGTGCCTGCTGCTCTTACAGAAAGAGGATAGGAAGATGGGTGGGAGTGGATGGAGAGTTGTCCTTTTGATAAGGAGGGCCAGGAGCTGTAATAGGGGCCCCAACATAATTTATCTCAGGAAACAGCAGGGGCCCCTCTCCTCTGGGGCCCATAGCCTGGCCTTACTTCGCTTCTCTTCTTTACAGTTTAAGATGTCATCTAAGCCAGCACTAGGCTGCCAAAGACTTCAAACTCCTTCACCTTCTACTCTAATTCCAGCTCCTTGACCAGGGCAAGATTCCTGGCTGGGACAGAATAACCAGCATGGAATGCCGGGAAACTCAGAACCACATGTGCTTCAAATGCACGGAAGAAGAGCTGTTTTCCATTGTGCTCAAAATATTTCTGAGGACATGAAACTCTCCCACTGGTCTGGGTAATTCTCCCCCTTCCTTCACACCTCCACTGTAAACCAAGAGACAGCAAGGCCAGAGAGTCCCAGCCCTGCAGACAGAGCTCCACCCGGCTCCTGTTCATGCCGAAGGTATTTATTCACTTATTCAACAGCCATGTGGGAAGCCACTGCTTCAGAACACTGACTGTGCAGAAGGGACACAAAGTCAGGTTCTCAGTTGCCTGGTCCTGGCTTTCCCTGCCTGATCTAGGGGTCTCCTGAGGCAGGAGGTTCTTTGAGGTGAACTGATAGCTCTTCAGAAGCCCGATAGAGAGCTGCTGTCTTTGGGGTAGACACACGGGGACTGAATGCTTTGGAGGGCCTCTGTTTTGGTAGGGACATCTGTGAACTCGGGCCCCCAGGCTAGAGCATTCAAAGTTTTTTTTTTTACTTTCCCTTGGAACATAACCTTTTCCTTTGAGTTTTCAACTGAAGAATAAAGCTAGCAGAATCCAAGAGTGTGACTCTGGATTGCTGGGGCTGATCACCCACCCAGGAGATGGGGAGACAAGGGCAGCTATGGAATCTTCTCAACGATAGGGGGTGCCCTCGAGCCCTCTTTGGGCTGAGCCTTTGGTAGGAGATTGTAGGGTCCAGATTCCAGAGCAAAGGGCCAGGTGTCAGCCACAGGGACTGAGGCAAGCTGAAGGCCAGATGCCAGACTTGGCTGTCCCTGGCCTCCCACCCATGAATCCCTAGTGCACAGCAGGTGCTAGATGAAGTTTAGAAGAACTCCAGGGTAAATGGGAACGAGAAGGTTGGTCCTCCACATTCCCACACTGGAGGGAAGAGAAGGGAGGGTGGCTGGGATCTGAATGTTTGCTATAGTTACAGCCTAAAGACCCTGGAGCCCAGGCACTGCTCCAAGTGCCTTGAAAGATGTTTGATCTTAAGCCTTACAATAGTCCAATGAGAAATGGATGACTTCCTTAATGAGGGAAGAAACAAAGACTAAGAGAGTTGAGGGGATTCCCCCAAGGTCATATAACCTACAAATGCCCAGGACGGTGCTGATGCGGGCCTGTCTGCCTCCCAAGGCTGCCCAAGCTCAATCACCCCCCACCACATCTGCTTTTGCAATAATAGCCTTATGCCACATATTCTACCAGTTACTTGATGCAAGAATGTCAAGTAAACTTTAGCCATATCCCAAGCCATAACAGGTAGCTCCTGTTCAAAATACCCTGTAAATCAGGTCACACAAGATCAGGAATGCACCCACAACCGTTATAGGTGCTGTGCTAGCCACTGTTTTGGGGAACTCAGCCTAGGCATATGAGTGAAGAGACAAATCACAAAGAAAAGAAAATCACTGGCATACAGGGGGCCCCGAGCAATTCAGAGTCAGCTGCAACTAGAGTGTACAGCCACCTGACCTGCTGGTTTCCTAATATGCTTAATGGATCCATGATGTCGGGTCCACAAAGGAAATGCAGAAGCCTTCCCTTCCTGCCTCCCACACTCTGTGGGTCAGGTATTTACCAAAAACACAGCAGTGGACTGGACACCAGCAGAGATACAAAGAGGGAAAAACAATTCTCCCTTCGCAAGGCAGGCTGGACAACATTAATATTTTGCAGTTAGGAGGTGTGGGTAGAGTGTGTGTGCATGCCCAGAATTTAAAGACAAACAGATGGGAAAGGGAATGATTCCAGCAGAAAGACCAATAAATGTTCACATCTACAATGTACACTGAATTGCGGCCTAGACAACAGAGCAAAGCTCTGTCTCTACAAAAAATTTAAAAATTAGCCGGGCATGGTGGCACATGCCTGTAGTGTCAGCTACCCAGGAGGCTGAGGCGGGAGGATCACTTGAGCCCAGGAGTTTAAAATTACAATAAACTGTGATCACATCACTGCACTCCAGCCTGGGCATCAGAGCAAGGCCCTATCTCTAAAACAAAACAAGATAAGACATTTACATAAAAATCAATGTATGAAAATCCAAAATAAAATATTAGCAAGTAAACCCCACTGGGGCTTAAAAAAAACTTACCTAAATCAAGTGAGACTTGTACAGTGTGAAAAGGATGGCTCGAAATTAAAACATCTTTTCATTTCATTTATATTAATGTTGAAAATCATAATCACCATAGATGTTCAAAAGGCATTTGACAAAATTTACTACAAAATTTATAAAAGGAACTTTATCAAATTAGAAAGAGGGATACTTCCTTAAATTACACACAAGAAAGGAAATTATACCCAGACACACACCCATCAAGCCAAAGCCCAGCATCATTTGTAAGGGATGGAAGCAATAGAAGCTTCCATCAACCTTTGGAACAAAAGAATGCCCTCTGTTGCCACTATTATTTTGGAGGCCCTAGCTGATGCAACTAGGCAAGAAGCAAAGTGAGACATTAAAGAAAAAGGCAGAAGGTGAAATAGTTCTATTTACTCCAAAACATGAGGCAGACAGATTCTGCTCGGGAGTTAAGTACAAAAGGAACTTACTAAACAGTCTTCCTTTCTCTTAATTTTTAAACTACAGAGATGGGGCCAAGCACAGCTCATGCCTGTAATCCCAGCACTTTGGGAGACCAAGGCAGGCAGATTGCTTGAGGCCAGGAGTTCCATACCAACCTGGCCAACATGGCAAAACACTGAATTTACTAATAATACAAAATTAGCCAGGTGTTGTGAAATACACCTGTCATACCAGGTACTCAGGAGGCTGAAGCATGAGAATTGCTTGAACCTGGGGGGTGGAGGTTGAAGTGAGCCGGAACTGCACTACTGCACACCAGCCTGGGCAACAGAGCAAGATCCTGTCTCCAAAAAAAAAAAAAAAAAAAAAAAGAAATAGGGGCTTAGTATGCTGCCCAG